GTGCTCCTTTCCTAACACCTTCTCCCTTAGTGCCAGCGTTTCTTGATACATCTTCTCCGCTTCTTTATTCTTTCCCTGGCTGCTTAGTGCCTGTGTTAAGTTGTTCATGCTCGCCAGCGTGTCCAGGTGCTCCTTTCCCGAAATCTTCTCCCTTAGTGCCAGCGTCTCTTGATACATATTCTCCGCCTCCTTATACTTTCCCTGGCTGCTTAGTGCGTATGCTAACTCGTTCATGCTTATCAGCGTGTTTGGGTGCTCCTTTCCTAATACTTTCTCTCGTCGTACAAGGAGCTCTCGATGAGTTAGCTCCGCAGCTCTGTACCGTCCTATTGTGTGTTCACACCGTCCTATCCGGTCCAGTAGCGACATCCTAGCCTCCACCTCGTACGCTTCAGGCAAATCAACAACATGGGTAGCATGAGGCAGATATGCTGTCCAGACCACTCTCTTATCGTGACCGCCGGGAGGGAGAACATCCACCAGTCGCGTCAATGCCTTATCCACCGTGCTATACCACCAATTGCGTTCTCTCAACCAGTTCCGAGTTGCTAGGTGGACCAGCGCGTGGACATCAAACACCCCCAGATACTCCTGTACTTGATCTTGCCGTTCTTCTTGAGGCTGTCGCTCGGTAATAAAAGCATATGCTTTCAGTGTACCGATCGCTTTTGTCCGTCCTAACCTGGAAGCGCTCGGCGGCAACAACGATGCGGGAATGCTTTCGCCAGTCGTACAGGCCATGAATGATAGGTATTCCGCTCCTAGCTCATCTTGCTTTCGAATCTGCTCGAAAGAGATATACCACGTCGTGGCCACTGGATTCTTCGTATCTCGATATCTGCCCTGGTCTTCAAACTCTTCGCTAAGAAGGTTCGTGGCGTCTCTCTCACTGTTTCTGAATATAAGTATGTATTCAGTGAGAGGAATACCGTTTTCGTTAATGAAAGCTACTGCTTGGACGATGGCAAGGGGGAGGAAGGTAAGAATCTCCAGGAACTGTTGCACGACCTCATCATCCTCTAGCAAGACTTTCTGGTGCAAAATCTTCTTTAAGACCTCCTTTGCCTCTCGTTCATCTAGTTGGCCTAATTCTACATCGTTCGGAGCTAGTTTGATTGCAGCCTTTCGAGTTCGGGTGGTGAAAACGATCGAGCCTCTACGACTATGCGGGAGGTAGTCGATCAGCCGATTCGCCCCGTTTTCCTTTTCAGGCAGATCGAAAAGCACGTTGGTGTCGTCCGCGTTGTCAATAATCATCAACCACTGCCCCGAATCTTCGTCGCTCAGCCTCGTCTTCACAAGCCGTTTAACGTCAGCCTTGGCGTCCGCAATGCCTGGTATGCGCAAAACCATCCCTATCTCTCGGTATGCCTGCTCGAAGCTTTCCCTACTAACTGCCGGTACCCAGAAGATGGCCCGTGTAGGTTGCCGCTCTCTCGTGCGATATGCCGACTCGAGAGCCAGCGCGGTTTTTCCACAGCCGCCGAGGCCGTATATTGCGAGTCGCTGGCAGTCCTCTAATGAGATATGTGTACTAAGCTGAGCGAGTTGTGTCTCTCGGCCGACGAAGGATAGGGGTCTCGTGAATGGAACAATCCAAGGAGCTGCCGTAAATTAGCACATTGCACGTAGCGCCAACCATCGATAATAATTCCATTAACGAGTTGCTAATCTACTATTTAATATAACCTGTCAAAGACCAAACATGCCACTAACCTTCGATTACACCTTCCATATTCTTAACCACGTTGGGTTGAATCCTGCAGAGCAGCTCTCTAGTGAATGCGGCCGCATTTCCAGCCGCGTAAGACTTCCAAACATCGTTCTTATGCGAATCGGCATAGTCGGAGATGCCGCGAATGACAAGACACTTTCTGTTGACGTCGACGCCCGCTGCTTCCATCTCAACGCAAAGCGCTCCGTCACATCGCGCACTGATTTGATCTCGCAACTCGCCATCCTGGATGACCGAAGTGCCTGTAGCGATCCGCCCGCGATGAAACACTACCTTGTTCTTGTCGTCTTTGGTCCGTTGGGGTCGCTGAACGAGCTCGTCCTGGTCGCACGCCTCGCAGTTAGATTCATAGTCTCCGTTGTGGTGGCACGTAGCGCTGAAAAGCCGATCGTGTTGAAAGCCAGGGTGCGCAAACTCCTTGTGACTCCGCAATCTCTCAAGCTGCTTTGGAATCGTAGTTTGACCCAACTTGTACTTCAATGCGAGGATACCGAGCGCGTCCGCGAGCCTCCAGTCCGGGTTCTGCATCGTGCCCAATATCTCGGTTTTGCCGTCGAGCTTCAGCCTTCCCCGGTCGTGGTAGACACAAGCGGGCTTCCCGTCGCCAGGCAATCCAACGACGACGTCTCCGAGATGAATGTTCTTCAAGGAATCCTCAGAGGGGGTCGGAGAAGGGATCCCGCCTCCGATGCCGACGAGCACTGCCATTCTGATGTTAGGAAAGGTCTTGAACATGGGCCCGGTCAAGCGCCCGGCGTTGACATTGCCTGTCTCTCCTGGCGGGCAGGTTGCGATGACGACATTGTGGCCGTTGATTGTGCCGCAGATATACGTGTTCTCGTCGTAGTGCTGGCTGTACGGCGGCGTGGAGTGCTCCTCGTCCAGCATCAAATAAGCAGGCAGCAATTCGACGTCCGCCAGTGGGCATATCCATGCAACGTGATAGTCAGCGCAAGTGAGTTGTGTGTTGCTTGATGCCATCCTTCCCGCGCGAACGATCAGAACGTAGAGGAAGGTATGAGGGACGAGGCACTGTGCTTCGTCGAGGACAAGTGCATGCAGTAAGTGCCATTTTTTCAGCCTGATCGCTGTCTCCGTGGCATCTTTACCTGCGGTACCCTCACCGCTCAGCCATGCTGTGCGCCTTTCAGTGCGCTGTTGTGCATGAGACGCGACGTCGAGGCACGTGATTGGACGCCAGCAGCCGCGCCTCACTATCCTTGTTCACCGGATGCAGATGCAGATGCAGTAGCCTTAGGCATCGATCAGGCTGAGCTGTCCACCATCGCTGAGCTGTCCACCATCGCTGAGCCCCGCTCGTAGCTGGGTTTTAGAAAGATGTATTCCAAAGCAGAAGGGCCATTGTTAGAATTATTTTTTTGTTTCATAGCTTGGGTACCACTCTCACCCGATATCTCCCAAACCATCTTTTCTTCCAAGTATCAGCGGGTCATGGCTGAATCAAACACGCGTCATGCGTCCCACAGTCCTAGAGACCCAATAGGAAATTTCCGCAAGTGCTGGATAGCCAGCACTGCCGACAACAATCTCACGCTTCACGGCTTCCGTCGATTCAAGACCACACATTTACTGAATCTCCGGTTTCTCGAAAACGAGATCGCCGACATGGATCATATCATCTATCAGGCCGGCCTTAGCTTAGGGCTAAGCGCTTCTTCTTCTGACCGATTAGGTCTCAACCATAGCAAGAGGGACGCGAACGTCCCGAAAATCAGCGATTCTATAACTCCAGAGTTCATCCTAAAATTACGCGATCTTCTTAAACAATACGGTGTGTAGCAAGATCTACGCTGGAGTGATTGAGCTGACGGGAATTTAAAAACACAGATGAAGCACTCGCAGCTTTCAACGGTATGATGGCGATGGAGACTTTCTCACTCCTCGATGATGAGAAACAGTCCAGCTGGCGGAGTGACCTCAATCTGTACGAAGTATACAAGACCAGGCTGCTCAGAGTAGATCTAGGGACGCGAGCCCGGACAGATCCATTCCAGCGCTGGCTTCACAGGTACCTGCGAGCATTCCGCTATTGGAGACTGTCGAGGAAATCTCAAAACAGCGAGGAAGGCTTCGGATCATTCTCTGTACGGCACCACCACCGATGGTCGTACCAGAACACGATACTGATAGCGGATATTATCGGACGTGTAACGGCTGCAGCTTTTACAGCTGTCTTTCTCGTTGCTCCTTTAGCTATCTTGTCGCATGAGTCTTCTAAGAATGTCCAGCTTGTTGTCATCTCGGTTTGCATTCTTGTCTTGTCTTTTCTGGTCTCGCTCTTTCTGAAGGTTTCTAGCTTCGAGATGATGGCGATATCTGCTGCCTATGCGGCGGTTCTTTCGGTGTTTGTTTCCAATACACCGGCAAGGGCTTGAATTAGCATGTAATGATTGGGGTCTGTGTGAAGCTTGGAATGAGAGGCGTTGAAAGTCTTGGTAGATTGGGTAGAATGGACGGGTAGACTGATTCTTGAACGATGAGAAAGGGCATCGAGAAAGGAGCACCCATAGACGCTAACGAGCATGAACGATCTGGAGCTAGCACTAAGCCACAGAAGGGGTACCTAGGTGCGCTGAGCACATCCTTGCCTTGAACGCTAAGCCCTATTTACCTGAGTAATCCTAGTATCTTGGCAGTTTGAATGGAATCTTGTCAATTTAAAAAAGGCCAACTTGCCAGAAGTGCCTGATCCGATCCTAGAGGTGCTGAGCTAAGTGTATACGTAAGCTACACTTTGATATAGGAAAGACATAGTATATTCTGTGTTATCTTCCATACCATCTAAGCTTCGCAGCGAGTGAGGTGCAGGGTTGGTTGGATGGACGAAACTGGAGAGGATGTTGGTAGCACCCATGGATATCTCGGCTTGGTGGGTAATCTTCGCACCACTTCTAGAACCCCATCAAGCTTATCTCTCATGGGTGTTGGGATTGGAACTTTCGTCCTGTTCGTCGTCTTCTCCACCGAAAAATCCAGGAATGTCGGAAAACACATATTGTTGCACTTCAGAGTCGTTGCGCAACCGGGGCCTCATGCGTTCGTCGGTATTGACAGGACAACGCCTGGAACCGAGAACCCCTTTGAAGACAACGTTCAGATCTCGATATAGGTATGTGTCTTGCCGTGATACAAGAGGGTACTTCTCTATCACAGTCTGAGCTCACAAAGCTCACAAGGGTGTGACCGATTCTGGCCGGCCGTCCTCGTAGTGGCAACATCCGGTGCCAGAATATTCTTAGTTACCGTTACAAGAACGTTGAATATCAAAAAGCTTTACTGCAGCGCTGAAGGTACCTGGAGGGAAGAATGGACTGGATTTTTGAGGATTATGACCCTCTTCTGTGCCTGCGTTCATCGCTCTTCGCGTCTCGTACTCAGCACCTCCCAGATTGCTGATGTCCATAAGCGGGGTTTCCGCAACCGCCAAAATCTCTCAAGCATGCTTATGCGTCTGGTACTGTTCTGCAATTACGCACTTTATTTTCTGCTAGAGGAGCATAGAAGTCACTCATTGAGAGCTTCAAGCGATGGCTCTGTCAAAGGACGTTGGGACCTTAGAGCAGTTTCCGTAGCTGAGCGCATTTCTCAAACAGAAAATAAGTCTCGTGGTTCCAGCCTCTGGATCTTGAACGTACATTACGGCTGGACATGGAGAAACACTCCTCCCTACTTAACCATGCATTGACCTAACTAAGGAAGTTCGTAGTGTTTGCCTACATAGATCTAAGAAAAACTGAGCAGCCTTCTAGCCTCGCTGTCTAGGTACATGTACTGAATGCCCATTGAGCTCCACATGGAAGGAGGTTGGACTAGATTCCTCGAAGCTACTTGCGTTCGCACGAAGTATTTCCCGCACAATATCCGGAGACTGTTCAAAGAGAAGCGTTATAATCTCGTTTGCGAGCCACGGATTCTCTGCTGCCGCTTCGATTACCCCTTTCGTAATCTTGACTTCGTGTCCCCGCTGCTTGAGTAGAAGCGCCATTGCTTGTTCGTTCCTCGCTGCTACTTTCACTACCTCTTCCGTAATCTTGACTTCATTTCCCCGCTTCTTAAAGAAAAGCGCCACTAATTGTTGGCTCCGTACTGCTACTTTTACTACCTCTTCCGTAATCTTGACTTCGGTTCCCCGCTGCTCAAGGAGAAACACCATCACTGCTTCGCTCCGTGCTGCTGCTTTTAGTACCTCTTCCGTGATCTTGACTTCATCTCCCTGCTGCTCAAAGAGAAATGCCATTACGTCTCTCCCACTGTCCCAATTCCGTGTTGCTGCTCGGGCCACCTCCTCTGTAATCTTAATCTCGTCTCCTCGTTTTTCAAGGAGCAGCTCTATTATTTCTCTCCCACTTCTTTCATTGCCTGCTGCAGCTTGAACAACCTCTTCTGTCATCTTGACTTTGTCTCCTCGCCGCTCAAGGAGCAACTTCACTGCTCCTTGGTCACAGGACCTTGCGATTTCAGCTACTGAGCCAGCTGCCATCTTAAACTTGTCTTCTCTCTGCTCAAGGACAAGCGCCATTATTTCACTCCCACAGCTCCTGTTCCTTGCTGCTGCTTTGACGACATTGTCTGTAATCTTGACCTCGTCTCCTCGCCGCTTAAGGAAAAGCGCCATCAACTCTTTCCCGCGCTCTTCATGTGCTGCTGCTTCGCACAGTGCGTTCTCGAAGAAGTTCTTTGACGCGGAGTAGACACTTAACCAAGCGCAAGACGATCCATAACCAACGTCACAGAGTTTTGCGGTCTTCGAAACCCAGGAGGGGCTATCGAAATCAAGTTCCTACACATGAGATATCTAATAGGTTGCTGAGTAATCAAAGAACGCATGGTCACTCTTCGGTGTCGCAAGAAATCGCTTGCGCCAGAGGGAAGATGCTTCCTAAGTTGGGACTTGAATCTGTCGAACCTCGCGGAGATTTAGATAGGTAATGCACTTTCCAGAGAGTACCCGAAGCGCATCGTGGAGATCAACAGAGTGATGCCATCCCTGCGGTCCGGGCGATTCGTTGCTCTTCCGGACGAGGAACTCTTTTGCTGTCTGATGAATCAGATAGACGCGGGAGTATACGACGCTGATGAACAGCCCACAGCAATCACGGATCCACTCCTTCCTGCTCTCTTCGCCTTCAAGGTCGAGATCCTCGTAGGATGTTGATTCCGGTTCGATCTCTAAAGCCACATCAATTTCGCTCAACGTCAGTAGGCGCCGGGCTGCAACAATGATCTGCAACACTGTTCGCGCCTGTTCCTGCATGAATTCTCCCAGTATTTTCTCATATGCTTCCTCAACTGTCCTTGGCAATGTGTCGATAACCTTGAGCAATTTCTTCTGCGTCTTTCCCATTCCTTTTTCAACTTCATTTAAGGTCAAGTTCAGCCAGACGTAGGTCCTATTAGGGATTTCGCATAGTCGCCTTTGCAGAGAAAATTGCACGTCTTCGGCTAGCTTCCGCTTCTTCCCGATCTCCTTGACCTTTGCCCCAATAACGATGCCGATTTCATGGCTGATTTTGTCTGACTCTTCTTCCCCCGCCAGCCGAATAGTCGGCACGTCAAGCGTTAAGCCGGAGAATTCACGCTCGATTTCACTGTACGGACGACTAGTCACGAGGAACTTCAGCTTGGAACTTCGCGTGGGCTTGTGGGAGAGACGGCTATAGAAGCGCTTCAGGTACGTAATGAGTTTATCCTGATCGGGCTGCCGGCATTCGTCGAGCGCATCTAGGATGCAGATAACATTCCCAGCAGACGGGTCTGGCATAACCGAAATGAGAATCCGCCATAGTTCTTCAAACTCATTCTTCAGGACAACTCTACACTTCTTGACAGCTGGAGCAACGTGCTTTTGGAGGAGGCCGTTGTGCGCCCAGAAAAACTGATGAAGTAGCGCACATAACGCTATCGCAGTGTTGTTTTGCTCGTCGTTGTCTTTGAAGAAGAAAAAGTAGCACAAATTGTCAGATCCTGCGCAGATCAGCTGCTCGTCGATTAATGTTTGCGATAATACAAACTTGCCACGGCCCGGATCAGCTGTGAGCCAAAGAAGGTTGTCACCAGTGCTATCCCTCCACGTTTGAAATGTCGCATGTTCAAAGAACCAGACGCATGTCTCTGGCACGCGCTCAGGGTTGATGTTTTTTGAATAATTCGTTTGAGGTCTTGAAAAAGCCCGGCTGTAGATCTGCGGTACCATGTTAGCCAGCATTCGCACGGTGTCTGGTAACTCCGTGCGGAGTCTCTATCCAGGCAAAACAGACCTTCAACCTTCACTTGGATGATCTGTGTTGCCCCTGGCCCAGCGCTGATGTTTTGGAAACTCATTGCGCATTGAGTAGCAAACGTTTGCGAGGGCGGTGGCTACCTTGAGAGATCTCTACGATACAGAGGTTCCCTTCAAAAGTTTCTGCCGCGCTAAAAACGCCATGGCGCACGCTAGATGTTAGCCTACGCCACAAACCGTCTAGCCCCTTTCTATACGGGCCTAGCGCCAACGAAAATCCGCCACGTCAATGCCAAGAAACCCCTCCATCACCTTTACACTCCACTTGATTCTCGTCCACCACTGTGCCATGTACGACAACGCTACAAGGGCGCAAGCCCTTACGCTTAAGGCTATGAATGTTCCTTCTGACCAAATTACTGCCATCACTGGCATGTTAGAGCGCACGATTCGGGACGTTTGGAAGAGGGCCATAGATCGCGGCTGGAACCCCCAACAATCGCTCAAAGTTCTTGACATATACGTGCAAGATGCACCTCGCTCTGGCCGGCCGACTGTACAAACCCCAAGGAAGATTGCAAAGATGGAGAAGTTAGTTACTAAGAGCAGAGCTGGAAGGGAATTAAATATTTACCAGCTTGCAGAAGAGGTGGGAATCTCAGCCACGACTGCATGGCGCATCCTTCGCCGCCACCTTAACATGCGGAAGACGAAACCTACACGGAAACCTGGGCTACAGAAGTGGATGAAGCAGGAACGATTACAGTGGTGCCTTGACCATCAACACTGGACTCTTGAGGACTGGAAGAATGTTATCTGGAGCGACGAGACGGCCTTTGTAGTTGGCCAGCGCCGTGGAGGATATCGTATCTGGCGTCGGTCAAATGAACGGTTCTTGCGCACAACAATACGAGAACGCCGGAAAGGATACTTAGAGTTTATGTTCTGGGGCTGCTTCTCTTATGATCGCAAGGGCCCTTGCCATATCTGGCACCCAGAAACAAAGGCTGAACGCGCTGCAGCAGATAAAGATCTCGCCGAGCTTAACAAAACTATTGAGCCTATTGCACGGGCAGAGTGGGAGCTAGAGAATCCTCTATCGCGCCTTGGGGCAACACGCAACCGCCCAGGCAGGAAGCCGAAGTGGCAGTTTACACAGGATACTGGAAAGCTTACAAGAGGCAGTGGAACAGGCGTTGATTGGTATCGCTACAAGAAGGAGATCTTAGAGAAGAAGCTTATCCCATTTGCCCAGCACTGCGCGCGCGATCGACAGGGTACAATTGTACAGGAAGATCGTGCTCCTGCGCACGTACATCATCACCAAACAACTGTCTACACCGCTGCTAAGGTCCAACAACTTCTCTGGGTTGCAAATTCCCCAGATCTCAACGCGATAGAGCCTGCCTGGCCTTACCTCAAGCGCACAACTACAAAGAAGGGCGCGCCAAAGTCTAGGGCACAAGGAGATAAGCGGTGGCGGCAGAGCTGGAAGGATATGGAGCAATGGCGCGGAGCAATGGCGCTGCCAGGCCTGGATTCAACGGATTCCACGACATATCCAAGAGATAATTAGGCTTGAGGGCGGCAATAAGTATAGAGAGGGCGCTATGGAGAAGACTCGCCATTTGAAGCGCCCAGACAACTGGGCAGATGTTAACAATGACAACAACAACGACAACAACGACAACGACGACGACGACGACGACAACAACTGGGTAGATGTTGATAACAATGAGGGCACTGATAAGGATGCTGAGGACGCTGAGCAATCACCAGAGGCTGCATCAAGGAAGAAGAAACACAAGGAGCGCGCAGAGGCAGAGCGCCTAGGTGGCCCTGACATCTTCAAGACTAGCAGGGCATCAAAAACAGAGCAAAACCCTGCCAAAATCTCGAAAACGAATGCTCGTACGGTCAGGTTCATATCTGCAGAAAATGACCCGTTGGCTGCACAAACGGAGCTGCCATATAGCCTACCTGGCGCGCCGCGCCGTACGCGCTCAGCTACTAGGGCAGCAGCGAACCAGACTCATTAAACTGGTGGAGCTACACCAACTATACGAGTCTCGGAGGGGGCAGGAGAGGTTATCAAGTAGCTACATAGTTGTGTGCCGAGCTGGTGGCGTTTGGTGGCGTATTGAGGCTTAAGCCACATTTTTTAGCGCGGCAGAAACTTTTGAAGGGAACCTCCGTACAAAGGAAGTCTTCTGGTGATTTTGAGACCAGGCGCGCTGGAGAGGCTGGGGGGCTTGGCATGCAGGCCAAGTCGCTTTTTTGGCGCCCTCTTCTGGTCGACGCAACACCATCCCGCGCATCGTGGATCAATCGGCACTCTCCAACCGCGGCCGGACCCCAACCTTTGCTGTTGGTTACCCACCTTAACCGGTGACCTCCTCATGCATCCGACGTCCTGGATTGGAGGACGTCAACGAGGCTGAGCGCCGACTGCATATTTTGCACGAGAATTCCCGCGCCCGCACGGTGCGTGAGGCATTCTTCTCAGAGCTACGTGCGGGTTTAGCCTTGCAGTCTCTCATACATCATGTTGCGCAGCTGTTTTCCTTGCGAGCTCATTTCATTTTGCCGACAAAATTTTCGCTGCCGAAATGGCTGAACCGATCGGCGTCGCCTCCGGCGCTCTTAGTCCTGCCACTTTTGCTTTCAACTCCAGCATCTCGCTCTACCAAATGGTCAAAAGTTTCCAAAGCAGCAAAAGGGATATTCGCGAGCTCCAAGAGGAACTTGAGGCGCTCAAAATTGCTATACAATCTCTCCAAGGGCTCGCTTCCAAAGATGAGGTTCAATTTGAGCCTCTTCGTCTCCCCTTGCACCGCTGTGGCAAGACTTGCGAGGAATTTGAGAAGGTGATTGCGAACTGCACCAAAAATTCTAGCAACCCGAAAACAAGCTTTCGGGATTGGGCAAAATTGCAATACATGGGCAAAGATATCGCTGGATCCAAGAACATGCTCGCTGGGTACAAATCTACCATCATCATTGCTATCGGTGATGTCAATCTGTGTGTATCCGCTACGGCCTCATCGCATATCAGTCAAGCTGACAGCTCCGCCTGTAGACGCACGGCTGTTGTGAGCGCGAACGCAATCCAAGAGTTCAAGGAAATGCTTGCAAACACGACGACCGACCTCGAAGAACACCACCATGACCTCCAAGAACACCTCCAAAACATCGACGACAAGTTAGATGCACTTGGCGTTCAAGAATTTAGCAAAAAAGATGAAGAGATCGCCGAGAAAAGACGGATATCTGAGGAGACCGAAAGCGTTAAAGAATGTCTCGCAATATGCAACCATGCAGCGAAACACATAGACGAAGCACGAACAAATGTGTTTGAGGATGTCTCTGCTGCTGAAGATGCTCATCAAGTTATTGTCTCCACATTTGGCGACCTTATCTCGGCGAAGCGAGTCACTGCTGGGGTTAGAGCGACACAGTTGCTAGGGCAGATGTCTGATGCTACTCTGCAGCAGCTCGCTCGGAGCCAAGGCTGTGACTTGTCTAGTCTTTTAGGGACGGTGAAAGATGTGGAAGAATAGGCCAAAGGAACCCTAAATTATGAGGACTGTTATGGAGTTGGGCATAAGCTGGGTTAAGTTATTTCCGTCGCGAGTGAGAGTTATCTGCTCAATCACGTACTAGCACGTACTAGAGAAGAGTAACAAATCAAGGGCCACACCCCTTTCATTCCTCTGGACATATCTAGATCCCGATGTGGACATACCACGTGACCTTTAACCATTTTGATTAGCTCGGAGGAGCTCTCTGGTAGTCCGTGTCCTATAAGACTTCTATTTCATAGACATTTGTGAAATTTTTAAGTTTGGTAGATATCGGGCGATGGTTGCACGTGATGTGCAGGGAGTATTCTATACTGAATCTAAACTAGAATAGAACAGATCTAGTATAGATGTGGCTTGTACGGGTTGTTCCACGGTGTATACATCTGGCTAGATTCCTACACATAAAACCAACATCTATTGTCCTCTGATTTACAGTGACGTGACAGGATAAAATGACACATTCACAAATGCCAACACGCCTAGGTGGATGCCCGGTCGTTCAATTTTGCACCTTATAGCCAGCCCCTTTCCATCGGACCTAGCACACAGGCGCCTGATGAGGCCCTTATCCACTGGACGCTTATCTAATTAGAAGACGGTAAACTGATAGTTGAGCGAGACAACCAGAACGCTAGAAGGTCACGAGGTATATCCGAATAAAGAAACGATGCAGGTATGTCCGAATAACGAGAGGGCTATGTCCGAATAGCGGCGCCTTAAGTCAGATAATAACAACATTATCCATGCATGAGTAGAAGTGCCATCTAGCTGGATCATGCTCATGTAACATCCATAGAGCCGCTTTAACCTTACATCGAGGCCTCACTTCCAGTCTCGTATTTGCGCAAATGCGCTTCATAAGCAGGCGGCTCCTCCCCTTCGTCGGCCACTGCTTCGTCAAAATCATCGACTAATCCGACACGCTCCTCCCCACCCAACTCAATATCCCCGGTCGCACTCTCTGCCAGATTGGACGACCCCATCATCCAAACCGCACCCTTCTTCACCAATCCCCAGATACCCATAAGCGGCACCAGGATCGGGGCGAATGGAGGCCAGCCGATACCACTTCCCTTGATGTTATTGGGGTATTGGAGCGTCTTTCCCCGGCGAATGAGCAGGCAGTCGACGAATGCGCGTATCCATGCGACTGACGCGATAATGAAGGGGATGATGTTGAGGGGTATTATGGCACCCCAGACGGGTTGCAGAGAGGATTTCAGGACTTCTCTGCACTCGTAGCGAACGTCCGGAGGTGCTGCCGCTGCGATGCGGAAGCCGAAGGCGACGCAAAGTGGTAAGATGAGGGTTGTTGCGAGGATAAGGCGGTTTGCGCGGATGGTTGGCGACGGATTTGAGTTGCACCATCGCAAGTTTTTGCCTTTTGCCGTAGCGTTGGTTACAGTACTTTCCTCGTTGGACAGAGATGCATCGGATGCAGTGGATTCTGACCTTGCCAGCTCATCTTGTGAAGATCGCGTCTTTCCCTTTTTCTTTGATGTCGGATTTACATCTGAGTGTACAGCGGCTTCGATAGAGAGGGTTAGAACGATGATGGTAACTGTCAAAGCGACTATTTTGGGAGTAGGGCCACCGGCCGAGATGTCGAAGTAATCAAACTTGCAATCAAAGCTATTCTGGGACTGCATTTTTCAAGACGTGAGCTTTTTGGAGCGAGTAGATGGAATGGCGAGAGAACGGCGGGGTCAGAGGATCGTATATATTGATGTGGCTGTGCATCCGGTCGTGTTCTGTGACCGGAAAGCGAATCCTTCGGCTGACTAAAAGGACGAGGCTAAGCGGTGTTTAAGGCTCGCATAACTAGGTAAGGATCTTGAAGGCTGTGAAGCCTGGATATCATGCTAGATGTTACTACGACTGTGAAGAAGTAGTAGGATAGGAAAACCTAGGTAGAGGGTAGTGGGATTTGTTTAGCTAGAATAACCTTATTATATGATACACGTTAGATGAAAGTAAACATCAATCTATCGAGTCTTGCCGCAGGCATTGCGTCGAGCCCAGATGTTGCACGCCGAAAAGCTCCGCCTTGGGAAGTCTGGAGGCACCAGGCCAGACTGTACCCATTACACCCCTCCTCGGCAGTGATATCTCAAAATCCACCTCTTCGTTCTCGTCGGAACCTTCTTCCAGTATTGGGGATGATCCATCTGGCGAAGCATATAGAACGTCGAGATCGGTTTCCGATAGAGTGCGTCGTATTGTGAATATCCTTGGCCTTCGGCGGTTGTGTGGATCGTGCTGACCCCCAACATAACTTACCCTTTTCTGCCTATCGAGGCTTCCGTTGGACTGCGATGCGAGTGACTCCGTAGAGGCTGCTGCAAGACTTCCTGAGGGACTGTCGAATAATTGGGGCTCCTCTTCATGGTCTAGTAATAGATATTTCGGTGCTCTTGATGATGCGAAGGTAGATGAACGTCGTAAAGGTTTGTAATAATCCGATGACGCTCGTCTGGTAAGGAGGTTTGCGTGAGGAGGTCTTTTCTCTTCCCAGTCTTCCTCCACATCTGGCACACTAGTCGTTTCACCATTTTCTGCATGTTCAAGCCCTCTGAAAAAAGTATTGGCTAACATCGCGTCGAAGTCGGGATGCCAAGTACGCTGCCGCTGAGGAGTGAAAATGTCGTGCTGGCGACGCCGACAGCAAGTCGCTTCGCTGAAATCGGGCGTACTTGGCCAGGAGAATCTCCGTTCCAAGCGACCATAGTCCTGACAATGCGTTTCGTATTCTGTCGCGTATCCATCTTCGAGATATGTGTCAAAGGCGGCTTCAAGTGCGTCATTGACATTATCCCACATATCGCCTCGTGCAAGCAACGCTCGGATAGAGCGTTCATCTTCGCTGCAAACTGCATGATATAGTGCCGCACGGCCTCCTGCATCGCGAACCGTATAATCAGCACCGCATTCCAACAATAGTTCAACCAGTGATCCATCACCCCTCTTCGCTGCAATGATCAATGGCGTCCTGCCTATGCAATCCGTGGCATCAATGTCCGAGTTGTGTTCGAGTAAAGCGACAGCACACTTTTGGCTACGGTGAGAAGCAGCAAAATGGAGTGCAGTTAAGTGGTCCTCGTCATGCTCGTTTACGAGTAGTGGCTGATGATGTAGAAGCAACCGAACAGTTTCATCCCCATCTTTGATAACAACGTTCGAGAGGACGGAGGTAAGTGGATTGTGTGGTACGGGATTCGAAACATTCGAAAAGGATGCTCTGGGAAGTAGTTCATCGGCAACAGGGAGATTGCCCTCTAGTATGGCTTTGATGCATTGGCCTCTGACATCCCCTTCCGTGCAGAGTTTCGACTCAAATAGCATGCGTAGAACGGTGAAGAGCTTACGCTCGCAGCCTACAACGAAGATTTGCGCGATCACTTGCTGAAATTTTTCCTCCCAGTCTTCTACCTCCTCAGCCACGATAGGAGCTGACAAAGCAAGTTGTGTATTGGAATCCGAATGCCTGGGCCCGAACCGGATATCTTGAGTGATGCTTTGTAGCTCCCCGGTTTGCCCGTCGATTGAATATATGGATTCCCCGGACTCGGAGCTAGAAGCAGAATGAACCGGCCCTCGGAAAGGCCGATAAGAACCACTCAAGTCATCTCCTGGGAATTCTGCATTCAGACGTGAGGATGAACTAGAGCTCAAACTTTGAGTGCTTTGGGGGATGCGGTAAAAACCCTCCCGTCTCGTCGGTATTTCATATGGAGTTTCCGCGCCGGGAGTGAAAGGAACCATTTGCATGTGAGCAGCAGCTTCCTCGTCCGTTCTAGCTGCCGTTGTAGATGGGGATGTCGCGTAGTTTGTTGGTGATAATATGCGTCGATAAAGTCCTTCGGATGGATGTGGAGGTAAATCATCAGGGCTTGATATACCAACGGGATCATTGTTTTGTCTTTGAGCTGCTACCGGTTGTGGAGAAGTTGGTCTACTCCAGATATCTATGAATGATGACCCACGTCGCGTATCACGCTCATCGGATGAAGGTTCAGAATAGCTCGTCTTAGACCTGGGAGGGGGAGATTCAATATATCGAGAGACAGAATCATCATTTGCCATCGAACGTGGGTCAGTCGCGCGTTTCCTCGAAGCTTTAAAGCGTCGGGAGGCACTGCGAAGCTCCAGATTTTCACTGATCAGGGCGGTCTCACGACCAATGTCTGACAGTGACCGCACCGGGACCTTGAGAACAGATGACTGCGAACGTCGTTTGACGAAACAATCCATCATACCCTGGATATGCCTGTGTCGGCTCTTGAAGAGATCATTGTCTGGGGTTTTGCAATCAGTGGCTGCAAATATGTATGCCAAAAGGGGCCTCTCCTGGAGGTGTTTCGCTACGCCTTCAATCGCTGACTTCGGGTACGCTTCCAAAGAGCTCGGATTCCCCGACAAACGTTTCGGAACATGCGAACCCACTTCCATAACTTCGGAACCCGAAACTTCCGAGTCCATATCAAGGAACTCCGTGTCAAGGGCATGCTCTAGCATATGAAGCGAAGAGCGAAAATAGGTGGAAATGCCGACGGAGAGGTATGAGTTGCACTGCTCATCGATGAGTTTTAGCGGCCCCGCCTTGTCTCCATCGTTGAGAAGAAACTCCTTCACTGTTTGATGTGTGACTTGAACGGTACATTCTGCTCTTGTCCACCACGGTGATACTCCAGGTCTTAGGTTGATCGATGCAGAAGCTGGTTTCACGACTTCAAGAAGGCAGCCGCAAGTGTCGACAATTTCTCGCTCAACCGGTGCCCAGTTCTCGACTTGGAATAACCGCAGCCTTCTATCATCAAGGTGCTTCTGAAGCTGGTCAAGAGATGATGACTCCTTCCAGCCGTCGAGCGCAAGTGCGTCTCTGAACTCATCAAGTGCTAAGGGACGTCGAGCGAAACAAACCCAGGCGAGCATATTGTGAGCTTTACAGAGCTCCGCGTCTGTCAGTCTCTTCTGAAGTCGCTTGACTAATTCTTCATAAAGTTCATCGAGGCCTTTGGGTAATGAGTCTAGCACCTCTTCTAGCTCGCCGCGTGTGTAGACGCCTTTTCTATCAAACTGCGATTGTAATTCTCCTAGGACGGTGACAACCCATTGAATTGTGCCATCTGCCTTCTCTAGAATACGGGTATGTAGATGTTCGAGCGTGGCGTCTGCGTCATTCTGCTGGGTCTGAATGTACTGCTCAACGCCTGGATACCCTCCACAATCCCTTTCAATCCATTCTGTGATCGACTGCTTCATCTTTGCAAGACCATCTTCGACCAGTTTCTCGATGGCTGGTAGATTGTGATCTTCAACTGTTACGCTCGCCATAGCTCCCAACGCTCGTGAGATATTAGTAGTTGGGCGGCTGAGCACCAGAACCTTCAACCACGAGCCGTCTGTTTGCTTAAGTGCCAAGTCTGCAAGCCATGGAAGTATCTGTGTCTTCTTCGATCCAGGAGGTCCTATTTGAGAGCAATCGGCCTCATCAGACTCGTCGAAGCCATCCAGAATGCAACATAAACTTGGTCTTTCGGAGGAACAATCTTGAATAATGGCTTCAAAGACATGCATGAGATCTTCCAGTGTCCATTTTTTGTCGGTTGCCAGTAGGTTTCGATATATGGGCTTGAAATGTACATAAAGCGAGTGGTCTTGTCGTAGCATCTGATACAAGACAGATCGCAGCATGTAATGATGTCGGGTTGCTCGTTCTCCCATCCGTGCACTGTAGAAGAAGTTTACAGCGATAGTTGAATCCGGTTCGTCGTTTGCTTTCGTAGGGTTGATGGACGATTGGTGTTCCTTGGGTCTAGCCAGCCTATCCGTAATCATTCTTGCAATAGTACTCTTTCCACTGCCTGGCTTTCCTTTGATCCACAGTACTCCGGATTTCTCCTTCCATCGGATAAATGCAGGGTGAGCCCAGACCCAATCATCGGTGTCTCTAAATGGCGTGTCGACAATACTTCGACGGTCATCCCATTCCTGGAAATGCAAGGACTGTTCGCAGTCTTGATAATAGATAAGCATATCAACACTCTTCAAATAATCAAAAAGCACTCACGCGTTGCCTCCACCTCTGGGCTAATCGTCGGTAATCCTCCAAGCTTCTCATATAAACTTTTCTCGTCGCGCCCAACAAAAAGGATATGGTCTGCTTCGTCGTCAAATTTAGAGCGGAGGAGGTCAAGCATATGCTGCCACGCTGCCCATTTCATGCAATTTATCTTGTCGATAATAGTGACAGACCCTTGTGGGTCAACGGGCACCGCCCATCTTAATGCATCGACTATGAAAGCGCAATCCGGTGGGTCGACTCCATCAACGGTTTCATTGAAAAGACGATTGAAACTCCGCCCAACCGGCTGGCGAAGTGTTTTGAAGTATTCCGATAATCTCTCAAGACTGTGGGGATGTATGTGTATGTTTTGGTAGATGAGGGATTGGAGGGCCCTTACTTCGGACAACAATGCGCTGGATGCGTCGTACTGGGAACAGTCCAGATATACGGTTTTCGATAGCACCGGGTGTAGGGGAAGCTTCTTGGAGATAACATCAGATATCAAGGCGCTCATTTTCACAGCATCGGAATCGATGTAGCAGAGTGTTCCCCGTACAGACGCGATCCACCGTCGGTATTCCGGCATGTTTACGAACCACATAAAGGACTCATGAGCTACTTCATCAAGATTGGTGCCATATTCCTTGAACCGGCCGATTGCGGAGGTGTGTTCCTGGGCTGCCCGTTCGATAATCCCAGGCAGGGCTTTGTACCCTGCATCACAGCCAATCAGTGAGTGAGCGGGCGATTTAACGGGGGAAAATTAGGCCGTAGACTATATTGAGGTGACTAAGTAAGATCTATCATACATTCTCGGAACCTCAGGTTCTTTGCGCAGTTCTCCAGATTCTTCTTGGGTTCCTCCGACGACAAATACCGCCTAGTGGCCGTCACTATCTCCGGTCGCTTGGCAGCTTCCTCCAAGCCGATGTCTCCGAGGCCGGAGAGAACGTTAAACCTGAAATATCGTTCTTCGGAGTGAAGACGCGTGTATCGTCGTAAGAATGCTTCTGCTGTCGTCTCTGTTTCGGTGGCCATGGCTTTGAGGGTCTCGCCGATTTCCAAAAGGCTGCCCCCAAAAGCCCTCACTGAAGGCACACCTGTACCAATCGAAACCACGCATTGTACATCATCTTCCAGAGGGGAGTCTGACTGCCATATATCTCGTGCTTCATCCCATACCACATTGACAGGGTTGTTGGCCCCTGTGGCACCATCCAGAAACTTTTCGTTATCCGGTCCAACCTGGATTGGCTCGAAGAAGGTCGATGCCGCTGAAGTCGCTCTGGCAGCTTCCCATATTTTGACCGAATCGAGGAGATCGCGTGGCCACCTATCGGACTCATAGGTCGTTAGGATCGAGGTCCGATCGGGCATTGATGCGCTCGTAGCTGTAACGAAGCTTTGCGCCTGTTAGCGTAACCTTTTCACATGCGACGGGACAAGATGCAGTATGGACAGATATTGACCTACGTTTTGCATTTGGACTGTTTGTCCCTGAGTAGCGTATCTTCGAGCTCCTTGTCGCTCTTGGCATCGTTGCCAGGATCTCGTCTTAACTCTCTCACGATGATACGCTTGATACCCCGTTCTAATGCTGCAGAATCAAACCGAGCTTTGAGGTTCCAGTTCCACGGCGCTCGGAACGCGGGGGCAGCTTGGTAGTTTTTGAGCTGGAATGCCTCGTCGGACAGCTCGCGGTATGCTTGGCGACAATCTTCGATGCTCATTTGGAGACGTCCGAGCATTATCGCGATCAGGCTGCGGTCGCGTCAATGCTGTTCTCAATGATCCGTTCCTTGCCGTCGACTTACCCGCCCGTACTTGTGCCTCCTATCAAATCAAAATACTCGCTTGGTTTCGGTGGATTCTGCGGGTCAACTTTGCGCATCAGCTCCTCGAGGATGCAGAGCGACGACAACCCACGAACACCACCGCCGTCCAGCGACAGTAAGCATAGTTCTTTGCCATGCTGAGGGCGTGCCGGGCCGCCCTGCGCCTGCGTCGCCATCTGCTGCATGCCTCACTTGCGACCGGTGTTGTTTGGGGAGACAGGTACGAAAGGCTCAAAGCTGAGACAGGATGGAACGATAGTAGGGCAGGTGCGGGGATTCAGCCATGCTTTTAAGCTTGGGCTGCCCATGCAACAAGCAAGGCTGAGCGGCTGGAAAGGCGCACTAATTAGCGCGTTGAGTTTTGTTCGTTCAGCTCATGCACCATGCTACCTGGTACACCAATGATGAAGCCTTGCTGCCTGCTATTAGATCGATTTTCTAGATGTCCTCGTAGGAGCTGAGCAACTCGACAGGCAACCTTGCATACTGACGATATCTCAAACCTTAGCAAAAGAAACGCGAAATGAAGAGGGAAACCGCTACTACTGAAATGAGAGATGGGGAGCAACGAGTGAGAGGCCCCGCATTTTCGGCCCCCACGCCATCAACCCAAAGATAAGTGATAGCTTAGTTAGTACTAAGCCTCCAAGTTTGTATCTATTGGCAATAATAGGGCAAGGACTGAGAAGTAAAGTCCTATCCAGCGCTTCTCCGCAAGATTCTAGTCCTTGCACGCATTGTATGAAAACGCATAGTGAAAGAAGGACCTCTTTCCAGAGGGCAAACGTGTGACGTGAAATTGAAGAACACTATCTATCGGAGGAAGAAGTTCGATCGGTCGGATCAGTTGATCATCACGATCTGGGGCCGAGGCCTTGTAGAACGCTGAAGATGCCACACTTGAGATGCCTGATGAAATTCGTGAATGTCTGAGATCTCAGCAATCCCTATAAGAGCGAGAGCTCAGCTGCACAGAGGTCGATATGGTGATGACATTGCGCAGCACAAGCTTCGATTCCTGGGCTTGTGATTTGAGTGGAGTAGTGGAACGAAGATTGATGCCCGCGGCTGAGAGGAGAGCCGAAAGAGGTCGAGATACCTAGCGTCCTGAGTTGTACGCATATCACGTGCTCAGCTCATCCGCGCCAAGCCATCTCAAACGGCATCTCAAATTATCACAACTTCAGCACCTCCGCGTCGCCGCATCACCACCGCATCTACCTCCATCCAGCGTCAGCATTGTCGCGACAATGGCGAAGAAAGGTACGCTCCTAGTCTCTTCATCTGTTGCAGTTCCTCGCGCGGCACGACTGTCGATCCTGGGGACCGCCTCATTCCGTCGCCCATCCGTCCTGTAACGCAGCGAAGCAATTGCGACGTCCTACGATGGAATGGCTTAAGGAAAGAGCTAGGAGAAGTCAATGTATGAATGCTAACATTCTTGACAGCCAAATCCCGCACCGTAATGGTGCGCCTCCTCTCAATGGCAATGACGGGATATTTCCGATCCATGATGCGGCCGCGACAACATCGACCTCTCAGTATGCTCAAGTACGATCCGATTGGTACGTCTACACCCTAAACAGCGACCCGCACAATGAACACCCGGCGATTGACGTAGTTGGGAGAGCTTGATATTGGAGAATCGAGATTGGGATTGGGATTTGGATTGAACCAGATGGGATGATTGGTTTTAGGGCAGAGCTAACATTGTCGGCAGTGCGGAAGAAGGTTCTGTTTCTTGAGCAGAAGAGGGGTGGAAAATAGTTGCGACTGGAGTCTTGAATACGACGATCGAATACTCTCCGTTCTCGCCCTAGACAACTAAATCGACTTTGTGCATAGTATACTGGCTTTCGAAGGAGGAGACCCTGGCGAGATGGATACATGATAACATGTTGGACTAGACCGTACGGATGATGGGTCATACACAGGCCTTATCGGGGATATTTTAAGAGGCGGCTGAGCGGGCATTGGCGATGAATCTTCGTGGAATATCGATACTATGTACGATACTAAGGCCGAAATCTGGAAGCTTCGGAAGGGGAATGTATCATACAGCATGGGCGGCGTTCTAAAGGCCTGTATATTGGATCCAGAATCGGTTTTTCCGCGTCGAAAGCGATTTGTACATCGATTCGCATGAACTGCGATCCCCTCCCGAGATGATTCCACTTGCAGACCAGCTTTCTCACTCGATTCAGCGCTGCACATCCAAGGAGTAGCCATAAATGCTCTCAAATGGCGTCTCGATTTGAGATGAATGGCTTTGTTTTGATGCCAGCTAATCATATTACTTGAAACGAGGCGGATCACGCTAACTCGACTGGGGTAGGTGATTATGGAAACATCTCACGGCATGCGTCGACCACCAGTCCTAGCTCTACGAATCATCCGCAGCATTCTAGTCTCTTTTGCAATTCTAGTTGGCATGATTTCATCCAGCTGAGCTCCATTTGCTCGAGTTTGAGGAGCTTGGGGTCGAGACGGGTATCGGATCTACTCTCCAAAGATAGGTTCCCCGGCCATGGTGTAATCTAGGCCAATGACAGCAATGGCACTTACATTCGCATCCAGCCTGCGTTCTAGGACAACTGTACTATTAGTAGCGCTGTGTAGGTACTGGGCATAGCTGTCATCCTACTTCAACATTGCTCCGAACGTAACGCTCCCTTATCAACTTGCTAACGCTTGGAACGGCGATCTTCCGCCATAGGCTAGCTGGATTCCGAACCAAGCTGTCTTGAGCGGTTTTAACCTCTTGCTATCTGTCATTTCCCACCAGTATTTACCCGCTGTTGAGGAATCAATAGGCCCATGTGCAGGGCTGAGCACAGGGCTGAGCTGTGACCCCTGATTCGCCTAGTCAAATTGGGTTAGCGTTCCGAGTATGCAACCTTTCGCCCATCTTCGACCACTGGTGGACGACATGATGCGGAGATTTGATGAGGGGGAGCGCTATGTTTAGAGTTCAGCTGTCAGCTCTGCTTCAGTCGGGAATTTGAGATCAAGGAATTGGAATTGACTGTGAACTGGGCTGAGCGGAGGGATGGTGAGTATATATGTCGGTCAATCTTCACCAATTTCCTTCTTCATCAGACTCAAACATCCTCAGTCTTCCAAGCCAGCGTCCCTTATCAACTATTCCACAGGAAGCCATCACCAACTCAACCTCTCCCCTTAACCTATCCCAAGATGGCCTCCATCCTCCGCAAAATCTTCCGCAAGAAGAAGAACCCACCCCTCAAGTGCGAAATCTCCCTCGACGGCCAACCCAGCTTGATGGAATCCGACCCTAACCACAAGCACACCGCCGCCTGCTTCATTGACTTCACACCCCTCAGCGTCCTCGAGCTCTTCCAATCCCAAGGCTGCGTCTCCTGTCCCCCCGCCCTCCCTAAGATCCAAGCCGCCGCCGCCAAAGACCCTAACCTCCTCCTCCTAACCTACAACGTCACCTACTTCAACAACTCCACCGGCTGGACCGACACCTTCGCTAGCAACCAGTGGGATGCGCGCCAGAAAGCGTACGTGAAGAAGTGGGGCCGCGATGGGCTGTTTACGCCGCAGGTCATCGCTGATGGCATCACGGATGGGACTGGCGCAGAGGAGGGCGATGTGTATGGGATTGTCGAGGCGGCAAGGGGTTCGAAGGGCGCGATGGAGTGGCATATTACGCTGGATGTGTCGGAGCTGGGCTTGAGGATTGATACTGATCTGCAGGAGGCGGAGGTGCATGATGTGCTGGTGATTAGGTATGATCCGAAGCTGCAGACGGTGAAGCCGAAGAAGGGACCGAATAAGGGCAAGAAGCTTAAGCATGTCAATCAGGTAATGCAGGTCATGAAGGTGGGGGAGTGGCGCGGGGGGAATTTGGATGTGGTGTTGCCGGAGATGGCGGGGATGATGGGAGATGGACTCGAGACGGTGGCGGTGGTGCAGCAAGGGGCTGGTGGACCGATTGTGGTTGCGCAGAAGGTCTAGTAAGGTTCGGGTTATGGATGTTACATTGAGGTGCTGGAGGATCTTGGGTGTGCGTTCTGCAGACTTTGTTTGCTGGTTCTGATATGAAGCCGTAGTTATACTGAATAAGCTTCATCTTTTTCACCCACCTTTATGATCAAACCACCAAATATGCTGTAAAAGATGAAAACCTTAAATCATTTCTTGGTCCCGTGACTATCTATCGCGACTAGAGATGGCGCCGGGGCCACTGACCTCCGCAGCCTTCACCCCTCATAGAATTTTTACAGCCATCAACTCCATCAAAACGATCTTTAAACGATCGCCAAATGCAATTGGAATGGCTGTCTGAATAAGCTCTACGTTTTCCAATCCTTTGTCACGCTCAATCGAGCACGCGACGCTTGGCCAGCTGCCCCGGATCGTCGCGGCCGATACTTGATACTGCACTCAACGCACGCAAAGGAGCCTCCCGTACTACAATTAGTACATTCTACCTTAATGCCAACTTTATAGCATGGATGCCTCTTTTACCGAGGCTACCAAAATGTCTTTGAACGCATCTTTGCTTGACAGCATCCTTGAAAAGCATGTTAGCGTCGATAGAACATTGACGAACAAAATCCAGGCAGCCGCATTCGTTGTAATCGAAGAAAATGGTAATCCTTACAGCCTTCCATTATTTATCCTTGAATCATTGCTCACCGACGCGTCTGAGAATAGGTGATACCTTGTATGCGAATGCTGTGGGGAGCCTCACTCTCGAGGAGGACGCTCCGCCATTCTCCTTGGACTCTGTCTGCTGGGTCGCCTCGATGACGAAACTCTATACTGCTGTAGCGGTAATGCAACTTGTAGAAAAGGGAGCTATTGACTTGGATGATGATGTTGGGAAGTTGATTCCAGAACTCTCGAACAAGGACATCTTAAAGGGTTTTCAGAAAGATAAGACGCCGATTCTAAGGAAATCAACTAAGCCCATTACACTGCGGTAAATGATGAAATCTAGACTTTCCAAAGATGAGCCTTTTTACTAAATTCATTACAGCCATCTTCTTACGCATTCGAGCGGGTTTTGCTACGACTACTTTAATCGTAACATCAAGAAATGGTCCGCCTCCGTCGGCCGTAAAATCGACTACCGATTGAATACGATCGAGAGCTTTAACTATCCATTGCTTTTCGAGCCCGGCAAAGGGTGGGAGTATGGCATCGGGCTTGATTGGGCTGGGCGAATCCTCGAAATCCTTAGCGACTGCACTTTGGAAGAGTATATGCAGCGCAATATCTTTGAGTCCCTAGGAATTTCATCAAGCACATTTTACATATCAGACCACCCCGAGCTCGCCAGCCGTCGCGCTGGTATTGGATTCCGCTCGTCACCAAATGAGCCGCTAACTTCACGCGCCGAACCTGCGCCGTCAAATTTACCTCTGGCTAGAGGAGGCAATGGGATATACACTACTCCAAATGACTACGCAAAGTTATTAGGTGCGCTGATCAATACTGATAACGGGATCTTAGAGCCTGAATCCCTCGAAGAGTTCTTCAAGCCGCAGCTAGCTAATCCGAAGCATCTTCAGATATTTTCCGATGGTCCCATGCACGATTCTGTGTTTCCAGAATTCCCTATGAAAATGGCAATCAATCATGGCCTAGGAGGGGCGGTCAATATGGAAGATGTGCCGGGAAAGCGGCGGAAGGGGAGTATGACTTGGAGCGGCGCCACAGGTTCGCGTTGGGTATGCATTACGAGAAAATCGGGCTTGGATCTTTGCTGACTTATTATAGTTTATTGATCTAGAGACAGGCATTGCAGCAGTCATGTTCACGCAAGTTTTCCCTTTTGGAGATCATGTGGTGTCTCAGCTTTACGACGAACTAGAGAGCGCGCTTTATCGATCTCTTCGCGGCGAATAGATGGATGATGTTACGATAAAAGTTATCAGATAGCTTGCCGCGAATTTGACGGCCGGTCATTGAAGTCTGGAAATCCCTCGTGGTGGACCATGGTACTTCGTTATTTCGTCACTTGGGCCACCTGGCCTCCCACGAACCTCCAACATCTTTCGCCTCTCTTCTCCTTCTCACTATCCACCATCCCAGGCTCTAGTACATCATGTACGATAACACCAACGAGAATAATGCGACCCCCTCAACCCGCGCAGAAGAGTCAATTAGAGCGCGTGTAAAGAGATGTCGAAAACGTGAACCCTCACGTCGCTTCGAAAAAGGTGCTCCGACCGCTACGCGGTCGATTCCATCGAATGGAGGTCATCACCGTCTAAGACACATCGCCGTGGACGCCCGAAATGATGGAGTTACGCACAGAGCATCGAATTCAGTCAATATCAGCACGCTTGCCTCATCCACTGGTCTGATGCTTAGGGATCTTCCGGAGGAAATCCTGGAAAGTATCGTCGCCTACTGCGGTAACTCTGGACCTTTCGAATTTGAAATTTCAGTAAACCGAGACTTGCGAAATCTATCATTGGTCTCAACTCAATTCCATCGCCTCAGTACGCCCGAGTTATATAAACAGTACAGCTATGACGTCGACACCGCCGGCTTGTTTTGGCGGACATTAAGACAGCACACCGGGAGAGGCCTTCTAGTTCAAAGTATCAAGCTGCCACTGAAACATATCTCCAATGATGTGCTAAACAGGGTGTCAATACCGGACGACGTTGACGCCAATCTGCGCAGAAAACTTGACGTATCATACAGCAAACGAGCTTCTAGCGACGTGAGAGCCGAAATCAAAACTCTTGTGCTGAACAATATGCTGGTAGTCTGGCACCACGTCATAAATTCCTGTCCCAATGTACGCTATGTGCTACCGACGGGACAGTGGTTGCTATTCGAAAGCAGCTTCAATCCGTCCACACGGGAGCTTTCCGCCGGTCTTCGAATACAAAACCCGAGTCTTCGCGTCTTCAACAGCCCTGTCATCCGAGATTGGATGTCGGATCCGCGGATCCCACGCCAAGCATTTCGATTCCAGACAGAGATTTACAATCCCTTCCACTTGGAAAATATCTTGGAGCTTTCTACGCTGCGGCAATTGCGGCTACAATCAGTATTTCAATTCACCGTACATAGAGCGGGAAACTTCCAGTGGTACAACTGGACATTTACCTCGCAAGCCTTTTTCCCTATCCAAGATCTCGATCTTGACGAGTGCTGGTTTGAAGATTCGAACATTAACATGTGGCTCAAATCCTGCCCGAGTCTCAAAACCTTCCGCTACAAATTACTCGGTCCAGAGTTAGACTACAATCTCAATACGTCGCCTGATTCACCCACGGGACTCTTCTCGACTGTCGGACTGTTCAAAATTTCGACGGCCCTTGAAGGTGTGCCCACTCTTAAGACAGCCATCGAATCCATTGAGATCTTCGAAGCTAGAGCTAGATGCGGTGGCAACCGTCAATTCGACTTCGCCTTACCCTTTCTGCACGACTTCGAGCGCTTGGCGTATTTGGGTCTGTCGACGTACGTACTGCATGGGTACTGGCTCCGCGTCACTGAAGAAATCTATCAACATGTACCACCACGAGATTGTCTGGATATCTTCCCCAGACGATTGGAAAAGCTTGGCCTATTCGGTGTGCAGGCAGAGTACAAGAGAGGCATCCTAGGCTGCCTGATGGAACTATCAAGAAGACGTTCGACCGAGTTCGTGGCATTTCAGAAGGTCACGTTTCATTATCGAAATGGAAAGATAGACCGGAAATCGAAGGCAAAGCTACAAGGGCTACTTCGCGCGGCTGGCTTACGGATCGAGTTCAAGCAGTCCACGGTAATTAGTTGAGCATTTTACACGAACTCCAAATTCTTCAAAGAATGGGTCGTATCGAAAGTCGGAGTTCCCAGAAGCAGGCCCGAGGCTGTTCCATTCTGACGCGCTCCTTACAATTCTGCAACATAAGGTTGGGAACCCTTTCTTGCCACTACTTGGGGTACTCCCATGGGATTTTCACAATCCAGATTCAATGTAAAAGTCTATCCAGTGGAAATTAGGCAACCTTTTGACTACCTGAAGAACTGCTAGCGAGGTCACTGCTCACAGTGGCGTCGAGCGAGCAAGCGTGGAACCCGCGCAATGATATACCCGTGTACCCAAATTTGTTGATCTATTACTATACAGCATATCACCACGCTTGCACTGGCTTTGTGGATGTATCTAACAATGCTTAAGCGCCGCGAACTTGAGTGTATATTGAAAGCAGTGAAAATTAAACCTTATTCGGGTTTTTAAACGTATATTGAGGCACCTGTGACGGTCGTGAGAGAATTCAGGGTGGACATCCGAATCGCGCTTAACGCAACCTTAAGCCAACGTCGCGAGAATCGTCCTTCATCAGGCTCGGAGGTGTCTACAGCGCCAGGACACAAGTTTGGGCTCGCTGTCTTCTTCATCCCGTCCCAATTTATAATGAGGTGGTGAAGCACCCCAAACAGCGGCAAGTAGGCCGACCGTCCACATGTGAAACCTCTCTGATTCAAGCTCTCAGAGACTTTACATCTTCTGAAATCTTTTAGGATGTGCTAAAGCACCTCTAACGGTGGTAAGCAGCTGCACCCACACTTTTGGCAAGGCGCTGTACCTTGGGGTTGCTATTTCTATCTATCAATCTGTACCTCATCCCTTGAAACGACCGGGTCGAGGGCGTAGGTTGCTTCCTCTACACTTGCTCGCTATGGAAAGAAGCTTCGATAATGGCACTTTATCGTAGTACATAGTAGTGCATGCTTGTGGTGACTTGTAATGAGTATTGATTCATTATTGTGGATCTATGTTTGTACAGAAGGCTCTTCATAGAGCGTCAAAAAGAGGAAACAAGAAGACGGCCTGTAAGGCTACATTCAAGAACGCTATCTATGGCGCATGTTGCTTAGTACCAGTCCATCTCGTCCGACTCGCCGTCACCGCCAGTCGTATCAACAGCGATTGGTTCGGCGTTGACTACTGGTGGAATACCGACCTGTATCTTGCCATCCACCCTGACCAGCCACATAGGTGCTTCTCCGTCGATCAAGTAGTCGACCCATAAGTACCAGTCATACTGACTCTTTCTAACCGGGTCCTGCATCATTATCATACTATGGTTAAGCTCCTCCAGGCAGTTGCCCATTGCCTTGTGTTCCTCGTAGGTAGTCGCAGCGTTCAGCCGAGCCCTGAATAAAGCGTGAAGTGATTGATAATGAGCACGGAACACCTCGATAGAGCAGCCCGTGGGTAGACTCAGCCGGGCGTACAGGTTCGAGGATGGGTTAGTGATGAAATACTCCGTCGTGGGTTCCGTGCCTCCATCGATACGATCCGGCCTGTCGGGCTTTGGACCCGCCAAGACGCCATCAGCCCACAACTTGAGATCATACTCAAGCTTTGTGTTGGGATCAAGGAGCTCTAGTACATCATTCTGCAGCTGCTCGCTGCATCGTCCTCTTTCGCCTTGTCTGCGGCTGTCTCGATATTGGCATAATTCTGAAGCATCGCGTCGTACATCTCACGTACGAAATATATGGGGGTACCAGGTGAAAGATTGAGCAGGGTGTAGAGCTCGGGTCGAGGCGGCTTCTCGTTGATGTCAACTCCGCGGTCGTAGTCTGCTCGTCGGGCATCGTCTTTGAGGATGTCATACGCCTCTGATATGATCTTGAACATCCGGGCGGCAGCCTCCTGGAGCTCTGGCGTAACCTTGTCTGGGTGGCAGGTTAAGGCCTTCTTGCGATAAGCCTTGATGATTTGTGTCGTTGTCGCAGTCGAAGCAATACCAAGGGCCTCGTAAAGATTCGCGGAATCAAGTATGAAGTCCTCCGGCCTAGAAGCCTTGGCTCCAGATTTTGCGTGCACCTTAGCAGTAGGAGCTGCTTCTGAAGATATAGTTTCGCCAGCTGAGGTATTAGGAAGGTATTCGGTAGGATCGACAGCTTCGCTTGAGTCGACCTTCGGTGACTCAGAAGACTCCTCTAGGGCAGAGGCATCCTCGCAGATACGTTTATCGTCTTCAGCCTTGGTGAGGTCTTCATGCTCCTCGATGTCTTCTTTTGGTGCCGCATTCAATTCAGGGGACCAACTCAGGGCTACTACCGGCTCGTGGGCATCCTGGATGCTGTTGTTCGCGGACGTTGACTCAGGCCGAAGGCTCGCGCCGCTGCGTAGGGTTGGTGTAGTGGGAGTAGCCGGTGCGTCCTGGACGATTGGAGTTTGTGTGACGTGTTCGGGAGTCTTTTGATCTTCATCGTGTGAGATTGCCTTGCTGGTGCTGGTAGCAGAGCTTTTTTTGGCGTCATGGGATTGAGTAGAGGAGCGGGATCTGCTCTTCAGAGAGCTTGATAGTGACGCTACCCTCGTATCATGACGCTGCAGCCTGTCAGTGGTTGTCGCAAGAGGTGAGGAGGTTCACTACTCACTTCAACAACTTCCTGTGAGTTGCGACGAGATGACTCATCCGGAGAAACCGTATCCCAGCTGACCGTATCTTCGATGCGCAAGGACGCTGCGAGAGTTCGAAAGGATGCTGCGAGAAAACGCAAAGAGGTTGCGAGCTCCGTCAGAGCGGAGTGAGGGAAGATCATGAGAGTGAGAGCAAGAACCACCAGTGCAAGTGAAGTCCAGACAAGTAGGGTGATTAAGGCGTTGACAATCTTGACGAGGATCAAAGTGAGGAGGAAGAGAAGAAGGATCTGCAGCGGGAGTGCAGCAGAAAGCATGGTGTCACACTTGTCCATGATGGCTATGGTAACACGTGGGGATGTTGCAATGAAGGTAACAACCACCTGTAAACAGAAAGACTTTCTCAAAAATGTGGTGAGGTGGACGTTGAGAAAAGTGGTGGGTGAGGTTTGTTTCAGAGGTGTGTTGTGGGAAAGAATGTGGAGCCCCGAGATGTTTATAGAGAGCCGAGTTTGGACGGGTGATGGCAGCTGGCGTAGGAAGGGCAAAGGATCAGTGAGGAAAGCATGAGTTGTATTGAGGTGCTAATGAGTGGCTATATAGTGAAGAGAGACCAGGGGTTGCAGGCAGCAACGGTGACAAAACAACAGGTGAACCCTGTCCAGCTGAGAAGTGAACCCTGTACAGCTGAGACGCGTAGACAGACGTGCGTAGGAGCATTCTAACTGGCTGCCAGGTGATCCAAGCGTCTAAGGTGGGTGGTAAACGCGCGGCTGTGGAGGCAGGCGTAAACAAAGGCTTCTAAGGTGAATTTGCCAGTGTGTGTTCTTGCTGCACTTCCAAGGTCTTCGATCTACCGCGCGCCTAATCTTCTCTCCTACTTGAAGCCCCTCTGCTGCAGGCTGGTGTTCTTCCTCACACCATCTACCTCGTCAACACACTCTCAAGTGCCCATCCCACCACCCAAGTTGGAACAGCTTTTGAGACACACCTCCCACCCTCACAATCCTGATCCTGTGGAACCAAACTTCTTTCCATTTCTACAGAGAAGACCATGTCTTCCCATACCCAAGATGATTCCTCCACCAAAGAACCCACCTTCGCCGACTTATTCAAAGCCATCCTCCTCGTCTTGGTCATCAACACCCTTCTTGCCCTCATGATTACTCTCAATCCCATCATTGGTCACCTTGACGTCGCAATCCTATTCAACATACTTCTCCTCCTGATCGCGGCTGTGTTCACTCACTTCCAGCCCGAAGGCACTACCAACGATGGGCATATCGCAGATCGCCACGAAGGTGTGGACGACAAAAAGGAGCCTGTTATCGGCCGCTTGCTCTACGCTGGCCTCTACCTCACCGGCCTCAATGCGGCTCTTAATACAATCCGTGTTTTGCACCTAGTCCCACTGTCGCTTCTCCTCGTGGTCTCGACCCTTTTGATCGCAGAGATAGTCCCATACCTACAGTCTGAAGATGCTGTCCAGCATGCCGAGACGTTCATGCTTGACGATAGCGCGGAATGGGAGCTGGCTTCTGAGATAATGCCGAAGGTCGACGTGAGTGGCGCATCCAAGACAGTTCTAGAGGATTTCATTAACATCATATAGATTAAAATGTACACTTCGAAGTTCACATCATACATTTCCTCGCTATTAATTAGAGCGGAGTTGACCATTAGCTTTCTTGCTTCCAAGCTTGGATCAGTCACAAGCATCCTCTCCTGCAAAGACGGAGCTACGAAGCGCGTGACTGGAAATACTGGCGCCCCACATACCGCTCTGTACAGCAAGACGCAGGCCCTCAAGCACGGCGCCGAAGCCCACCTCCCATCTCCTGCACCGACGCCAACCTCCGCGCTCCCCACACTGCCAACATCAACGGAGAACAAACAACTCCAGCCGCTCACCAAAGCCTTCGCCGGGAAGATCAACGACAAAGCCTTCATCGAAGAGTTCCGTCAACTTCTCCAAATCCCGCCGAATGCCACTGTGGCTCAAGCGAAGCAGGCTATCAAAGCTCGAGACAACAAGATCATCGTGGACAGAGAGTTGATGAAGGATGAGGAGACGGCGGAAAAGCTGCGACTGATAGTCGTGGCGACTTCCTTCCTCTTTCAAGAGCCACTGGAACTGGTGTCTGTGAAGAAGTGGCTGCATCCTCGTCCGCTTGGACCTGGAGTGACGAAGATTGGGGGACGGCGGCGCAACCGCCACTAAGGCTTGGACGGTCGACATCAGCAGCCCCGCTCAACACCGAAAAGGCTTTCGAATGGCATGTACGACGGTCTTCGGAATCGGTCTCTGCACCTCGAAGCAAGCTAGGTACAAGACGAATGCGATGTCATTCTCTATGGGACTAGTATTTGAAGAATCCGGAAGTGGTTTCCGCTTAGCGGGTTTGAACAAAACCTATATCCGACTCAGGACTTGCTGCATGGTGGAAGGCGCGTGGGGTGCATGGCATGGGTTGACAATTTGCGTTTCTTTTGATCGTGTTTGCTACACAGCCTGTATCTGGTCGGGCAGATTCTGGGGTTTAGGTTGAGGCTTAAGCAATGGTTCGACAGCGAGTTTCACTTTAAATTAGTTCAATACTATGTGGCTACTATTGCATACATCTTTTGCTACTAGGTTGCAAGTTTTAATTACATTGACCTACCTGTTGCTCATCGAACTATGAACTCGCACCGTGACCGCAAGAAACCTGTCTAGAACCCATGTCAGTGGAAGTATCGGATTTTTGTGCTTAATCTAGCCCACTTAATCGAGAGGATTCTTCAACGGAGGACTCAAGCTGCTTAGTTGATCCAACTAACCCTATCCTCCTGTGTATATATACTCTTCTTCCTACAGTAGTCTCTGCAGTAGTAAATTAAACCTCTTAGCAGGTTCATACCCATTGCATCTGTTCCCTCTAGAATTTGTATCCCTCTCTAAATATGGCTCGCGTCCTTTTATCCGAAAGCCAGGATACTCAACACGTAATCGTAAGTACACAAGTAGAAAAAAGAGAAAGATGAAATGGTATCTGGCAAAGCCAGAGCATGACGTCCGACCACGTGATGGTCATGTGACCTAGAGCCCGGTTCGGTCCCTTGGTAGTCAAGTAAACTGTGTAAGCCAACATATGTAAGTCTTCCAGGCAATGCTTTTGTTGCGTTACAAAAAAGGGTCAATGGAAAATGCTAAGACCGTGGAGCCTTAGATAAGCAGCAGCAGATGCAGAAGGAAAAGAAAGAAGGAGTTTTTTTAAATAGACCGGCAGAAAGATGAGCTGACCAAATAGTCCTAGCTTGGCCAGACTGTCTGCTTGGTAATAATGTTAAGATCGCTTGCCAAAAAGATAAGACGGTGAGTTACTTGTTGCTCAGCGCGCATCAGGCACGCAAGAGCTCAGGCTCATGAAAACTTGTAAATGAATTCGCGAGAAGTCACAAGGCTATAGAGGTATATCACGGCAAATTGTAGCGGATGCTGGTCATTTAAGTCATTCTCTGCCCAAGAAGAGGTACCGTTAAGGTTTCTAAGCCACACTGACCGAGCCGAGAAACCCTAGCCCGAACGTCCTACAGTTCGCTGCCGTTTACGATAAACAAAAGCCCATAGCCATGGCCAACTCTCCGCTCAAGAGAAAGCGTCTTTTAAAAAGGAAAGAGAAAAGCATTCCCGAAAGGAGGGATCGAATAGACAAACAAGGTATAAAAGAAAAAGGAAAGAAAAAAGCTTTGAACGCATGGATAGGATAGAGACAACCGCCTAGCTTTCTCAGCAAAGCCTCTGGACATTCTCGTTCTTTTCATAATGCCTTCAGGCAAGAGTTGCCCTCTCGGTCTTTTCAAGCTCAGCCTGCCTTTTTCTCGCTGCCTGCTCTTCCACCGTCGTCCATGCCGGTCTCCTCTGAATGCGACCGGCCCTCCACAACGACTCATCATACCAGTATTTGTTTAGTGGCTCCCCAATAATCGCCATGTACGTGTTGTAAAGTTCAATGAGCCTCGTGGCCCGAAGCAACTCATTGCTTGTTGAAGTCTCTATTGAGAGACCGGTAGTGAATGACGTCGTAAATCGCGCGTAGGCCTCCCAGACTTCGCGCATCGTCGCGCCATCATGAAGGCCCAGGTACGAATAAAGAAATGCGTCGATGAACTCGCCCTGCGGACCTTGCATTGCGTTCGCACTCAGTTCTTCGTCGGTGTGGTACTCAATGTTGACCACCACGTACCCTCCGACGACCGCTCTGAGGACCTCAGGCTCTCTACCCACCATCCTCCAGTTCATCCACAGCTCCCAGTCGTAGTAAGACTTCTTGACCGGATCCCACAGATCAACAGTCGCAGACTGAAGCTCTGCCTGCTTATAAAGGGCCTGCCGCTGGAGCTCGTCGACGTCGTCGCCCGTAGCAATGGCGATCTGGATCTTCGCGTCGTACTCTGTGAGGATCTGGTGGCAGCGCTCCTGTACCTCGTCGATAGTTGCGCCGTTTCGAGTACCTAGTATCTCGTAGTATGTAACACCAAAGACTGGGTCCCTATTAGGGCGTTCTTCCTCCTCGGCGTCCGGCCCAGCATCGATTTTGGCGTTATGGTCTGTCCTAAGTTTGTCGTTTTTCAGGGCCGCAGCCGCTTCTCCAATCAACTTGAACATCTCGTCGGCCTTCTCCTTGTCCTCTGGAGCCATCTTGTCCGGGTGATACTTAATGGCCATCTTCTTATAGGCCTTGCTAACCTGTTCGGTAGTCGCATCTCGTGGGATATCAAAGAGTTCGTAGAAGTTCACGAAAGTCTTCTTGATTGGCTCAGTCTCAAGGTCTCCAGCACTCTCGTTGTTCTTATGTTCTGTAGCCCTCGTATCGGTCTCCGCAGTAGAGGTGGTATAAGCGGTAGGGTCCGGAGAAGTCTTCGAAGATCCGTGGAAAGAAGCAGAAGACGTTGACGGTTCAGAGGCGTGCTGCGTCTCAAACCACTTCTGGGAGGAGGAGGGAGCCGATGAGATAGAGATGTTTGGAGACACGGAGGGTGCCGGCGAAGAAGTCTTCGAAGAGGAGGGTGGCGTTGAGAATCTAGAAGCATTTGAGGGGCTAGAGGGTATGCTGGACGTAGGGCCCTTTGGCGAGATAGTGCTCTTAGTTGGCTTGAGAGCATCGGAGTGAGACTTTGAAGAGATGGAGTGTGCAGACGAGGCCTTGCCGCCATTGTACAAGCTCTGCTTCTTTGACCGGACGGGAATCTTGCTGCTTCGCTTGGTGGTTGCGGATATCTTCTTGCTAACTGGCGGGCCGGTGAATGTGGTAGGTTGAGGGCCCGGCTCTTCGACCTGAGTGTTGTTAGTGGCAAGTTCAGCGGAGGAGTCGCGTATGTCACGAACCTTGGTGTGTTCCTGCTTGTCGCCTGTCTGTGTGCACTCAAGGGTAGTCTTGTTGTCTTCAACCACCTCAATGCCTGGCTGAGAATGCTCTGCGTCCACGCTAATAACAATGTAGAGCGCAAAGATGGCCACGCAGAGGAAACAAAGGTGTATGAAAGGGGCGAAGAGCATGGATGCAATCCAAAAGACGCAGTGGAGACTCATTGACAAGAGCTCGCAGAGGCAATGTAGAGCAATGGTAACTAACACCAGAGGCAAGATGCAGGCCGCGGGCGACCGCTTCTTTGCCGGTCCGACTTCCATGGCGTTGAAACTTGGATGAAGGGAGCAGAGTTTTGATGTTCTCATGGACTTGTTAAGGGTACCCCAGTCAATTGTGGAAGGTGTGTTATGGTGTGGTTGAGTGGGAGTGATCTGGGAGGTGGATGATAGAGGACGGAAGACGAGTCTGAGGGAGCGGCTTTTTGTAGGTGCAATTGATGAATCACATAAGCGGGGCGGAGACTCCCACGCCTAGTGCGTGACTGCACTGCAGCCGGGCTCGGGCTTGCTGTGTATTCACTGAGACGTCTGGTGTCACGTGGCTGAGGCTTAGTCACGTGGCTCCGGTTCAATTCAGCGCGCTGCTCTTCCTAAACAGCAGACTCTTTGACTCACATGAGCGTCCCCGGCAACTAAGCTCCTAGATGTGATCGATAAGGGCGAGCCTAATCATAGCCCCCCTTTTCACTCGTCGTAGCCCCCCTTTTCTCTCCGTGTAGCCCTCCCTAAATTAGGTCTAGCTCCGGCCCGTATAAATATTGTTCCACTAATCAAACTCACTCGCTTGCCTCTATAGGCTGCGTAAAATGGAGAGTATGTATACACAAATTGGAAAGGATGCATTATCTAGGCCAACAGGAGTCTATTCACTCTATCTACTCTAGCTAGTCTAGAAGCGGAAAGCGCCTAGATGGCCTCCGTCCAATTGCAGTCGCATTCCAAAAAAACTTTGCGCACTTGTGGTGGAGTACGTTTGTCATACTTATTACCACATTTTCGTAAGGCATAGCCCTGCGCCTTTGCATAGGCCTGGATAGATGCTATACCAGCCTCTACGGACTTGTAGCGGGCCCAAGGGGGTGCCCGGAGTGGCATGGTATTGAGGTGGGATGTTGGAGAGAATGTTGTGCGTTCACTGGTGATGTATATATTTGGTGATCTTGGCGTACGAGGCAAGCTAGAGGCAAGCGAGTGAGTTTGATTAGTGGAACAATATTTATACGGGCCGGAGCTAGACCTAATTTAGGGAGGGCTACACGGAGAGAAAAGGGGGGCTACGACGAGTGAAAAGGGGGGCTATGATTAGGCTCGCCCATCGATAATGCTCACAAAGCGCTAGACCATACCCGATAAATTTGGACACACCAATATACCACTGCTCTAGCTTCACTATTGCTTGATCAACACCACTGTACCAAACTTCGTCGATGCGAGTTTTGTCAAACTACCTGTCCTACAGCAACTACCTGTCCCACAGCATTGCCAGAAAGCTACCGTCGCTTTTCATGATGGGCTCATAGATAACCTTCCCCTCCTTCTCTTGTCATCGCTCACATTGGCGAGCTAACGACAGCTCAATCGCAAGCTCGTGATCCGACAGCTGGAGCAGCTCGGCCCTCGACGGCGGCTGGGGTGCCATACTGGCACCCCGATGTTGGGTGACGTCAGTGCCTTCGTTGCCGTCGGCGTCAATCCACAAGTCTTTCAGGTGAAATGGAAATGGCGACCGATTCTGTTGCGAACTATGACGTACCGCGTAGGCAGCAAGATCAACAGAAAAAGTTTAGGTGGCCTGAGCGTTCTCTAAGGGTATATATTTCAAAAAATCACTTGGGCATCCTCAAGTTACGGTGGCACAGTGGATTGCTCTGGTGAAGCCAACTAAGAATCGGCTATACCACCTGGGGCTCACTTGTCTACCAAGCGACGTTCGCGGCTTGGTACCACCACCGGGGTGGATGTAACTTTTTTTTCACTTATTTCGCAGATTTTTGTTCTTTCAGACCGCCTGCTCTTCTAGCGTTCGGAGGTGTGATGACTGACATTCACCAGCTTTAGACTCTTGCAGCTGCGGCGGACGGTCCCCAGCCGCTAGCAGACAAATCATCACGAACCTGCCAAGAAATATGCGGTCCGCCATCTGAAACGCTTCCGCAAACAAGTTTTCTATTGCGACGTTCCCCCTGGCCGTCGCCAAGACCTTATTGCCGTGTACCGCGTGGAGCAGGATGATGTCCACAAGGGTTGAGGCCTTGCCACATTTTGGGCCGCCTTCCAGCACAAAGACAGGACGCATTGAACCCATCAAGGCTTGCTTTTGTTGTTCATTTCGTGGGCGTCCGATCTTGGCGCGAGTCTTCCAGGATGACCATCTCGCGGCTGAAATTCGGATTCGTGTTGACATCAAAACGGGACGTCGTCGGCCCCGTGTAGATACACCGGACAATGGCTGCCAGGCCTAGTGCACCTGGCGCGCCGGGAGGCCTTGCCGTTGCGATCCGGTGCATTGTAGTCAGTCTGGCTTTGACACCAGCACTCCATACCGTCACATACACGGTGATGTCCTCCAGGGAATTGTCTTCCAGGTTCACTGGACTATACCCAACGGTTGCGTCGAACAGGAAGTCGAAGTCTACACTCTCCGTTGCAATGATGACACCGTGGAACACTTTACGGTCGTCTTCGCCCCCGGGAAACTTGTCTTGGTCGACTAGGCGGACGACAACCTTCGAACTGACGCCCGGTATCGGTTTTTCTGCCCCAGCCGGCATGCTTTCGCCACTGGCCGTGACGCCGATAAGCCATTTCTTGCGCTCGTCCCGAAAGATTGCCCTGTGCACGTGCCCGCTGTTCCAAACTTCGTCGATGCGGGCTTTGTCGAATTTCCTGTCCCAGAGCATTGCCGGAGCAAAGACGTCTTGCACAACAGCCATCGTGGGGTAGCGGAAGATACCGTCGCCAGTCATGACCGTCTCATAGAAGACCTTGCCCTTCTGCTCTTGTTACAGCCATGGTGGTAGCTTTAGCGAGTTCGCGTCCATAGATCCGGTATAAAGTCCCTCGGTAGATGCTCCAAAGGCATCTCGGTCATGGTAAAACCAGTTGGAATAGTAGCTAACATATTTCGACTGTGTTTGAAAAATGTCCATGACGTCGCTAAGTTGTTGGAGGCAGTCGTCTTCTCCACTGAAGACAATTGGTATTGTGATCTCGATTGTGATTCCAGTAGCTGATTCTGCTACGATCGAGTTGAAGAGGTTGTTCAACGTCTGACAAGCATCGTCCTTTGGACCCGTGGCTGCGGCTGGTTTGAAGGTGCCGTATCTCAGCTCTGAACCTGAGGTGCAGATGGCCGGTTAGCCTAGCTTGACGCGAAATGATATCTCGACGATCGAGGTTACTGTTTCCGCGAACTGCATGTCGGTGATTTTCGCTGGTTCCGCGTACCTCGGCCTTCCTTTGCTATGCTTGATGTAGCTCCATGACTCTGCTTCAATCTGGTCGGCAGAGAGAAGACAACTTCGGCAAAGAAGCCATCGAGGCGCCCAGATATGGCGTACCTTCCCATGATCTCCGAAAAAGCGCGATGGGATCCGCTCATGGACCGCACTTGAATGCTTGAGTTCTTCCTGAGGTACAGAGCTGAGGGGGGCCGCCTGCTCATCGCGGATGGGCGGCATCGCGGGGTTTGGAGGGTTCACAATGGCGAAATGCAGGATGGATGCGATATTGTGACTTGCTTTGATGTAGAGTCAAGGTTGCGTGGAGACAGAAGGGATGGTGGATGATATACAGGTGATTATTGGGTAGAACGAAGACGGAGGTAGGGCAGAGCGGGATTTTGTATCTACGGCGGGGGAGAGACTACAATTGATAAGCTATTGGCTAGCGAACTATCACTTACCGGACCGCCTCGAAGCCGCTGCGGAGCATTCACTACGGCGGAATTCGTTGCGTGGCTTCGGCCTGAAATGCGGCGTCGCGCTCGCACGCAGGACTGAATCACGTAGAATCGCTGCGCATTGACCACAGGGACGGATTGCAATGACAGGGTTGCGATTTTGGGGGTAAATAACGGAGGATCGAGAGACCTCACGATCCTTGGCGTGGTGTTTCATCCGAGCTTTCAACGCAGCTTGATTTCAAGCGGCAGGCAAGGAAGACTTTAGATGTGGACTGGAATCGCACAGGATTCGATGTAATCATAGAGGCAATCGAAATTAAGTTAAGATAAAAGAGAATCACAATAACCTAAAACGGCCTGTAGCTTTTACCATGAGCCCGCAAAAGGTTACCTCTCCTACCTCAAATTTGAACCCATCGACACCATCCCATCGATAGACCTTCTGATTCAAACACCCATCTCATTCTCAAAGCCAAACTCTCTAATTTGCCCTCCGCAGCCCAAGATCATGGCAACACACTTACCACATCGCAGGACCTCACACCGCAAGAGGACTCACTCAAACCTTTTTCTCTTCGGCCCAGGTCTTCAAACCCTCTTTCAACCCATTCACCAGCGCATGATGAATCACATCCTCCTCGAACGACAAATTCTGAACTCTCCACTCCAACCACGACTCCGCCCTCACCCCGTCCGCCGCATCCAACACGCCCACCGCCACGTCAACCATATCCGGCCTATCGTCAACATGATACGCAACTTTGGCCCCACAGACGCCACAGAAGGTCCTACTGACATCCGGGGAGGAGCGATACTGCTTTAACGTCCCGAAGACAGGCCGGTAGGGCGAGCCGTCGGCAAGAGTGATGCGGTCGACAGCAGGATAGATCCAGGACACGATGGCGCTGCCGGAGCTGAAGCGGCAGGTGGTACAGACGTCGTTGGAGGCATACCATTTGGTAGGGTCGGCGGGTGTGAGCGAAGGAGGAAGCAAAGCTCGCGAGGCGGGCGTGGGACGAGCAATGTTGAGTGAGACGCCGCCGCAGTGGCAGGAGGCGTGGAGGATGTCTTCTTTTGGCTGAGCGGCGTCTGCCGTAGCTGGAGCTGGCGCCTTCCAGTCGCCAGATTCGGACGTCGAGTCTGGCATAGCTGCTCCGGCCCATTTTTGCAGTGATTTGCCCCCAACAGCTCCCAGCCAAGTGCTCAACCCACCATCCTTCGTATCTTCAAGGTATATGTGCTTGCTGAAGTCCCAAAGGTTCTCAGTTCCTTCAACAATGCTGATTGAGATGTTCCATTTGTTAGTTTTGCAGTCGTAATCCAGCATGTGGGTGCCGCAGGTGGTGCAGAAGTATCGCTTCACGGCTTTCGACGACGCGTAGGCCGTCAGAGTCGAGAGATCGACCGTCGGGGCTGGGATGTAAGCATGGAAGACGCACAGTGAGCCATGGGTGCGTCGGCAGGTGTTGCAGTGGCAGAGGTGCACGGCGAGAGGGAGTGATGCCGTGGGGACGGCGACGGAGACGTGAGACGCGTTGCAGAGACAGTGAGCCTTAAGTATCGTCTCGAGGGTGGTCATGATGACAGCAGATGAGGGCGTGGCGAAGGGAGAGTTGCATTGAAGTGTAAAGAGGGTGAGGAGTCATTAAATGCGGCTTGGAGTCTTGGAATGTGGGATGGAATACGAGACACGTCGATAGGAGGTACGACGTCGACACGTCGTCCCGTGCAGCGTGATGCGGGGCAAAAGCTGCTAACCATATTAGGTCTTCTTCAACCTCACTCCATCAGCGAGATATGGGAATCTTCCACCGAAATAACAGGATCAATTGTTAGCCCATGAAAGAGATTCCCAGCAACCTGCCATCTAGATGGGGGGCCAGAACACTGGTAAGTTTAGATTTACATAAGAAAACACTCCGACATTCCCGCCATCACCAGCGGCTTCACCCTTTCCTCTTCAGGGACCGCCGGGTCTGCCTGTCACTCCACATAGCGAATCCACGGCGACACTTCCGACACCAGCGCTCTCAAAATCTCTTGCTTCGCTCCGGGATCTCCTAGACGCATCTTCAACCGGAAGGGTGCGATCTCGATGATAGTGTGCTCCTCTTCCATCCGTAACCCACCGCTTCGTCCCGCGGCTTCGAAGTCGTGGGATTCCATGTACTGCGCGAACGTCTTTTCAAAGTCCGCGGTGTACTTGAGCGCCTGCTCATACTGTCTCAGCCGTGCGTTGAAAATCGTAGGCTTAGGACCAAGATACGCTGTCACGAGAGGATGCTCTGGGATCTTGAGAAGAGCGTCAATCGTATTTCGTGTTGCGAATTTCGGGTCGATGGCACCTGCGAATAGCGAGATGAGCGTCGCGTGTGGATTCTCGGCGACTGGTCTGAGGAGCGGGCCGAGACGGCGCAGTGGAGTTCCTTCTCCGAGGAAGCCGTCGTCGGTGACGTTGGAGACCTTGTGTATTCAGCATCTGTTCGAGGAATGGGGAAGATAAAGGGAGATAGGGCAAACCTAGATGCGGTCGAATGGTCGTCCACGATGTCCCCAGGCTGGTAATAGCCCTTGGATTTGTTGAAGGTCGTCTTGAGAAAGCCAGAACTCGAAGGCTTTCTGGCGGAGACGGCTGTGGAATTGAACAGAGGTCTCTTGGAGGTAGACGTAGAGCTTGCCGAAGGTATCGCCTCAGGGCAACCTCGCATTATTCTTCTCTATCACATCCAGGTGTCAGCCGCCTAGAGGAGTGTTGCCCCCATGAAGTGGAGACCAAACGTCACTTCCGACCAGAAAGGTGCTTTAGTGGAGTTAGCAGGCAATTGGAAGAGTTTCGTTGTGTGTAGAGCTGGTTCGAGAAGACCAAACTTAGGGATTGGGTACATTGAACTCTTCGTGACTCCCAAAGTGCGCGAGGACTCTCCGATCAAAGAACCTCTCATGGCTAACCCGCGACGAAGGTTCCCTGTTGAAGATATTCGTTTCGATCTCGAAACGTTTCCAAAGGCGAGACATTATCAGATGTCGACATTCCTTGACCTTGCCAGAAGGCGTGCAGCAAGCGAGAAGATGTTCCCATTCCAGTTTGTTGAAAACCAGACGGAGAGATGACTTCCCAGAAATCCATTCTTCGGAATGAACGTAGGTAGGACTGCTTTTTCGAACACCACCGTTCCCCAGCTGTGTACAAATACGTTCAATAACAGATCGTAGCTCATAGCTCCAACACCAATCCGCGGTCTCGTTGACGATTGCAAGATCCCGCACTGCTTCACAGATCAAATTTATATACTGAGTAATGCAAGACGCTAGGATGGTGGTATTGTGCTTACAAGAATCCTACTTCTATGTTGTCGCCCTGACCGTAAGGAGCACGGACCGGAACTCATCCGACATTCTGTTCCCGAGGCGGGGCAGCTAGTTAGGGATGGATGGAGGATTATGTGAAAGTAGGTAGGACATCCCGCAATCCTATCGCAACGTCGCTCTTTAGTTTATCTTCTAGCCATTATAAATGCTGAGCGCTAGGTCCGTTGAAATCTTGTGTGCGTTCTTCGTCAACTGTCTCACCGTCGTCTTCATCCCTCTAGTCTAAAACAAGCAAAATTGGGACGACATCGCGTCACATCATGATTATTAGTTATTATTATAACGGGGATACGAAAACCCAAAAGCACACCACGCTTCCCATAACCATCATCAACTCAGCCACTCTTACCCAACGGGGCGCAGGCACATGCGGCATTAGAGACCGAAAGCAATGCTACCCCCAACAGCGACGACGGCGGCAGCGAATACTGGCCCCACAATACTACCCAGCCATCCTGCACCTTTAATGCCATGAGGAGACCAGCCGGCAGCACCGGTGAACTGTGGAGGGGGCGAAGGAACAGGCGTAGTCAGCGAAGGCGGCGTGAAGAGAACCTGGGCGTTTGTTAGCGAACAGCATCGTTGACGACATGCCATGCGTACCTTGTCGATGAGGTGCACCACTCCATTAGTTATGACGATATCTGCTTTGACAATCTTCGACGTTCCGTTGACGAGGATACTTCCGTCTGATCCCGTGCCAATGGTGATTCTAGCGCCGGATGTCGTCTTGAAGGTCGCGCCGGAGATGAGGAGGGGCGAGTAGGCGGCGTAGCCCGTGACGACGTGGGCGCCGACTAGAGCGCTGGCCTGGGCGCCCGTGAGAGTCTGGTTGGAGCTTAACGCCGAGATAATCGCGGCGTTGTTGGGCGCGAAGACGGTGACGGCCGGGGTGGCGTCGAGGGTGGTGTTGGAGGAGTTGAGGTAGGATCCGAAGGTTGTCGCTTCGGGCGTTAGGCTTAGGGAACCTGAAAGAGATTCAGGGAGCGTAAAGAAGCTGTGACAGTATTAGTCTCGATAATCAGGAGCTAGCGAAGCTACTCACCCGTCTGTGACGTGTAGGATACCGCCATCGTATGGGATGTCTGCCTTCAGTATTGTGACACTGTTTCCCAAGCCAGAGAAGAGATGGATGGGAGCAGTAGTGTTCGTGCAGACACTTCTCTCGTAGAGGCTCCGACGTGTAGTGGCACTCGAAGTATCTCGTTCTCCATGAGACAAGAAGACTTGAGAGCTGCCACCTAGGTTCGCATTCTGTGTGTCGAGAGTTGGAACAAGGCTTCCAGTGAAACCTCTGAGGGCTGCCGAGTCTACAAGATTTGGAGACAGCTGGTAGAGATACTGAGAGCTCAACGCATTTTGACGGGCCATGAGGAATCTAACTACTGCCTCGTCTGGAGGTGTTGAGCCGTCGGTGGGTACCCAGGCGGTTTGGGCTCCGCCAGAATTAGCACCACCTCCAGCGCCCTGGTTGAATTTGTCGCCGTACTGGCCGGCTCCATTATTCGCAGCAGCGTCGGCAAGGCTGGGAAGTGTAGAACTTGGCTTGACACTGGCGCTGCTTGTGGTTTTGGAGATAATAGAGGATACGGTACTGACGCTCGTACTGACGCTCGTACTGACGCTCGTACTGACGCTCTGCCCGACAGCGGTGCGCAGCGACAGAGTCGAAGCAAGTAGCAAGATGAGACGCTTCATGATAACGGCTCTATGGCTGAAAGTGAGGTAGGAAGCGACGGTATAATACTCAGACTCTAGAATGCAGCAAACGAGCGACTCTGATTCAACAGAGACTTGAGGATGTGACGAAATATAAGGACATGGCAGTACAAATCACGGCATCGCAGACGACATGAATGCTGCTGTAGTTTATTGACCTCACAACAGCATTGCGACCAATTGCACGGGAAGAGTGGGGAAAGCGGAGGTACAATCCGCCGCAATTGAGTATCGAGCTCATTGCTGACCCAATATGCGCTGGTCCGTAGCCAAATGCGGACTGTTCACAGATCAAATTGCAGAGCAGGCTTCACTCAGGCTTCAAGTCCGGAGTGGAGAGTTGGCTCAGAACAGACAACATGCAGATTGATAATCCTACTGCATCAGGCTGCATGACGGGCGTAGTCAAGAAGCTGCGTGATAGGACAGATGGAGGAAGAAAAAGGAATGTGGCGAGCTGAGGTGGTGGCTCCCCCGGACGAGTGGTGCAGCCAGGAGCCGCAAGATGGGGGCCAAAACATCGAGGTAGGGGGGGGCTGCTCAGGCATTAGCGAGACAACCTTGAACAGTGGTGACAGCGCGACGCCACTGAAGCCTTGATGGACTGACGTCTGCGTGCCCGCCCTGCGTCTTTGCCCTGCGTCCCCGAATACAGAGGAATCGCCAGCAGTGTCATCGACAAGGCTGCCGAATCAGAGGCGGCGCGGCTCGGCTCGTATCCTGGGACCCTCCCGAAAGCGACGCCACGGGGCGGGGAGATGTTCACTCTTACTCTCCCCTCCCACCACGCAGGCTGCTCGACATGCAGACGGGTCCCAAGTCGTCAATCAACCGCGCCGACATGTCCGCATCGCCTGAAATCTCCGCATCCGGCACCACGGACCTGGACGACTGGCCGTCAAGAGTTGTACAGCATAGCCGAAAGACTGGACAGAAGAGCCAGTGAGCATACACCGAAGCCAGTGTCTTCCTCCTCTCGTGATTGCAACCACATCGGCGATCGTTCAGCCGTGAGCAGGCTGAGTTTTCAACCCCTACCAGTACATCCCATGTGGACGAAAGAAGTCAGCTGAAGACCATCACTTCCGGTCAGGGAGAACGAGGTGGGTGAGAAGGTGTGTCTAGAGTGCTATACCCATGCAAATCACGTCAAAGCAGTCATCCAACTGGCAGCCACAGTCATGTTGTGCGCGATTATGCGCTACAACACGGCTCTCCAACACCTAACTTGCATCCGGCCCATGCAGCCACTGCAATACTCCTACTTTGCAAGCTGGAGGTCAAGTCAAGCCGCACATTATCCCTCTGTCGTAGCTGGATAGTATACAGCCTGCCTTCTCACTCTTGCCCGTTTCCTTTCCCTTTCCACGCCTACCAAATACGATAGTCCGAGCTCGCACCTCGTATTCTCATCAATCAAGACGTGTATCGCGCTCGGCTTGACAGCTTTGATTCTCGCAAAACCTATTTGCAAGCTGTTAAAAGAACGGGGAAACACACCCATCCCCCATGGCAGAGATTGAGAAGCCTGCAGATGCCCGAGCATCTACTACAGCTTCACCCGCCTCAGTAGCTCCTGGCGACACTAAGACCGAAGGCTTCCCGTTCGAACAGCCGAAGCTCGCTATCAACATCCAACCCGTTGTAGACCCAGATGCAAGACGACAGTACTCGTGGAAAAATGGCGTCAGCGTCATCATTGGGATCCTTTGGCTGGCCCCGGCCTTGACGCTCCTAGTCCTCAATTTCAAAGGCCATATCGTGGGCGCCGGCATTGGGTGCCGTGCCTCAGGATGCCGCATCGACCCTTACTCCACCAACCAAGTACAGCAAACACAGAAACTGGATAAGTCCAATCACGATGCCCTGGGAGCACTACAACTCGTAGCCAAAGCTCTCGAAGTCTGGTTCATGTTCGTGGCCGGCAACCTGGTTTACAATATTGCAGTCAGGCTAGCAAACAAGGACAAACTGCCAATGAGTCTACTCACAATGTACCTCGAGTTCATGGATATTATGTACCTCACAGAGCTGTTCAGCAAGATTTATCACATTATCAAGGAACGGGAGGGCGATGGCACTCTTCCTGCGACGACAAGCAACGCCATGCTTGGGAATACTACCGCGAGTATTGCGGCGATCATTCACGCCACCGAGGAGGCCCAGGCGGCAGAAGAGACGTCCGCCATTGACCCCAAAGAAGCCCGCAGGTATCGCCACATCTTGTATTGGTTCCTAGCTGGTGTAGCAGTTTTATGCATAGCCGCCAACCTGATGGGCCCTGCCACCGCAATTCTAGTGTTGCCGACCCTGCAATGGAAAGACATCAATCAGCAAGACAATGTGGCTTTCGGCGCTCTGAAGGCGTCCTTCAGCCCTAGCGACGAGACAATCGCGGCCGAATGCACGGCCGACATACTGGCTGCTGGAAACTATAGCTGCACCTTAACTCTCTACTCAACAAGCTTAGACGAGCTCGTAGCAGGTGCAATCTCCTCGAACCGTCAGTCTAGCAGCCGAAGGGCTCTAGTGATACCACCCATCTCACAAGAGAACAATTTGACATTCAGTTTAAACATCTCAAAGTCTTCGCCAACGATCTGGGTCCCAAACCGACAAGCCCTGCGCGATTTTTCGGTGGACCTGACGAACTTCTACTCTGCAACCACAACCGGAGACTTCGACCCAGCATACGCCGATTCTAGGCTGTTCAACCAGTCGCTTGCCGCGCAATTGCAACGCAAGGGGCCTACAGTTGGAATGGCTAACGACTGCGCCCTGGGTAACATAAGAAACTTCTCGCTCTCCAATACGAAAAGCATCTACTGCTTCCCACGAGCGAAAGACGACAAATGTATTCGGTGGGGCCCTGGTTGGGCAGACACACAAAACTCCGCACAATTCGTCATCAGGGACAGTTCTCCGAAGAAAGCCAACCTAACTGTTACCGTCTATGCTACCACGCAAGCTGCCTATCTTGTCAACGATCCATGCGTGCAAGATGGCTCTTGTGACTGGGACGCTGTCTTCGCTGCCACACCTTCGCCCGAGTACCGGAACATCTCTTCTGGCCAGCTATCATTCCAGTATTCCATGCCCAGTTACTCAAATCTCACAGTCATTTGCGATTCATCCTCCTACCTCAGTTTCGCCAACTACGTCCTGAACCCGTCTCCCCTCGCCAACATTCTCAGCCTAGTCGAACTTGACGTGTTGGACGACAGCCCAAGCGGACCGCCGGACTACTCCACACCCGCGATAATAGACGTTCATCCTGACTGGCTCCTCGCCGCCTGGGGAGCCAACCGCGGCGGTGCAGTAGCAGGTGACCGTGGTGCAGCCATCCAGTTCATCCAAGCCATCCAGGACTGGATCTTCTACGGCGAGGTAACTACGCACCAGTACGCCATCGACTTCAACAGCATCCATCAGTACACCATCGTGCAGGCGCTGTCCATGATAACATACTCCACCACGCCCCTCGCCTCCTCCGCGGACCGCCGCGCCCAATCCCAGAAGCTCAAGGACAACCCCAAAACGGCCGCGACCCTCAACTCTTGGGCTACCGTGCAGCTGTGGGCGTTCGGTATCGACAGCCGCACCTCCAAGCTCGGCATCACCATCATACTAATCGGTTGCATCTGCGTCATCGCCCGCACGGCGCTGTATTTCGACGAGAGCAAGAGCCCGCTGGAGATTGTCGTGGCAGCGCTGCAGCATGATCCGCCGCCGGAGCAGGTGGATAAAGATACGGGAGCGCCAGTGAGGGTGGTGTATAATCGACGCACGAGCTCGTTCATATTTCCGTCGCCGAGCTCGCCGCCGGGGTCGCCTATGCGATCGCCGTAGGCTGGAGAAGGTTTGATGGGAAAAGGCGCAATGTGAGATGTCGTACTTGGGGGAGTGGGAAGGCTTTGGAGACTGTGAGGCGGCAAATGATGTGGTTACACAAGACTTTCGTTTCAGTGGACTGGATATGGATTGACGGTTGAATGAATCTCGTTATATAGATTGACATGACTTTGGGATTTAGTGGAATATATACTCTTAGTACTACAGGACTTAGCACTTCGTCCTAATATTGCTAGTAGTTAGACTTAGCCAACAAAGGCCCTTATGAGATCGTTGACTCTAACGCAAATTCCCGCAGGATCTAGCACTTGACATTCATGAATACAATCAGGTGAAAACCGCAGAGCGAATATGAGCTAAAACTAGTATAACCCTGTCCCCGCATGAATCGCGAATTTTTCGTAGTCGCCGTGAGCATGGTCTCTTATAGGCTTAGGAACGCCTCCACTCACTCCATCATCTACGTAGAACGGAGCTTCCCATCCTACTTAGACAAGCGGCTACAAATCATCTCCTTGTCAACCTAAGCTTTATGCTAGGCTTGATCTATAGCAAAGCACCGGATCTAGTTACAAAAGTTGAGCTCACGGTCGAAGAACATGGAGTTCGCTGAAAAGACAGCGTCCGCAATTGTTTTACATTAACCGCTCGTAGCCCATGTTATCCTCACAATATGCCATAAAAGTGATCGGTAGCAGCCTACCATCTAGATTCCTGAGCACAACACCAAGCAAATCCTGCTACATAATCCCACATCCAGATCTTCTGCCATCACCGCAACACACAGCAGCAACTTGAACGCCAGTAATGTTGATCTCTCACGACTCTGTCCCACCCCACTCCACCACTTTCAAGGCATTTCCAAGATTCAAGCACTATCCAGCCCAATCACTACATCTCCACATCCGCCGCCTCTATCCAAATTCTGGCTCGGTAGAAAGTTTCGCGTGGGTCTGTTCTTCTATTCCACCGGAGGGTAGGTCCTCAGGACGTGTTGTTGAATTTACATGAATTAAATTGAAATGTGGTTTGGAGTCACTCTGCACTCCACACTTTTCGGTGACCGAGTTACCAGATGCGGTAAAAAGCACGGACCAAGAGAAGGGGTAGCGAAAGGGGTTTTTAAGAGGGGATGCGTCCCCTCTGTAATCCGCCCGCTACTCTACCTACTGCAACTAATAGCACCCCCCCTTCCGCCAGCGCGTCCATAAAACTCCCGGGTGTCGGGGTCGCCTACCTGCCGCACCCGTGCGTGAAAGATTGTGCTGAGGATTAGCATTTAACGTGGGAGATTAAGTTAACTATCTCTCCTAAACCCCTCTAACAGTGCTAAATCGGGAAATTTGTGGGAATGGTAAATGTTTAGTAGGCTATGGATTCTTGGGAGAGGATCGGTTGCGCATCATGTACAGCGTCTTCCTGCGTCCGGTGACCTGGCGCGGAAATCAAGCCACAAAATTACTGTATAGGGTACCAATTCCGAACGCCTTTAGGGGGGAATAACAGCTCCCTAGCCAATGAGTCTTCAAGCCACCTCTTTAATAGCCCAGAAAAGGAGATTTACAGGGGTCGACTCAGTTTCCGCGCTATGTCACCGGACGCAGGAAGAAGCTGTAGATTGAAGGTAACAAATGATGGTTTATTATGCATTGATTCGCCGGAAATACTTGGAAAGATGACCCGAAAATAGAATATCGGCTATGCTCAATGTAGATTAGTTAGTGGCATACTCTAACTTCATCTCGTCTCAATTCTCAACTTTCTCCCTCCATCTTCCCAACTCCTTTTCAACGACGCGCCCGCTTACCTTCGATATCAAAACTTGGCCATTGAGCTTTGAAGCAGTTCATGCATCTCTAAGTTGTTTCAAGAAATTGCGCCCTTAGGACTGTTGATTGCTAGGGGTTCCAGGTTCTAGGCATCCGCCAAGAGTTCGGATCCTGATCAAACATCCCGGGGCCACCGCTGCTACACCATTCTACAGCCATATGAGAAGTCCAGGAGTCACGAAACATGTCTCTGTGCAAGCTTTGTATAAACATCTTCGTACCGCCGCAAGAACCAAAAAAGCCAGAAGATCCAAAGCCCTCGCGTAACCCTACCTGGCGAAAGAAACCACGTCTTTGCGGTATGGGTAAACGAAATTCAGCCGCGCCCATTGGGAGTGCCAACCATCTGACAATTGAGAGTTTGCGAGAGTCTGCAAAGGCGGGATGCTACATCTGTTCCCGTATCCTGCCAGAATTAGAAGGGAAGGACCCGTTGGACATACCGCCCAAAGTTGCTTTAACGAGCAACACATTAAGCAATCCTAGGCAAGATGATAATGGCAAGGACCGTTATCTCTCTTTCTGGAACAGTACTCCGCAAGGTAATGAAGACCAGACCCTTGCTTCGTTTGTTCTTCATCCAGTCTCAGGTAAGACTGGTATCAATCTAGTCGAATTGTGGAAGGAAAGTTGATAATTGCAGTATCGAACCCTTTCTTGGATTATCAAGCAAGCGTCAATACTGGATCGGACGAATGCTTCCAATTGGCTGCAAGATGGATGCAGGAGTGCGAAACAACTCATGAGAGCTGTTGTAAAGGTGCAAATGAGAGCTGGTACCCAGCACGGCTGCTTGATTCAGGAGATGGAATTGGACTAGACCGTGTCCGGTTGATGAAGCCCGAGCTGGAGCACCCTCTAGGACCGTATGCCACGGTGCTCCACCACCCACATTGCGACTCCCAAATCAAGCTTTTGAAGAGGAATCACGATGATTTCTTACACTCCATCCCATTGTCCAACCTCCCAAAGACCTGGAGCGATGCAATGACCATCGCAAAGCGGCTCGGCATCCGGTATATATGGATCGATGCGCTCTGTGTTCTCCAAGATTGCGAAGAAGAGCAGCAGCAAAACTCATTTCAAGAATCAGAAATCTATCGCAAGTCATGGGTTACTATCTCGGCAGCAGGCTCTATCAACGACGACGAGGGGTGCTTCTTTGACCGCGATTCCCGCACCATAGAGCGGGTGCATGTCGACCTCCCCGCTGCCCATGGTGCCGATGGTCTCCAAAAGTTTACTTTGGGTAGAAGGGTTGAGTGGTACTTCTGGGAAAAGCTCTTCGAGCAGCCTTTGCTCGAGAAGGCTGAATCATTCCAAAAACGTCTATTCGCGCGACGCGTTCTCCATATGGGCCGCGACCAACTCTTCTGGGAGTGCGAGAAAGCAGATTGCTGCGAACTATTTCCATCCAGTATCCCGCGCCACTTAGAACTACACAACAACTTTGCTACTAAGCGGTCCTACGCTAGATACCGCCAAGGCAATGCGACGGAATCCCTCGCTCATCTCACAGGCGATGGGGTAACTGAAGCAGCAAAACAACAAGTCAACGCAGTCATCTGGGAGTCTATCACGAAAAGCTACTCCCAATGCACACCAACAGTGCCGGAAGCCAAGCTCCCCGCGCTCTCCAACATCGCTCGCGAAATGTCACAGGTCTTCAAAGGAGACGAGTACCTCGCTGGCACCTGGAAGTCACAGCTCCCAAGGGCGTTGCTATGGCAGACAACTGGAAAGCAAGGAACACACCGCTCGCAGCGATATCGCGCCCCCAGTTGGTCCTGGGCCTCCGTTGATGGCGAGATCCAGTGGCAAGGTGTTCCACTACCCTCCTATCCCGCAACTATCGATTACGCACTCGTCTCGCCAATCGATGATCCGTTAGGGAGAGTAGACGGAGGCGTGTTGCGGATTACGAGTAACTTTGGCTTGGTAAACTGGAGAAGATGTGAAAGGTGCACCGGCTACACCTCACACAAAGACATGTCTATCCCGGATGATGGATACGGATTTTCTCATAGGGATTTCAGTCTCGATGAGCCAATACACCATTCGGCGTTCAACGTGAATCTCGATGATCCCTCGGAAGCTCTTACGGGAGATTTGTTCGTTTTGCTGGTCGCCTGGTCATACGGAACATTTTTCGACCCCGTAAGCCAGATGCCGGACCGGCGAAGTGGACCATACCTGCTTTTCCTTACTCGAGTTCAGGGAACCACGAATTTCTTCCGCAGGGTTGCTGTAGGGTGGAATTGTGACTATTTTCCTACTGAGTGGATTGAGAGCTTACCGCGGGAGACCATCTTCCTGGTGTGAGTAGGAAAAGCTCAAAGCCTGCATCTGACCAAGCATTTGTGTTGGAATGTGATGAAGCACATCACACTATACTTAGCAAGCTTACACAGAACTATTAAGAGTCTAAACTCATTCCTACCATCACTAGACTTTCATCTCACGCGCATGTTCTTCATCATGCGAAATTGAACGTCGCAGCTGGGTAGAAGTGAGACTATCTCCTGCGGGGCAGGCAACCGTGCGAGGTCCAACGGCTTTTTGAACTACTTCCATCGCCTCGCCACCAAGAAACACCTGACTCACACAACTTCCCCCTCGCCTATTCCATGGCGTTGCTCGAATGGATACTACTCCCCTCCAGGCCCCGGGGCTTCCGGCCAACACCTCGACCAACGACATGTCTTCGGATACTGTGTCTCATTTGATGCGTTTGCCGACAGAGCTGCGGCGACAAATCATCATAGAACTCATTCCGCAGAACAAGACATTCCATATTCAGGTTTCTTACAGCAAAGAAGGCTTATTCGAGTGGACCCTCCTAGACCCCAGGAATTGCTACGAATGAGAAGAAGACAGGAATTGGGTGGTATTCAAGGACGACTTTGTTTGGGAAGGCGTGGAAGACGAGGATGAGGAGGAGATGAAACACAACTCCGATGACTTTGTCAACCCCTTCGAATGGGAGGAAAGACCTTTCAAGGCCTACATGTCACCAAGAAGGATGAGCAGAGTACGCGCTGTATCCAGTCTCTGTCGCGTCAACCGCACTATCAACGAGGAGGTGACGCAAGAGTTCTTCGGCGGCAACAGCCTCTGTTTTGAGTTGCTTCCATTCCGCATATGGAAATGCGAGCCCCGCGACCTCGGCGGACAGGACACGTGGCTAACACCCCGGATCGCGCACTCCATCAAACACTGCCATCTCAAAGTGGTCTGCATGGACTGGAACTGGACTCTCTCCAGCGACCAAGCTAGCTTCCGAGGCACGCGCAACTGGTTTGCGAACTTTGCTGAGGCTATGGGAACAGAACATCGCTTGAAGAGCCTTCGCATCGACTGTAAGCAGCGAGACCCAAGCATCGACGAGCCATGGTTGTACGAAGAGACGGGCCCGATCTTCGAACATTCGGACATCCCTTTCTTTCTCGAACCCCTCATTGGACTCAACGGTATCTCTCTAGTTACCGTCGATGTACCCACTAAACAACACGAAGGCGGGATTTCTAGTAGTTTTGCCGCTCAACTCAGGGCCATCCTCAAGAGCCCATCCAAGACTGAGATGCAGCAAATTCCCTACGTCGAGAACGCCAGGGTGAAGCGGACAGCCGACGGCGGAATCAAGGTTCTCTCTGTCGAGACAACCAAGGAATTTTGGGAGCCCGAGTTCAAATGGGCCATGGACGATGTGTTGGAAGAGAATATGAGAGAGTATGCCCGTATCCATGCGGAGCGGGCGCTGGGTCGAGATTGGAGACTGTTAAATCGAGTCGGGTACCAGACCGAGGCGGATATTGATAAGTATGATGATGTTTCTGCTGAGGAAATCCACATGGCCATTGTCGCGCGTGGGTTGTAAGCGGAATACGCATATGCTTCACACGGTTGGAATGAGGGCAAGGAACTAGCGCGAGGGGCATACTCTTGGGTTGGAGAAACCTTTGGATGCGACATCTGAGGTTTGGTGGTGCGCAGCTGCCACTGAGTCCCGTCAACCTGTTTACGAGGGTGGTACGAAAACGAAGATGGAGCTGACCGTTCGGGTGGATGGAATCATGAAGCACACTTATCTCAGGAACCTCAGACGCTCCGCAGAGAATTTGTAGTGGTTGCATAACTCAGCACCTACCATCCCCCCCTGCAACACCCAAAATCCTCTGTGGAGCGTCTGAGCTCAAATGGGCACGTGTTTGGTGTAGAAGTGGCGACCGGCTCGTGCACGCTACCACCTCATGCACGGTCTCGGAGGCCCCTCACCGCTTTTTCTCTCAAGCTTCAACACCGCACAACTCCACCAAAAATACACAGATTTCCTTCGAAAATGGATGCAATGGAAGCTGCGTTCGCGGAGCTTGATTTGATGGAGAAAAAGATGTATACTGAGGTCGCAAAGAAGCATGGGATTGACAGAACCACGCTCTCACGGAGGTACCGAGGAATCACGAAGTCAAAGGCTGAGGCCTACAATTCTCAAAAGCTCCTCTCTCCTGGCAAGACTAAGGCTCTCATCAAATACATCAACAACCTCTCCGAAAGAGGCTTGCCTCCTACGCATCAAATGATACGAAATCTCGCCCAGGATTTGGCTGGGAGAATGCCAGGAATCCACTGGGTTTCACGCTGGGTCCATTCGAATTCCAAACACCTCAAATCAGCCTACCTTCTTCCTATTGATAAGGAACGGAAAAGGGCTAATTCTGCCCTCTACTACAGCCTCTACTTTGAGCTTCTTGGTCGCAAAAGAGATCAATACAACATCCAGCTAGGAAATACATATAACATGGATAAGAAAGGATTTCTCATTGGAAAATTGGTTAAGAAGAAGAGAATCTTCAGCAAGCTTGCCTACGAGTCAGGAAGGATGCGCCATGTCATGCAAGATGGCAATAGAGAGTGGATTACTGTGGTGGCAGCCATCTGTGCAGACAATACGGCACTTCCTCCAACACTTATCTATCAAGCTGGAACAAACAATGTACAGGATACATGGCTTGAGGATTTTGATCCGGACGAACATGCCTGCTTCTTCACATCAACACCAACCGGATGGACCAACAACGACCTAGGCCTTGCTTGGTTAAAGATCTTTGATCGAGAGACAAAGGCCAAAGCCAACAAGGAGTGGAGGATGTTACTTATTAATGGCCACGGCTCTCATGTAAATATGAAGTTCATTGACTACTGCATCAGCAACAGGATTCTCCTGGCTGTATATCCGCCTCATTCAACACACCGCCTGCAGCCATTAGACGTCTCTCTCTTCGCCCCCTTGGCCATTCACTATTCCAATGAATTGAACCGGTTTATAATGAATTGTGAAGGATTCTCCCGCTTCACAAAGAGAGACTTCTTCAGGACCTTTTGGGTGGCATAGAAGAAGGCTATGACTCCTTCTAATATAGCTAGTGGATGGAGAAAGACGGGTATTCACCCATGGAACCCGGAGGTTGTATTAGATTAATTTAATGCCAAGAAAGAGGAGGAAGAGGATAAAGATGAAGAAAGGCCATCATCAAGCAACTCTACTGGGTCGGCTCTTACGGCTGGTGACTGGAAGCGAATAGAAACACGCCTAAAACAGGTGGTAGAAGTTGCTATACAGTCCAGCCTCCAAAAAGAAGTACAAGCTTTGACTAAAGATGTTCACCAACTGATGGCAACTAATACACTTCTTCAAAGTCAAATTCGAGGCTACCAAGAAGCATTTAAGATAGAGCAGAAGAAGAGGAAGCGGCAGAAGAACCTCTTTCAGATTCTGGCTGAAGATAATAATGGAAAAGCGGCAGTCTATTCACCCAATAAGGTGCGGCAGGCTCGAGAGCTACACCAAGAGAAAGAGGATGCTAAGGCTCGTGATACAGCTTCAAAGGCTGAGGAGAAGATACAGAAGCAACTTGCTAAGGAAGAGAAGGAAAGAATAGCTGAGTTCAATCGCTCTGCTAAAGCTGCTAAGCAGAGAGAACAGAAGGATGCTGAGGATCTCAAGAAGCGCGAGGCACAGGAAGCACGTGAGGCACGTGATGCAGAGAAGCAGCTTAAAGATGAGAGGAAGGTAATACACCAGAGGCAGAAGGCTCGCCAGGTTGTATTTACTATTCCTGAGGAGCCTACAGGCCAGCAGAATCATGAGGTAGAGGAGTGGGTAGCGAAATCAGCCTCTGGCCGGCCTCAGCGTATCCGGAATACGCCTAAGAGGTACGATGACTCTGTGATTATGATAGAATGAAAGAGCGTCTTCGGTTTAGTCTCCCCATTGATTTCTATGAGGTTCTGAGTAATATGAGTGAATATATATGTTTATGAAGTTCGTGATGCATGCACGGGGAAACCGTGCACGAGGTGGTAGCGTGCACGAGCCGGTCGCCACTTCTAAGCAGGTCGGAATTCAACAGGCCCATTTTCTTCAGTGGACGAAAAAAGGGTGTTACCAAGCAGCTGTCATCACAGTTGTTGATGCAATTGAATGCTAAGGTACTTGAGTACTCAATTCACATATTCATGCCTTACCACCTAGTCTATTAGGGGGCGAAGTACAGCATTGAAAAGAGAGAGTTCATTTTTGAAACCGGTCGGGCTCACTTTTTGATCTGCTTGTAAGATGGAACTTTATCACCACAACTTCTTTTACTGTAAGAACCTAGGAGCTGCTTTCTTATACTCTTAAGAAGCAGCTCCTAGGTTCTTAGGGTGAAAGAAGTTGTGGTGGTGGAATGCGACCGTGAAAGCTTCAAAAAAACCGTCCTTACAAACTGCGACCATTTTCCCTCCGACCCTCTACGAGGAATTCCTTGCCCGTCCGTGCGCATCACGTGTACGAGCATAAAATTCATAAGCGTGCACGGGCATACGTTCACGCACTGCAGGACGGGCAAGGCAATTCCTCGTAGAGGGTCTGAGGTTCCTGAGATAAAAGCACACAGTACCCCTGTCGTAAAGCTAGCACGTGGCCGGTGCACTCTTGTGGATTGTTTCAACTTAACCATGAATATTAAAGCTATATGCTATTGTATGCTTAGATATCAGCTAGACAGTGTCCAATATTTGAGCTATCCATGATGTTCGAAAGTCATGTGACCGCGGGCCACTGCCGCAAAGCCAGAGCCACTGCGAGCATCTCCTCCACCATCAATTGAAAATCGCACACCCCAATCAACATCCGAATGCCTCCCAAAAAGCGAAAGAGCGCCGCGGCCGACGCGTCAGAAGAGCCTCCAGCGAAGAAGTCACAGAAAGCTCCGAAAGCTCCGAAAGCTCCACCGTCAACGCGTCCCTCGCGAGCCTCGACACGATCAAAAGCACCGCCAGCCACGTATGCCGAAGAAGACCACGATGCCGAAGAAGATGTCGCCTTGGAGTCGCCTCCCCCAGCCTCACCGAAAACAAAGCAGCCTCCTACGAGCAAGCGCGCCACGAAGAAACCTTCGAAAGCGGGCGCCGACGCGCCAAAACCCTCCGAACCCTCCAAAGCCTCATCCCCTTCCCCTTCGAAACCCCCCACCGCCGCGCCCTCAAACCCCCCCTCCACGCGCAACTACTGGCTCATGAAAGCCGAGCCCAACACGCGCCTCGAAAACGGCCACGACGTCAAATTCTCCATCGACGACCTCGCCGCCCGCACCTCCCCGGAGCCGTGGGACGGCATCCGCAACCACGTCGCGAAGAACAACCTGCTCGCGATGCGGCGCGGCGACCTCGCCTTCTTCTACCACAGCAACTGCAAGGTGCCGGGGATCGTGGGGATAATGGAGGTTGTGCGGGAGGCGACGCCGGACGAGAGCGCGTGGGATAGCGGGAGCGCGTACTATGATCCCAAAAGCGGGCCGGAGAAGCGGACGTGGTATCTGGTGCATGTGGAGTTTAGGCGGAAGTTTAGGGAGATGGTGGGGTTGAGGGAGCTGCAGGAGTACAAGGGAAGGGGGGAGGCGTTGGAGGGGATGCAGTTGCTGAAGCAGTCGAGGTTGAGTGTTAGTAAGGTGGAAGAGGGGGAGTGGGAGTTTATTATGGGGTTGGCGGAGGGGAAGGGGAAGGGGGCGGGGGCGGAGTGAGGAGGTGGATTTGTTGTGGTATACCTAGGAGCAATGGCGTTTGGGGGAATGTGGGATCGAGGAAACAGGCTGCGGGTTTGGACTTCGTACGGCTATGTGTTGCCTTGATTTCTGATGTCATGTTGAAGTACTTTCCAAATGTTGATAGCGGCTTGCGGAACTGCAGTGCATGTCTTTTGCATTTAGCCTTGAAGCCTTCAGGATGTTTATCGAAAGGTGATGTGGCATAGAACTAAGTTGGGAAATGCCCTGAGCAGCCTATGCATTGCTGGTCACGTGTAGTACACGATAAACTACGCAGGTAAATAACACTACTTTCATTGAAAGACATCCTGTTCCAGTGTACGATTGAAGAGGGTGTATGTACTACTCCGTGCTCCATAAAAAGAGCCGGGCTTCTCAAAATCTAATCTACTATGCAGACACCGGTTTCCGTGCAGTGTAAATGTATCTGTGCGCCTCATTAGTATCATTCCAAATCCCGGGTCACAGTCCCGTTATACCCCAAATCAGAAATCACGGGACTTACAAAGGAATATAAGCATGCACCCCAACATCTGCAGCGTCCTTCCTCGCCTCCATCAAGAATACCTCCGCTCTCTCTCTACTCCAACCCAGCCGCCTCGTCAGCAGCGCCACACATACCCCCCAGTCGAAGGCCTTCCCATAAAACGCACCGTACTCCTTTTCGTTCGGGTCCTCACTCCATCCTGTAAACGGAAGACGCAATCGGCGCTTCGTCACTTCAACGAAGCCCGCTTCGCGTAGCAGCGGGTCGAGCCGCGCGCATTGCTCCATGTCGACGCCGCCCTTGGCTGCGGCTTCGTTGAAGTAAATGGACCATTGCATCATCGGGTTCTCAGCCGTGGCGGTGCCGTCGTCGCAGTGGAAGGGGAATGTGAACTCGTGCAGCTCGAGGTAGCCGCCCGGATTGAGAAAACTAGCAGGCTCATTAATCACCGGCTCATTCAACTCCGGCACAGTCCAGCTGGGATAGATGGGGAAATGGCATACTCGTAGCATTTCTGGAAATAGCCAGGCCAGTCTCGCCATGTCGACCCGAGAGTTCGGCTGTGGATGAAATCGAATCGCTCTTCCCAGATCCACTCACCCTCGCTGTCTTCGACGATAAAGGAGCAGTTTGGGGGCACACTTCGGCTGCGGTATTGATATCAGAATACTGAGGCTAGCCCCCAGAGATTACTCACAAGTTTGGTTGGATCGGGCTGGTTGGTGTTAGCCGGGAGGAAGTCAGAATAGGGACTGGGCGGAACACACCTTAGATCTGTGCCAACGACCTTAGCCGATGGATACTCGTCTGCCTTGTGCGAGTTAGAGGTGACTTCGAGAATGGAAGAGGACGCATACAAAATCCATTGCCCAGTTGCCAGTGCCAGATGCGACATCGAGGACGTTTCCGATGTTTTGCTTCAGCGGAGCGAGGTGGAGCTTGCCGCCGAGAGCCATTACCCACATCTGATGCTGGCCCTCTGCGCTGTTGATTAGCCTTTATATTAAATGAACAGCAATAACGAGTCTCACCGAGCCGGTCTTGTTCGCGCTAGTCACGATGTTAGTGAAAAGAAGTTACAAATGTAAGATATGTTTGGACAAACTTCATCATTAGGTAATAAATATGCTACGAGACATTAGAGTAATTCGGGTAGTTTATCAGTGGACAACTCACCTGCATTATCGAATCCATGATATCTCCGCCCGTTTTCGTAGCGGTATTGATAGTTCTGAGAATTGATCGTCTCGGTTAACCTGCTCGGTTCAGTTGGGTCCGATCCGCATGGTACACCTATCAATTTTTCGGTGGTAACTTACGAAGCTCTTTCATCCCCCAAGTCCGATCCAAGATCATCGTACTCTTCTTGATATTCCTAGACAAACAATTAGTTCTGAATAAATCTAACATGTGACGAGAGCAATTACAGGCGGTTCGTCTTGGCGGTCATCGTCTTGAAATGGACAAATAGAACCAGCATCATTGGACGACGAAGATTGAGTTGAAGAATGCTGTGACATGACTGGTGGCGGAGCAATAACTCGTGGAGGTAAACTTGCTGTCGCGTCTGGGGAGCGAGGGGTTTCGCCTGCTCGGTCCGCCTTCGCTTGGGCATCGTGCCCGCTTGCGGGGGAGTCGTAGAGAGGCATTTTCTGCTCCACTCCAGATACATGCTCGATCGGATCCTGAGGTTTTGGCGCAGTTGGGGTGGACAATGATCCGCTTGCGCTGGGAACCTGTGGAGATGCAACCTCAGGCCGAGTCTTTGGCTCCCGGGATATTTCTTCCTCGCTATCGGCCATGATTCAGTAGGACAAGGCCCGACCTGGCAGATAGGGCCTGCGGATGCAATGCGAGGTGATTAACACACCTCAAAAAGAGATCTGGAGCGTAGAGATTGATTGCAGTTGGAAGCCTTGAAGTTGCCGGACAATTGGGACATTTGTGCGACCGTGGGGCATGCACCCTTTTTACGAGCTGGGGGGAGTGAGCGTGGGATCATCCCGTCGACCCACCAACAAGGCCCCCGGGCATGGACACGCGCTACACCCGCTGCCCAGCAAATGCCATGATTCCCATTCCAGCAGATGGAAAAATGACAATATCGATGGGTCTCGCTGTTCCTGAATATGTAAATATCGAAGCTTTCTGACTTGCTGTAAGTCGTGAGCCGCTTCGTGAAGGTTGAAGATGCCGCACTTCCGCGTCCACGAGGGCCGGCCCGTTATCAGGTGGAGATGGATATGTGCACTACCTACAAGGGGGTAACATGAGCGGGCCAGCAGCGCTCCCTGCTAGCGCTGGGGCTGCTTTAGCCGTATGAAGCATAGCTGTTCGTATTACAAATATGTAGAATCAACCAGAATAGCTAGATCATCATATAAAACAACAAGAGATCCTTGTATCTTGTATCCTAAAAATGCCGAATCTTGTACGCCGGAACCGTGGCCACCATCCCCCTCCTCTGCTTTGTTATCCCGTCCTTCGACAGCCAGGAACACGGCTCTCTGTTCGCGAGCGTGATATTGCGTATACCCTTAAGCACTATGCTGGTTGGACTGATGAGAAGATTAGCAGCTCTCTTGGTGTCTCTCGCACTGCACTATCTGCCTCTCTCCAAAAGGATACTTGGACTCCTCAAAAGCAGAGGGGAAGGAAGCCAAATATCAATACCCCATCACGAAAGCGCCTTATTGCACGAGCAAAACAAGATCGTTGGCATCAACAGAAATCCTTTGAGGAGATTGCATTTCTTGAAGGAATCTCTGCCTGCAAGCGATCCTTATACAAGGCCTTTGAAAAGGAGGGCTATTTCCGGCGTGTTGCAACAGAGAAGCCACTTATCACGCCTGAACAGCGAGAGGCCCGTCTCAAATGGGCCTATTCTCATCTAGAATGGACTCCTGAGATGTGGGCAGCAGTAATTTGGACAGATGAGGCGTCTATTCGAACTGGAGGAGGCCAAATCTTTGTTACTCGATGCGCAGAGGAGAAATATGATGTTGACTGCTGTGTCCCTAAATTCAGGGGGTATTCAAGCTGGATGATCCATGGCAGCATCTCCCATGGGAATAAGGGGCCTCTTGTTATTTTTGAAAAGGATTGGTCGATTGAGTTAGGGTATAAAAGGAAGACAATAAATGGCGATGTCTACCGGACATATATATGCCCCAATATCAAGAAATTCGCATGGGAATTATGGCAAACACTGCATTACCAGCCTATTCTTGTAGAGGATAATGCCTCTATTCACTCAGCCAAAGCAACCCGCATGGCCTGGGAGCAAAATGGCATGCTTGTAATGGAATGGGCGGCGAATTCCCCTGATTTGAATCCAATTGAGAATGTCTGGAGGCTATTGAAGGGGAGAATACAACGCCGGTTCCCTACAACAAAGGAGGAAGTGAGGCAGTATGCTGAGGAGGAATGGGAGAAGCTCGAGCCCGAAGAATTCGAGAAGTATACAGGCAACATGAGGGAGCGCTGCCTTGCTGTAATTGCTGCAGATGGAGGTCCAACAAAGTATTAGTTACTGAATAAGCACAGGTTATTACGTGGCAAATGGAGGTGGCAATAAGCGCTAGCAGGGAGCGCTGCTGGCCCGCTCATGTTACCCCCTTGTATACACCGTTTCGCCGCCGCTTAAGCCCCGACAGCCCCACCTGTCAACGTTAGTCTCCACTCTCGCCCTTAGGCCCCTATTCCGCTTTCCCGGTTCTAGCGCGCACACCTAACGTAGTCGGCAAGCCAGTGGGCCATGCAAGCCAGTGGGCCACCCAATTATTGGTGCGATTTAGACCTTTTAGCACCCCAGCAATCTCAACAACCAGAGAATATTCTAGGTTGTGACTTAGGATAATGATATCCGTGGCTATTTTAATATCATCTGTTAATTTTTTAGATCTCTTGATAGCCCTGTTTAGCCGCAGTAAAATTTTGCCTAGTTTTGGCCCCCAAAATCAAGTAATACCTACCATATAATAGGATTACGCTGCCATACTGCTCCAAACATTCTCTTAGCTATTAAAATGAGCTAGATAGTGTATGCAATCTTAAAGCTATACTTTATATCTCGTGGTTGTTGAGATTGCTGGGGTGCTAAAAGGTCTAAATTGCACCAATAATTGGGTGGCCCACTGGCTTGCATGGCCCACTGGCTTGCCGACTACGTTATTCATCACTCACTCAATGACCCGAAGAACTTCCAGCCCACCGCGTCGCATCCATCCGGGACTTTAACAGTTCGTGGGGCATCCTAAAAGGCTACCGTCTCATGAATATCGACGTCTTGTCCGGATCCCCGATACTGTGTCGAAAAGCTGTTCACAGCGGCGTTCAGTCTGGTGTTGAAGTTTCAAGCGTGAGGAGAACGACATAGTTGATGCATCACTGCTGTAAGTTGGGAGCTAGGAATCAGTCTAGGTAGAGAAGCATGTTTATGTAGCTTGAATACAAACGCATTTGAGTTGGTAAACAAGGCTCACACAACATCACGGGATGGAGGGAAAAGCAAGGTCGGGTATGGTTTCTCCGCTTGCCGGGCAGCCTCAGGCATCAATATATCAACTCCGCATTGATCCTTAGCTTCTACATACCACTCAACGCCTAGCCTGGGGTCTTTGCACGTTCCTGAATTGGTTTAGTCTCGTTCGACTACGACATTCTATTCGAAAGCAAAGCAGATCGAAAGCAGAGCAGAGCGACAACCTCAGATATCAGGCTCCAGCTGCATAGCCTGCGGCCCAGCTCACAGCCCCCGCCACTGCATATTGAAATTATACTATTTGATACAAATAAAGCCCACTCTTGCAATTATCGATCTTCTCTACGTACTCTCGCTCTACTTTCGTCACTCACCGTCCAAAGGTAGACATATGCGGCCCACAGTTGTAGAGTACCGTCAAGCCACGTGATTCGTTCCCCGATCTGATTTTGAGGCCTTCTCGACAATTCATTCATTATTCATAGAATATGGCGGATCCGCTGTCGATTGCTGCCAGTGCCTATGGTCTCGTTCAGGCCGTTTCCGCTACCACCAAGGAGCTTCAAAAATTGCGAGAGACGAAAACTGCGCCTTCTGAATTTCTGGCCTTGCTGAACGAGGTGAGATTCAAGCCCCAGAGTCCCAGACTACGAGAATTTCGCTAAAATTTCAGTCAAGGCAACCGATCTCTGATTTGTCCTTGATCATGTCGTGCAAGCCTGTCAAAATGATCGAATTTTGCACAGACTTGACGCACACAGTTCAGATGTCATCGACATTTCCATTGGACGAGCCTCTCGTCTTGTAGAAGAACTCAAGCTCTTGACTAGTCGGTTGGCGGTAAACGGGAGACAACCAAGTCTCTTGATATGGTATTCTCAAAAGAAATCGATTCAAGCTAGTCGAGATTCCCTCCGCGCTGTGCGAGAAGATCTTGCGACGGTAATCGCAACGATCAATATATCACAAATGTAAGGTGTAATTCAATCCTATCTCTAGCACATCTAACTTGTGCTTCAGGCGTGCAATTGAGTTGCAGCTCCAGCACATTTCACTTCCAACTCACAGTCCTGTCGGTCATGTGAACGCTACGGCTTCTCCACCGAGTTTTGTAACTGATTCTCTCCTCACATCTCCCGCTGGCAACATCGATTCCATCCATGAGGATCTTCGTGGAGTTCTACAAAGTATGAAGATATCCGCAACTGCAACAAAACCATGGTCTCCGAGTGACGACGACACCGAGACAATGGTTTCATCTACCGGTTACCAAAAGTCCTTTAGACCCAAAATCTTGCCACGGGAAGAAGATCTATATGGATTTACGCCTGGATGCAATTGCACAAGCCATTCTATGCACACATATCGCTCTTATCCGAAATTTCGATCATCATTTGGAGTAGCCATCATCAAAATGGCTAGTGGCTCGAGGCATTGTAAGAGCACGCGATGTTACCGGTCCTCATCGATGTGGCTGCGTATCTTATATCTCTTCCCTCCTTGGTTCTTACGCGGGGAAATAGCCATTGAGCTCAGGTGGCATATTCGTCGGCCTTCCATCAAGTCTACGCTTAGAATCATGGAGCCAATGGAAAATCGCGCTCGTCTGTTGAGCCTGATCGCTGTGGGCGCAACGCTCGAAGTGAAAAAAGATTTTATTGAAGGCAGATCAACGCCGTATGATTGTGATACTGACGGTAATACGCCACTCCATGTAAGTCGTCTGCCCCTTTGGTTCCTAATTCTTCCTCTGTCCCTCATTTCTCTGATTTCGACAAGCGCTTCTCATGCAATACCCTGTAAAGATCATATATTGATGATTTTTAGTATGCGGTTCTTTTTAACCAAAGAGAGCTCTGTTTTCTCTTCGACAACTACGCAACGAAGTGGAGCTGGTCGAACTATTCTGGCTAGTATGAAGAGCGACCCAATGTGAATACATGCATTTTGCTAATCAACCTGCAGTACCGCTGTTGAAGAAGCCTACATACACGCTGGCATGAGCCGTACTGGCACTCTAGACTTAGCAGATTTGTCACTCTTAGGCCTTCACATCGGAAGTCCCTATGATCATAACGCTCTACAACTGAACGCCCTACATATGTCCGTCCTCTCACTATCGACCATAACAGTCCAGGAACAACTAGAGATCAGTACTACGGAGCTTGATGCCCCAGACGCATATGGTCGAACGGCTTTGATGATGGCAGCAATGAGGTCAGACGAGAGAACTGCACATGACTTGCTCGAATTTGGTGCCGATTGTGCTGCAATCGACTGCAGAGGCAGGACTCCTTTGCACTACGCCGCCGGAGCTAGGTCACAAGTCTGCGTAGCTCTATTATTAGACGCTGGTGCATCAGGCTCGGCAATTGACGACCTCGGCGCGAGCCCTCTATACTACGCCGCCAGACTTCCGTCCGATCAAGAAGGTCTCCTCAGGTGCCTATTTTCTCACGGCGCAGACTTCAATTGCAGGTTTCGCTACGGAGGTTGGACTCCAGCTCATGCCGCATGTGCCACCGAGAATCATACCAACCTGAAGACATTGATAGACTTGGGAGCCGATTTCAGGTTGTCAGACAATTGGGGAAACACGCCACTCCAGATAGCCGTGTTCAAGGAGAATGTCGAGGCTGTTCTGTGCCTTGTCTCTCACGGTGCCAGCACTGATTCAGCAGACCAGCTGGGCGGCCAGTCTTACCCAATAAGCAATATGACGATACTAGAACACCTTCAAAGAGCCCGCTCCGTAAATGCATATGAATCAGACGACGATTCCGATGACGACGTTTCCTCTTTTTATTCACTAGTCGAATCAGCCGATGACGATTCCTCTTTTCATTCATTACTTGCATCCTCGTCTTCCTTAGACGCCCCGGTAGACACGGATCGTGCCAAAACTATCGACGTCCCGCTTATCAACTCATTTTGGTCCCGGACGCTCTGGTGTTTCATAAGCTTATACTGCCTAGGACGCTCTAACGTCGTTTCACTGCTACTACTGCTATGTTGCGTCACCCTTCCCTATTTCCTTTATGCATCCGTCGGCTGGTACAACCGATATCGAAAGTCGAAGAGCATGGATCGGGTCACTCATGTGGATCTGTCGTGGTTCACGGCCCGATCAGGTATTATCGCTCCGGTTTCTATACAATCAGCTAAAGAATTCCTTTTGGGGTGGCCGAAGTTACCAACTGGCAAGCTGCGAATGATATGGTCTTGTGTAAGATACGACTTCTTTTTATTCACATACCTCCCTACAATCTTCCAGTTTCTGATGTTAGAGTAGCGGTGCGGCCACATGGGTCATGATGACTTCCTCGAGACAACTCCCGGAGCCACGGCTAGACTTGCGGATCAGATGATTGCCTCTGGAATAATCTCTAAAGCGGAAATTACTCGGACCCCTTCAAAAATGACTGGTTTTATGTCGCATCTCATTTCGCGGATTCGGACTACTTTCAAACGGATTTTCAACGTTACTGCTCGAAAATTGCATTCGCCTGGCATACCTATGGCTGTTATTGCCAGCCCTGGCCAGCAGACTAACCCAACGACAGCGCCTGGTAGCCCAAGGTTCCTGATCATGTGCATGAAAGATAGTCGGCATACGACAAGCTACGACCCCATAGATATATCTGCAGTCAAATCAGACGAGGAGCTCTTTATGCTCCTGCATAAAGTCTACTCGAAGAAGCGAAACTCGGTTTCCAAACTCTTCTCCTTCAAAGTGCTCACGAGAATTGACTTCATCAAGGTATGCTTATAGTAACTCATCTCAAATCTTTATGTACTATTAACAAGGAGCTTCCTCGGGACTTCAAAGGTTGCAGAATACATAGGCTTCCCCTAAGGCTAACAACTCACAGTTCACCTTACGAAAGAACGCCGTGGCCGATTGCATACAAACAAACGAAGTCCCTCCGGAAAACGCTAAACACTACGACTACGCACCGCGACCGCCTGACGATATACCAATCCCACCTCTCGGTTCCGAGTACCTTCTTCACAGGTTGCATGAGCCTCACGATGGGCAAGAAGACGTGACGTGCCTTGAGCAGCTTCCAAAACGACTCGAGAAAAGGCTGGAACGAGGGAAAGAGCCGGATAACGTCACAGCTTGGGGTGTCCATTTCGTGGAGGGTCGCTTCATGGCGAAGCTGTATGTTTTTATGACGATCGCACTTGCCTGCGGTAGCCTTGGGTTTGGAGTAGGGTATTGGTACTATACCCGAGATTTGTCTAGTGCATTTCAGGCCGCGGGATATATTTGTGGCATCCAGGCGCTTTTGCTTAATCTGTGGCAGGCTTGGGCGCTGAGGGATTGAGGATTCGCAGAACTGGAAGGTCCTCATCATGAAACGCTTTAAATTCACAAAGTTACGACCATCTTACTACGGAAGCTCTCGTTCAAGAAAGCGGCATTCCAACGCCCATCTCATATCATTGGGACCACTGTTATACCGCATTACACCCCTGGGCGAAGTTAAATGAGAAAAAATAGCGTACAACAGCGGCCTATCACGGATATAACGTCGTCCATGGCCGGGAAAGCTTACATCTCTGGCGGGAGTCCGGTCCCTTCGCCTCGAGGCCGGAGGGTGTACTAACATTAGCGCAGCCGAAACTCAAAAGCGACTTCATCGGAAAGATCCTCTTAATTTACCCCCCTTTGATATGAAAAGAGCTACACAAGAGCTACGAACCTTAGCTGGAAAGAATAGCTGGAATCACCACATCACCATGATATCATAGGCGGCAAGATGCATAGTCAGAGCATGGCTGTATTAACGAGGAGAGGTTGATGAATCTAGAGCCCTAGGTTCCATCAATATCGGCAGTCTAAACCATCTCTAAGCAAGAACTCGAAAAAAAAACTGTTGGAGGCATTGCCAGCTTTTCTAGAACGCAGACACCGATATACAGCAGACCGCTTGCGTAATCGTCAATCGAACCGGTACCTGAGCAAAACTTCGCCAGACTACCGACGTGCTGTCAAGATAACTAGCACGTGTCATCCGTATGATCTTCCAACACGTTAGCTTTGACCCTTATTGGATTGGAAAATTCGAACTTACCCGCCTGAGCGTCGTCGTCATCTCCCTTGATGTGCTTGCCAGGGAAGATCTCCTTCAGGCGATCGCGGATCGACTCCCAACGAGCCGGTCCGCCGTTCGGAGAGCTGTTGAGCGTACCGGCAATCTTGTGGCAAGAGTCGCCTGCGTTGTACTTCTTCACCAGCTCGTCGTCCATGGCCTTCGTCCATTTGTTGTTCCAGGTGCCGTTGTACGAGTACTTGGTCACCTTGGCGGCGTGGTAGGCAGGCATGTTGAGTTGTTGAGTTGAGGGAGACTGTGGAATGGGTGAGTATAATTCGGTAGGGGGTGGTGATTCCTTGGCTTACTTTGATTGTGGAGGTTGGGTGTTGGGTTGAGTGGGGAATAATGTTGGTTGTGGTGGGTGTGGGTGTGGTAGTTGTGGTTGTGGAGTTGATGGAGGAGTTGTAGGGATCCATCAGTGAAAAGCGGGAGTTACTGCACCGGATGCCACTCCTCTCGCTGCTGGCGTGCCCGCCAGTGAATGTCACTTTGGTGCTTCCCAGGCGCCAGCGAGTTCCCAACACACAACGAATCCCCGCCAAGTTCACCAACAGTAGCCAAATCAACGAAGCCCCTAAACTCACCACCATCAGGGTAGCGAGATCACGTGCCAGGCCCCTTTCTGGAGACCCTCGATATACTGTATGTGCTGGAATTTTTTATATTCCTTTTAAGCGAATCCTGGTACGTCCTCGAAGCCGTCCTTGTTAAGCCTTCTTTCTGATTCATGTGGGGCTGTAATTTGAAAGCATGATGCAGTGTCCGAGAGCATCTCAAGGATCTTCTTGGTGTGTCAAATTGGGATCTTAAACTATATGATCAAGGCTTTAGTGGGTATGACATCCTAGGTGAACAGGGTTTGATATGTCTTGAGTGGTCTCACTTTCCTATTGGGGCTCGCAGAGTAGCTGAGAAGATGAGCTAATATACAGGTCCTAGATGAACTTTAACGAGTGCCTGGAAAATGGGTACATACTACAATAAACGCTCTATCTCGCAATCAGTCAATTATCGGGACATAAAGCAGATTTCACGGCTAAAGGTCCGAAATGTTAGTTCTTCCGGTATTTTGTCTCATCTTATTGTTGTATTGCCTCCCACCACGTTTGCTTCGATCAACTATTTATACACCACGCTCTTGCTTTTGACCCAACTACAAGATCATCCGCTCTAAGCCCCAAATGCCTAACAACTCGGACGGAAACGTTCATTCGCGACAAGGGATCCGTAAAACATTAGGCTCTAGCCCCAAGCGCTCGGAAATCTCGTCGTGATTAGATGCCATGATGGGTCGCTCAAAAAGGCCTAAGGCGGTGGCCATAACAGTCACCGGCCCAATCCTCAACAAGTGGCCCACCATGCTTTCCGCAAGCTCGATCTTCTGTTCCAACGTGCCAAGCATCCTAACCTTAATATCGAAATATTCTCCTAGTACGGTGCGCAACGTTTGTATGGTAACACAAGCCCTGACCTTCTCCGTTGTATAGTCTGGAATGTCGAGATCGTAAACCAGCTCCACCTCGAGTAGCCGGCGCTCCAAGAAAGCATGGAGAAAGCGGCAGATGAAGAGCAACATGGGCTTCTGTATGGCCATGTAATCCCCCTTGTTGTGCATCCATTTTACCCAGAAGGTTTTCATCCAGGGGTCAATCGCCGTCAACAGGTCTTCGATGCCCCTCGTTTCATCATCTTCCCATTCGTATTTTGCGGCCTCGAGGCAAGTGAACCAGATTGCTTTACCGAGGAAACTGAAGGCATCGCGAGCCTTCGCAAAGTCTCGGCTGGTAGAGGTAGGTTGAACAACAAGGCAGAAGGAATCTTCATGCAGGGCAGTCATTCGAGTCTTCAACAGCGCTTGTGCCTCGTCTCGGATTTGCTTGCATGTGGCCAGAATGGCGGTATTGAAAGTCCAGTCGCGCAGGAAACAATCGTCGACATCGGGGGTGAAGCCATTGAGGGGAGAAGGGATGTCGCTCATATTAGGGAGACGTTCGTAGACCATGAGGCGGATATCTTTCGAAAGGTCCATGAATCGGAAACGCCACTTTATGGGCCCTTTCGTGCGCCTGGAGTAGCCGCTGCAGCTTGTGAGTGATTGGAAACTACCCAGAATTGTGGAGGGGCACTCACTGGGAAGTTTCTGTCTGTTGTACCATTTCGTCTTCATGTCCCATTGGCTTCCAGATGGAGAGCCCTTGCCTCGTCTCACCATTTTTTTGCATCTGCCCATCTTCTAAGATCGTGGTGCTGGAGTGTAGCGAAGTGTTGCTTTGAGGGTGGTAGAGAGGGAGTGGCTGATTGATGCGCGGGTTATGGCTTGCAGTGAACTTTGTTGTTATACTAGAATGTCGGAGTGGATCCACGGGAGTGACAGGAGAGGGGAGGGAGTGTCCAGGCGTGCGGGCAGAACATTGTTTATGGAGCACCACTTCACCAACAGACCTCCACCGTACCTCATAAGGCTCCACGTCACTGCCAACCCAATACTTACCCTACACAAAACCCGCACTGAGCTCTTAAGATCCCAGAACACCTACACAACCTCATCAACACCACCATGGTCACTCTCGCACGCCACCCTGGCCTAGACGGCGAGGGCGAGAACGTCAACAAGTACGTGTATCGCTTTTCCAGCAGAAGCTTCATTCAACTAACAATTCTTCCCAGTCATTCATCGTCTGCCGGACCATCATCTGCCAGACCCTCCCAGCGCTGGGTCAGAGAAGGACCATTTCGATTCCTCGACCTCCCCAAAGAACTCCGCCTGAAAGTCTACGAGTACATTCCCGAAGTCTCGAAGCAACCCCTCCCTTTCAACCTCAAGCAAGAGCGCGACGATGAGATATACTGGCGAAAATGGACAGTCAATCCCGCGATTCTCTCTACAAGCAAGATGATCAACGACGAAGCTTCAGCCATTCTCCGACCAACTGTGAACAAATTTCGGGCCGAGGACATGATCCTCGAAGTCTATGTTAATTCCGCCCCAGAACACGAACTCCACGTCCTCAGCAATCCCAATGAACCTCTTGTCTTGGTCAACATTGCTCCGGTCGTTTACAATGCCCTCTATTCTGCCTCCCCCTATTGGCCTTCCGGGGGCTATTTCCTTGCATGGGGCCAGAGACACACTACGTATTTTGGAGGCTATCAATTTACCCAATTGCTTAACAATGAAGCAGACAGGTTAGAGGCAGAGCGGCTTCTAAATCGCATGGTGAGGCGCAAAAAGTTAGAGACACACCTCCTCTACGACTCCAACGTCTGCTCCGTCTCGAGCATAAGTCTCGCGATCCTCCAGGTCGTTTCATTGGCTACCCTTCCACCCTTCACGACAAATATAAGACTCAGCATCAAAGTGGCTGAGAGAGGGATAGGAGAGCTGCTGTCTCCGGCACAATTTGCCGAGAAGCACAGGAACAGGATCCCTCTGGAGTACTTCAACATGCTCACTAGGGTGTCAACGCCACCCCGTGTCATCTGCCATTATTTTTAGCCAGGCATCAAGGCCCAGAGGAGCGACGTGGTGGATTCACAATGTAAATTAGACTAGATTTCACAGGCTTTTGGTTATGAATTTGACATTATGAGACCTCTCCTACATATACGCGCTCGAAGCGATAAACCTGACTGCGAGGGTAGCACACAGACCGGGCTAGTCGTTATAGCTCGTCTGTCTGACCCAATCTTGCCCTTCTCGTCGCCGAAGACCTACCAGAGCCAGACGACAGTGATTAAGACTGGGCTGAATTGAAGCGCAGGGGACTTTGGATCACGACTGACAACATGTTGAGGCTGTATGGAAGACCCTCCAATGTGTGAAGGCTGGTCATAGCAGAAATGCATATGTCTTCATTTGTGCGGCCGCTAACTTTAAGTCACCGGGCAGCCGACAATTCATTAAGAACGTCCACCCAGCTTCTTCTTCAGCACAAACCTCACCCCACCTTCCGGACTCCTCTACCACCCCTTCACCACCTCACGGTGGCCCTCGAACTGCCCTCTTTCTCCCCCAACAGCTTGGTAGCACATCTTAATTCAGAATCTCCCACCCATGAGCTTCAATCACGCCACTGAAACCAGCGCTGAAATGCCTTCCTCACAGCGCGTAGGCCAGATCGTCGAGCTTATCGAAAACATCTTCCAGCATCTCCCGTTCACCGACGTCATCTCAGCCAAGCGCGTATGCAAGCACTGGCGCGACATCATCGACGACAGCTTCCCCATCCAACAACAACTGTTCTTCGCTCCACTCACCAAAGCCCCAACACTGCGAGTCCCCGGCTTCCTGCTTCCCAAATCGGCCGCTTACCTCAATGATGCTGTCTACTGAGTGCCGCCCGTCATCGGCCGTCAGTGGCACCCAATGCTCCTCCGCATGCTAATGCAGCGTCGACATTCGTTCATCACGTACCGGGGAAGTAAGGCGTGGTACTCGACGGAAATCTTTGGCACAATAAAGAAGCGAAGCTGTCAAAGCTGGCACGACTACTTCGACGAAGACCATTGGGTCACGAAGCTCCTGGAGACCCCAACCGGCGAATGGCAACGTGCGCTGTGCTGTCAGCCGCCAATCTTCATCTTGCGGAGCGGATACGACGAGCGCGAGACTCACGAACCGAGGCAGATTGAGATCGAGACGGAGGCTGGGTGTGGAGGCATCACTATGCTGCAGATCCAGGAGTACGTTCGCGATCTAGTGAAGAAGATCAAGACAGCGGCGGAGGCCTATGAGCGCTCTAGGCAGACTGAGGTGATTGTTCCCGCTGGGTTGGAGGGACTAGAGCGATGGGAGTTTATCCGCCAGTCGCGATGGCCGCCGGAAGTGCGACGGGATCCTATCGAACTTCAACGGAAGCTCTCGTGGTGTGAAAATGCGTTTGGTACTGAAGGTGATTACGCCGGTGAGCGATGGATCATGGAAGAGGCAGATGATGGCACCGTGGGGGGTTCGTGTAAGCTGCTACTTCGGGAGGATGAAGAGGTCCAGGATCATGGTGATGCTGATACGACGAGGACCTAGTCTGTCAATCCTGACGGGGAATACCTCGAAGGATTGCGATATCAGGCAAGACTACAATATCACACTGCTCGAATTGAAATCGTTCTAAGCTCACAATCACTCTAAAGAGGAGTTCAGCTAGAAGGTAACCAATCAATCAAATGGCAGCCCGAATTCCACTGTGCCAATCTTTGCATCATACCGTCGAGGTACCACCCATGATGCCGTACAAGTGTATGTAGATATTTACGAAGGCACCCAATTCACCGTCGTCAGTTGGGCATACAGCTCTACTACTAATGTGGCTTTGCTTTTGCCTGAAATGATAGTGCTGTAAGGAGCACCCCATCTAGCAGGTCGTCGGCCGGTTAAAAGGTTGTCTGATTTCCACCCCGTTGACTTTCACATGGTGAGCGATGGATCTCAAGTTTGAGTACACCGATATACTAGTACTCAGGATCTAACTACGCTTGCCTGATATCACTCTAGAGTGTACCTTGATAGTAGGTAGGGAAGCAATCAAAGCGTGATCTGATATGCACCGTATTAACCCTGACATAATGAGGGCTACATCATTGGTCTAGGGTCGTGGATATACCAGTGCTAAAGATCTAATCTGCTCGCTTGATACCACTGCCGAGGATTCCCTAGCTAGTATCTAGCTAATTAGCCTGAGTTTCATGGTACTAACGACTGTAAGACTTTGCGTACTAGATGTCAAATTTAGGCATGCGGATATCCAGCCATTTGAGATTCACTCCTGTAAGCAGGTAGCCGAGCGGTTAAAATGTAGTCTAATTTCCAATGCATGAACAGAAAGATGGATACTCAGATATTTGATCTATTCAAGCTCCACTCATACTCGCTGCATCCCACTGTGAGAAGTCACTCAACTAGCAATCAGCTAGCTAGTCTAAAGCTTTCAAATCTACGCCTCCACCGAAACCCCCTCCGCAACCGGCTCCGGATAATGCACCGCATTCCGCATCGCCTGATACTCCAGCGCCGTCAAATCCTCATACAACGGCTGCCTCTCCGGACCCACGAACTCCTTCAACGGCCCAACATTAATATGCCTATCCGCTTTGCAGAAATACACAAGGCTCCACCTCTCCGGCACGACATCCCCAACCATATCCACAGGTTTCGTCACGCGGTGCAAACCCGCTCTCACAGCGCCGTTGGTCCATCGCTGGAAGGTCTCGGAGATGATGACGACGACCTCGTCGTCGCCGTTGTACGGCATCGGGATGAAGGTGCCTGGGTTCTCGCGGTCTTCGTACTCCAGGCCGCCGGTTCGGTCGGGGAAGACGAGGGAGATGATGCCGAAGTCGTTGTGGGGCCAGATACGGCTGACTTGGCCGCTCTCGAGGGTTTGGCGGTCGATTGGAGGGAAGTGGTTGATGCGGATCGTGCTGGCTTCGTTCGTGCATTTGGATGAAAAGAGCTTCGGGTCGAGATTCATCTGGGCGGCGAGAACTTCCAGGAGATTGACGCAGAGCTGGCCGCAATCGTAGTAGAATTGGTCCATTGTGGCTTGGTAGCCTGGGAGAGCGGACTCGGCGGGCCATTGGTTGGGGAATTGCTTGTCCTTGGGGTCTCCGCAGTCGAAGCTTTCCTGGGGAAATGGTCAGTCATGATTTAGTTCTTGGAGGAGGCGGCCTGAAGCTGTTACCTTGTTGTCACTAAAGCGGGGAGACTCGACGTCCCCGGTGTTGCTCTCCAACCACCAGGTCTTCTCCTCGCCAGGGGGGCTCCAGCCACGCTGTTGTCCCTTCTTCGGATCATTGATCGTAGGCCTCTTCACGTCGAAGGGTAGTTTGAAGAATTGCTTGATCTAGTACGAGTTTAGCAATCAAAATCCACCTCTCTGAGAGATTCTTACTTTGCTAAACGTATCTTCAACCACAGGTAGTGGAACGCTGTGATTGACAAGTTTTACGAATCCATACTCGGTCATACTTTCGAGGAACTTCTGTCCAAACGCTGCCCTTTCTTCGGCCGTTCCCTTGGCCATGAAAGTGGCGTCGAGAATTGGAATTGATGGTGACATCTTGCAGCGAAAATTTTAACAACCGTCAAGTACCGAGAGTTTGAAGTGCGCTTAAAGCTCTGGGTTGTATTGTTTGCTTCTGAAGGATCTTCCTGATATACAGAAACTAGCCTCGGAGACACATTAGCATATTAAACGAGTATTTCTAGTCTAAGCCGATATAGGATAAAGATGCCGGGACGACGCAACGGTCACCGTGGTCCGAGCAGGTTCCCCAACAAGCTGACAAGCGGTCCGCTCGGCTAGAGTAAGCGTCCAATGGATCTACCGATCGTACCGATCCGAAGATGCGGACCGGAATCGGAAACGCGGCTGCATGGATAGCCTGCAGGGGAAACTCTTGGAGACATCCCTAATTTGACGTCTCGTAGTAACCATCCTGATTTTAGTTCCTATCTTCCAAGATAGTCCTTGAGAATCGTACGAAGTCTACTGAACTCCCCAAAACAAAGTCGAATCAAAATCACGATGCCAATGTAAGTAAACGTTTTTTTTTTCTAGAGGACATAATTGACTGTAGTTTCATAACATCGGCATCTAACTCATACTTGGAACTAGGCTCCGCGACCCCTCCCAGAAATACGCCCCCTTCGCGGCCCCCTCTCTTCCAGATCGAACGTGGCCCTCCAAGACCATCACGAAATCGCCACGATGGCTCGCTACCGATCTTCGAGATGGGAATCAGAGTCTAGCTCACCCGATGACCGTAGCAGAAAAGCAAATCTACTTCGACCTCCTCATCCGCATGGGCTTTAAAGAAATCGACGTCGCCTTCCCCAGCGCCTCCGAAACCGAGTTCAACTTCACGCGCCAGCTCGTCGAGACGCCAAATGCGGTCCCAGAAGACGTCTGGCTGCAAGTCCTCTCGCCCTGCCGCCGCGAGCTGATCAAGCGCACCGTGGAGAGCGTGACCGGGGCGAAGAAGGCAATTATCAGCCTCTACATTGCGTCCAGCGACGCCTTCCAATCCACCATCTTCGGGCTGTCGCGTCAAGACGTCTTCGACATGGCCGTCGACTGCGTCCGCTACACGAAATCAATCACCAAAGACGACCCAGCGCAGCACGGCACGAGCTGGAATCTGATGTTCAGCCCGGAAGCGTTCTCAGATACCGACTCGTCCTACGCCATCGCGCTCTGCGACGCGGTCCGCGAAGCGTGGGATCCCACGCCCGAAATCCCGCTTATCCTGAATCTCCCAGCCACGGTCGAGATGAGCACGCCAAACACCTTCGCCGACCAAGTCGAGCTCTTCTGCCGCGCCTTCCCCCACGACTCCGTCACCGTCTCGCTGCACCCCCACAATGACCGCGGCTGCGCCGTCGCCGCGGCCGAGCTGGGCCAGCTCGCGGGCGCGACGCGCGTCGAGGGGTGTCTCTTCGGGAACGGCGAGCGGACCGGAAACGTGGATCTGGTGACGCTCGCGCTGAATCTGTACACCCAAGGAGTCGACCCCGAGCTTGATTTCTCGGATCTTCCAGGGATTCGAAAGACGGTGGAGAAGCTCACGCAGATTCCAGTGCACATGCGCGCGCCGTACGCTGGAGACTCGGTGTTTTTGGCGTATAGCGGCAGCCATCAGGATGCGATCAACAAGGGGTTCAAAATGTGGGAGAATCCCCCGACGGAGGGGAAGAAGAATATTTGGACGGTGCCGTATCTGCCGCTTGATCCGAAGGATATCGGCGCCACGTATGAGTCGGTTATTAGGGTTAATTCGCAGAGTGGGAAGGGGGGAGTAGCGTGGACGTTGCAGAGGAGTGTTGATTTGGATCTGCCGAAAGCGCTACAGCAGGACTTCTCGAAGATTGTTAAGAGCGCCTCGGATAAGGTTGGTCGAGTCTTGTCGCCGGTTGATATCCAGGATCTTTTCTTGGACACGTATCATGTCCGACAGAGGGATGCGAGGATCCTGAAGCATGGATATCACGCCCGAGGGAGGAGTAGTCAGGTTGAAATTTCTGCGACAATCCTCATCAACGGACTCGCCAGGGATATTCGGGGGAGTGCAGACGGTATCGCCGCGGCCGTTTCCAGTGCACTAGCAATTGGAACTGGCCTCCAGCTTCCCTTCGAGGTCTTTGAGCGGAAATGGGTAGAGAACGGCAAGACACAGGAAATGGCCGTCGCAAATTGCCACTTGAAGGGTGGGCACTACGTGTCTTGGGGCGCCAGCATGTGCTCTACTTTCGAAGAAGCTGAGTTACTAGCTTGTCTTTCCTCTGCTTTGGTAAGTTATTTCGTGTTTCATAAAGTTGATAGGAGACAAAGGACTAATAAAAGCATAACAGGGCCTGCAAAAATACGTTCCGAGCTTGAGGCTTCTCCCCATCGCTCCGGAAGCCCAGATAATGCAAGAAGTACGAGATAGGAGAGAGCTGGTTCGAGTTCGTTAAGAGCATTCGTAAAGAAGTATCGAAGAAGGATGACTTAATCGTTTGAAGGAGGTTGTAGAACGTCATGTGATTGCAGGTAATCCTGAAATCTTCTACTCGAACGTTTCTTCAATAGAGAATAGAGCCGTATGCTTCGTGTTTCAAACTAAGCTCCCAAAGTCTTGTGACCTGTGAGCATGACGCCAGTCACGCTTCGTACTACAGTCAGATCCTGTGATGCCCAAACGTGATTTCTTGGTTGCGAACTCGGCTCCATCGACGACTGTTACACAGCGTGGCGATTGTATCTGATCTCCGCAACCCGAGTACCAAAGGGGACAATGGTACCATCCCTAGATCCGGAAATCATGCCTCTATCTTACTCATCCGATACCCCGGTTCCCGGCCGGACCGATCTTTGCGTCCATTGTTACACCTGCTTACCAGCCGCTCCGACCGGCGACTCGTGCGACTAACTTCTTGCCGACAGGCAACGGGTTTGTACGACACCGTTCAATTCCCACATTGAGAAGAAAAAACAGTGAAATCCGAACCCGTTCGAATCGACAACTCCGCTTCGACGCCATGGCGACCCCAAAGAAGCCGCGAACTCTCTACGAGAAAATCTTCGCCGACCACATCGTCGCCGAGCGAGACGACGGCACTGTCTTGCTCTACATTGACCGGCACTTAATCCACGAAGTCACCTCCCCGGTACGAGACCCCCCGTATCTCATTTTAAAATCTACCAGCCTGATCTTTTCGTATAGCAAGCTTTCAGCGGTTTGGCATCTCGATCGCTCCCTGTGCGCCAACCCGCCCTCCAGCTCGCCACATCCGATCATAACGTTCCCACGACGCCACGGCCCTATCCCGTCACGCCCGCCACCTATCTGCGCGTCCCAGCTTCGCGCCTCCAAGTTCAGACTCTCGAGCGCAACGTCCGGGCGCACAATATCCCCTATCTAGGGCTGAACTCGCGACGGCAGGGGATCGTGCACGTGATAGGCCCGGAGCTGGGGTTCACGCTGCCCGGCACGACCATCGTATGCGGGGACAGCCATACGAGCACCCATGGTGCGTTTGGGGCACTAGCGTGGGGCGTAGGTACGAGCGAGGTAGAGCATGTGCTCGCAACGCAGACGGTCGTGGTGACGAGGTGGGGGAACATGAGAGTCGAAGTCAATGGTGCTTTAGCCGAAGGTGTAAGCTCTAAGGACCTGATGATGCATATCATTGGGACGATAGGTAGGCGAACTTCTGAGTCGGCGATTTGCGATGTGGGAGATGCTGATGAAGGATGTAGGCACGGCGGGTGGTACGGGGATGGTGATTGAGTTCGCGGGTCCAGTAATCAGGAAATTGAGCATGGAGAGCCGAATGGCGCTGTGCAACATGTCCATCGAAGCGGGAGCTCGAGCTGGGCTGATCGCGCCGGATGAAACGACTTTCGAGTACGTGAAGGGTCGACCGCTGGCACCGACTGGTGGACAGTGGGAGGAGGTGTTGAAGTACTGGGAGCAGCTCTACTCGGATCCCGGAGCCCATTTCGACAAGACCGTGCACATTGATGCCACGGCGGTGATGCCTACAGTCACGTGGGGTACATCTCCGGAACAAGTCGTCTCCATCACGGGCTCGGTTCCAGCGCCAGAAGACTTCGAAGACCCGGTGAAGCAGGAGAGTTGTCGGCAGGCGCTGGGGTATATGGGTCTAGAAGCGGGGGCAAGAATGACGGACATCGCAGTCGACAAAGTCTTTATAGGGTCATGCACCAACGCTCGACTCGAAGACTTCCGCATCGCCGCACGGATACTTCGAGGAAAGCGGATATCGCCGAACCTCAAGCTCGCCCTTGCAGTTCCGGGGTCCGGTGCAGTGAAGAGGGCTGCAGAGCGCGAAGGAATTGATGCTATTTTTAAGCAAGCTGGATTTCAGTGGAGAGAAGCGGGGTGCAGTCTATGCGTGGGCTTGAATGAGGACGCGTTACTGCCGTTCGAAAGATGTGCGAGTACGAGCAATCGGAACTTCGAGAGCCGTCAAGGGACAGCGGGGAGGACACATTTGGTCTCTCCTGCAGTTGCAGCTGCTACTGCGATTCATGGCACGTTGGCTGATGTGCGTCTTGAAACTGGATTGAAACCGCAAGAGGCCCCCGAAGTGATTTACTCATCCGAAAGCGAGGAATACATCGAAAGCGGGAGTGAGGGAGGCAATCCTGAGGTTGAAAATACTGATCAACCTAGTGCAGCTCCGGTGGCACGATCGGCAAAGATATCAGCGTACTCCACTACCGTTTGCGGTAGCGTAGCGATAGTCGAGCGCTCAAACATCGACACAGACGCCATCTTCCCGAAGCAGTTTTGTACCACGATCGAACGGAAAGGACTGGGTGATTGCTTGTTCCACAATCTCCGCTACCACCCCGACGGGAACCCTAAAGCCGACTTCATCCTCAACCAAAAAAAGCATCGTAACGCTAGTTTCCTGCTCGCCACTGGCCCAAATTTTGGCTGTGGCAGCTCTCGGGAGCATGCCGTCTGGGCGCTTCAAGACTTCGGGTTCCGGTGCATCTTTGCACCTAGCTTTGCTGATATCTTCTACAATAATGCGTTCAAGAACGGGCTTCTGTTAGTGAAACCTGACGCCGCGTTGGTGGCCCGCATTGTCCTGTCAGCTGGATTGGGGAAAGAAATTCAAATTAATCTTGCTGATCAGGTGGTATTGGACGAAAGTGGTGTCAAGATAGGGGGCTTTGAGATAGAAGAACGCCGAAAGAAAGAATTAATCGACGGCATGGATGAGATTGCCGTCACTCTAGCGACTATTGAGGACATTGAGGAGTTTGAAAGGGATAGGAAAGCAGCTAGGCCATGGATTGATGAGTCGGTGCGTGATGGGTGGAGTTCAAAGTTAGCGAAGGAGGTCAAGGGATGGAAACACAAGGATGCGCAGATAAATTCTTTAGATTGGTAATGATAATGCAGCCCCTTTTTTGGTGAATGTGTAGTAAACAAAAATGGATATTATGGGTAGCATATGCGTGAGTGAGATTGACAGTACATCTGAATCTTCAAACCGCATCTAAGAAATTGAAATTATCGAAAGAACTTTTATCAAGCGAGGGAGTGTTGAAAATGCTATCCGACACATCTTGAGGAAAATCGAAATAGCCCGTGGAGGAAAAAGATGAGATGTCAAGCTCAAAATCCGGTTTCAAGCCAGTATCCATTGGAGTGGAAAGAAAGTCGTCGGAGCTTATCGACGACTCACTGGATTGGCCCGCCAGGTCCGTGGCTTCTCCGGCGTTGAGCTTGCGGTGAGCCATCAAGTAAAGCTCGCTGATTTCTTCGAATAGATTGGGAGCTGCACATTCGCTGGTACTTAGTCTACCAAAGTAACCGCAAGCCATGCCAAGGAAAGGCAGACAGTCCTTTCCCACCTCTTGTTTGCAAATGGCGATAAAAATTGTGGCGGCAGAAAGAAGCGGTAGAAATATGCGGTGCCTGTGGGGTCCAAATCAATTAGTCATAGTCTGCGACGGCAGGATGCATTTACTTACCAGTCTAGCTCGTGGTCGTCAACACGAAAGTAGTGCGTCCAATGAAGTACACCTTTTGCCAATTCAATGCACTGATCGCGACTCGAAGAGTACGTAGCGGTTGCATCTTGTACTACGTTGTGCTGGATGACTGCCCATCGGTGAATAGCAAAGGAGGCCTCGGCAAATTTCAGAAAGATATCTGATTGAATGCAGGTGTCCCATGACCGATTCTGGCACGCCGGGAGATCAAGGTTGCAGTCTGGACGGTATGCGACCGGTATAGACATTCTCCACGCCTCTAGCATCTTGGAGAGGCGATCGATTGCTGCCAAAGTTTCCGATCGGCTCATTCTTAAAGCTGCGTGGCTGTATATTGTCTTGACAATGACGGAACAAAGTCGAGCGTAGCGGTAGCTGACGACCTCCCAACCTGACCGGAGATCGATGGCAGGAATCATAGAGTCTCGACGCTTAGAAGGCGCAGGAAAGACGACAAGGTCGTCGTCAATCATGGAATGGCCGCCAAATCTCAACGTGAATGGCTTCTCGATAGAGTAGAGGAGCCAAAAAAGTCGTTGGATCTCTTGCTGATGATTTCCATCGATTGCTGTTAGGAAAGGGCTTTTTGGGACCCTTGAGATGAGTTCTTGAATCATATGGATTGCTTGCGACAAGACCGATCTCATTAATGAAACATTACGATGCTGTCTCAAATAGAGGATGAGTGCCGTTAGCGCCTGAAGTTTCAAGAACGACGGTTGTCCGTTCGTAAGGTATTCACGATATTTCAGTGCTCCTGAGAAATATCTGGAAGGCCAATAAATGGACTTGGCGTGTATGGTATTGCTTCTTGGAGAGTCCTTGCGAATTGCATTGCGGCATCCGATCGCGAGAACTCCATTGACCAATGCGTAGGCGCATTGATCGACGGCGTTGGGTGAGGCGACAATTGCGGCTAGGGTATCTTCAACGTATTGGCGTGTCACGAACGAAGAATAACCATAACAGCCGTTGAAGAAGACATCAATGAACTGCGCAGTATCTGGATCTGCATATGGTGGGACGGAGTCATCCTGGCTTTGAGAGTCGGCATTCTCGGAACTTCGTCGTGACTTCGTCCATATCTGCTTTGATAAGACCGAAAGGTGGTCTTTCGTCGGTGGACCTTCCGAAAACCTGTCAATGAAATGCAATGGTGCTAACGATGAGAAATCGGCACATAAATCCTCAGCCCACGTTTTGCTCCATCCGTGATCAGTGCCAACGGGAATGTCATGGTCGAGTGGATGGTGGTCGTTCTCAACTCTTGTCAGCGAGTCAAATGATTGCCAACTATCTCTTTCAGCTGCGAAGGCACTGGGTTCGAGGATATCGTCCAGGATGTCGTCGGGGATGCTAGGTACTCCTTGCGAATAGGCAGAGACGCTCGATAGATGGTTGGAATGGTTGCGTAGTAGTTCCCAGCTGGCTACGTTGCGCTCGGACAGTGTTGGTGTAGCAGACTGACTCGGTCTTCTACCGATACTCTGCTGAGAAGTCTGGTATGAACATATTAGTCCTGATTTCTGTGATAGAGATAGCGTCAGTGACAAATTGAATGCCGTATATGTGGAGGTATTCTTACCATGCATTGAGAGCATGTTGAAGACCCATCGCCTGGAATGATTAGCGAGAGTTACATAGCGTTGACACCAAAGCTTACATCTGACTTTTCGTAGCCTACAATTATTACAGGCACCTTTACGTCGCGTAATCTTACGAGCACTTTTCCAATCCATAGCAGTAAATGATGGTTAGTAGGCCGATATGGTTGCACGCCTCTATAAGGGGGCCGAACGCCTTCACAAGGGTGAATGAATAACGCAAGGAGCATACTCTGGGTGCGCGAGAGCCTTTGGGACAAGGGTTCTCCAGGATGCCAAGCTGACTTTAACGACTTGGTAGATGTAAGCAGAGAGCCGAGTGGCGTACTGAAGTAAGCATTGATGAGTAGATGCTGCACTGAATGACGATCTGATCCTGCAGTCTATAATATGGGGTTCGCTTGTGTCGCTAGACTAAGATTATAGGGTTGTGTAACCTATCGGTAGAATCCTGGTGATAGGACTGGGCCGAGAAGCTTACCTAGAAGAGAACCGTATAGGCTTGAAGAAGATGTGTGGGTCCTAGGCCATGCCAATAAAATCCCTTTGGACAATGGGTTGGCCTACTAACTGCTGACAAACGAGGAACTAATATACTAGTTTTTTTTTAGAGTACCGTACACCGACTCTTCGTAACGCCAATCGACCCATGTCTCTTTGTTGATGGGCCATGGTTACCGAACGACTGTTTACAAATTTCCTCATGTCGTGCAACGTAGCCCATGATGAGGCACCAGTCCAGGACCAACGAACGCCAGGGCCGGAGAGACATACCCCAAAAAGGTAAGAGATAATCTGACCGTCGAGATTTTCAGGATTTCAAGCTCTCGATGAGCACATTCAGATAGTGGTGACCAATAAGAGCATTTGAGTAGGTTTTGGGCCTTCTAGGGTGCGGGGAAATCTCGCAGTAAATTGAATCTCCCGACCGGCATATTTTTAGGCATTAGGAAAATTGGTCAAGGCTTCATAATTATAGGGAGCGACATATACGGGAGAATATACATCTTAGCTTATTGTATAGCGTTCTAGGTGCACTCGTTGAATGACAAGGAAATCGCCAAGCGGCCACTCGATCCAAAAAGTGCTAATTACCAAAAAGTTGATAGAGAGATCGCAATTTCCATCGGCAATTCCAAAACAGCACGATCGAGTGGGAAGGATTGGAAGCATACTACCTACCAATGCGATCGACAAGTACGCTCCATTCATGGTCTTCAACACCATACTGCCTATTCTCGATCCAGGTTTTCATCAATGTCGCCACTTTCCCCGCATTCTGCGTGGGGGCGAGACCGCAATCGAGTAGGTCATTTTTCCATTTGATAGCCTTGACAGGGCTAACCACAGCGGCGGTTCCTGTGCCGAAGACCTCGACCAAAGTCCCAGTCTGCGAGGCACGAGCCACTTCCGCCATGGAGATTCTGCGCTCGCTGATGAGCCAACCAAGTGGTTGAAGCCTCTCCCTAGCGAGGCTCAAGACGCAATCGCGAGTGACACCAGGGAGAATCATGCCATCTAATGGCGGTGTGACGATTTCGAAATTGTCGCCGCCTGGCACTCGGAGGACGATAAAGAGGTTCATGGTTCCGGCTTCGGTGATGTCGTCATCATCTCCAAAAAGCCAAAGCAGTTGATGAAACCCGCGTCCTTGAGCTGCCTTCTCCGGAGCAATACAAGGTGCATAATTCCCACCAATCTTTTGGTTGCCTGCCCCTCCTGGCCAGGCTCGAGTGGCATATGAGCTGCTTGTTGCCTCCAGCCGAATTGGCTTGAAGCCAGCGGAAAAGTAGGGTCCGACAGGGGAGGCGACCAAATATAGAAGAGCTGAAGTAGGTGCCGAGACCCCCAGTCCACGATTCGTACCAATAAGTACTGGACGGAGATAGAGCGAGTATCCTGGGCGCGCAGAGATGAACTCTGCTTCAAGCTTGACAAACTCTGCAATCAGCTTCAGTAGTTCTCCAGAGTTGAACTCGGGTAGCGCTATTCTAGCTGCCGACTTGTTGAAGCGGTCGAGATTTGCATTAGGCCGAAACAGCCTAATACGGCCGTCTGCATCCTTGTAGGCCTTCATGCCCTCGAAACACTCGAATCCATAATGGAACACGCAGGCAGTCGGATCGAGAGATATTTCCTGGTAAGGGATGATACGCGGCCGGTGCCATCCATAGTCCGAGGTCCATTGAACTTGCAGCATGTGGTCTCGAAAACAGGTTAGTGAGGCTTACAGCAACCACTATTTCGTGCTCAAGCTTACCTGTGACATGCTTTCCGAAGGCAAGGTCTTCGTCGGGAGGCGCTTCAGAAGGATGGGGATTCTTTGTGACTTGGAGCAATGAGGCATCAAGTGCTGCCGGTGTCGAAAACGTTTGGACATGTTCCAAGGAGGTGGCGAGAAGTGCTGGGGCCATACCTGCGCAAGACTAATTCCACCACATAGCCGCAGTTTCTACAGCCTTTGCCTAGGGTCTTATTCCCGTATTCGTTGAGGCCTGGATCGCGGATAGAGGGTCCGACTGCCGTTCAACGAAGAGCTTGACGGCACGGTCCGTACGGACCGCAACGGTTCGGTAGCTAGAGGTATGTACGTGCATAGCGTTGACACATAGGAACTGACTCCTCGGCATCGCCGGAGGACCTGCTTATGGTGACACGGGGTTTGGTGTCGGAATTCTGCCGTGTGACATCGGAAATGGCGGCAAGTAAGCAGTGCGGGTCCTTGCAGAAGCCCAGGGGCGCACATTGGTGGGTACGCTGCATTCTAGTCACAGATGCATTGGGTGCCTGCTGGTGGCGAGCCGCAATGCTTGTTGCTGGTGGCGAGCCGCAATGCTTGTGAGGTGTGGGGATGGAGGAGCGGTCGTCGATGAGGAGTTGGGGCGAGGATGAGTCAGCAGCACGTATTCAATCAAGGTTCGTGCGTATTCTATTTTCTTTCACGCCCGGCGCCCTAACGCCATCCAGCCATCCACGCCCTTCCATTGACCCAACGTCCAAAGCTTATGGGCCGCCTGAAACACTGGTTCCCGCTGGTTCCCGACCGGCAGTGGGATGAAAGCCTCTACACTTGCCCATAGGAAGCCACGAGCCACCTCCGACAACTCCTTCTTCCCACGGCAAGACCAATTGTGAACTTCTCCCAGCACTTTTCATCTGCACCTCTTCACGATGTCTGACAGCTGTGCAGAGCTTACCGCGCTCCCAGCCGTATTGCACAAGGATCCCGAGTCTCTGGATCCAACTGCTGTCCGACCTGGGCACGACGGAATTGGAAATCCAGATGGCCTGGCATCCAAGGAGACCATCGACAATAACGACGCGATCGAACAAGACTCCGAGTCCCAGTCGTCTCATGGCCAGGAATTCTCTCTTCCTCCCGTCGATGGCGGCAAGGATGCGTGGCTTTTCTTGGCTGCTTGCTTCGTGGTTGAGGCTCTTGTGTGGGGTGCGTCCAACCCCACATCTACTCTCAGGCCACATTTCTAACGAACCATAGGTTTTCCCTTTTCGTACGGCGTCTTCCAAGACTACTATTCTACTCATGAGCCGTTCCAGGGTTCGAGCAATATCGCCGTAATCGGCACTTGCGCAATGGTGAGTGAAACACCACAGAAACCGGAGCCATCACTAATTTTTCCCAGGGCATCATGTATCTCGACCTGCCCATCGTCTTCGGCCTTCTTCGCCGCTGGCCACGCTCCCAGCGCTACGCAACCGTTGGCGGGCTGCTCGTCATGTGCCTGGCGCTCGCCCTCAGCGCGTTCTCCACCAACACCAACCACCTGATCGTGACCCAAGGCGTTATTTACGCCATCGGTGGCAGCTTCGCTTACTCTCCATGCATCTTATATATGGATGAATGGTTTGTTAGGAAGAAGGGCCTCGCTTATGGCATCATGTGGGCTGGGACCGGCCTGGCGGGCGTCATCCTGCCCCTCTTCATGCAATGGCTGCTGAATGCGTACGGGTACCGCACCACGCTTCGTGTATGGGCCATCTGCCTCTTCGTCCTGACAGCTCCGCTGCTCTACTTCATCAAGCCGAGAATTCCGGTCGCGCAGACCCACCAGCCTCGCCCTCTCGACTTCGGCTTCTGGCTCACGTCGACATTCGGCGTGCTGCAGGTCTGCAATGTCATCGAAGCGCTCGGATTCTTCCTTCCGTCCATCTACCTCCCGTCATACGCGCGAAGCTTGGGCGCCTCGAATGCTCTCGCCTCTCTGACTGTCGTTCTCTTCAACGTCGCCTCGGTGTTTGGCTGCGTGCTCATGGGCTCCATCGTCGACAAGTGGCACGTCACCACCTGCATCCTGATCTCGACTATCGGCTCAACCATCAGCGTCTTCATCATCTGGGGGTTCTCGGTGAGCCTTGCTCCCCTGTATATCTTCTCCCTCGTCTACGGCCTCTTCGCGGGGAGTTTCACGAGCACGTGGCCGGGTATCATGCGCGAGGTGCAGAAGAAGAAAGAGCGAGCGGACCCGAGTATGATATTTGCGTGCCTGGCAGCAGGAAGAGGCGTTGGCAACGTGGCGTCGGGCCCCTTGAGCGAGGTCTTGATCCGAGGCATGCCTTGGCGTGGAGATGTAGCTTTCGGGTACGGGAGTGGCTACGGCACGTTGATCGTTTTCACGGGCATTACGGCGTTCTTCGGAGGTGCAAGCATCTTCGGAAGACGCATTGGCTGGGTGTAGGCTTCTACTAACGCCCTGGACGGCTGCATTCTGGGTTCAACATTTTCAGGCTGGGACTGGGAAGCGTAAGTTTCTCTCATCATAGATTTCGGCCGGGAGCATCACATCGGATTAGATATACCATCAAAGATCCAATATGTTGCATACAATTTTTAGCCAAACCCCAACGATATCTTGCACAAAATACTCACAGAGCATTCCTCTGTCTATTCTGCAGTCCACAACTCCGCACCCTTCTCCAGCCATTCATCGACTGGCGCTTTCTTCAAGTTGGATAGCTTTAGGCGCTGTGGTAGTCGTTCACTGACCGGAGAACCCCCCGAGCCAGACCCCTCTGGTGCCTTCGGTGTCGCTTTCTTAGTAATCTTCACATACTTCCCCGTCGCCGGATACGCCTCTTTCTCGGGCTTGGCCTGCTCCTTCTCCCACCACGACGGATACGCCGGCACCGAGTGTCTCCAAAACCTAATCACCCCATCGTGATCCAAGTTCACATACGTCTCTGTCTCTTTCAAAAAATGAATCCCCAGCTGCGAATACCCCTCCGTCACCAGCCCCTGCGTCTTCAAAAACCCCTCCTTCGCATTGCTAAAGCGGTCCCAAACCACCACACTCCCATCTGAGCATCCGACCGCCAACTTCGCATCATCCAGCCACTTGACATCCTCAAGATCCGCCATGGACCCGAACCTCCGACCGTCCTCTTCCTTCTTCAACCTAACCTCCATCACCGCCCCCTCCGCCTCCACCGGCCTCCACATATACGCGCTGCGCGACCCCGTCCCGATCGCGATGTCGCGCCCATCCGCAGTCCACGCCAGACTGCGCGCCCAGTGGTTCAGCTTCAGTGGAAACGTCGCATTACACGCCCCCGTCTCCACATCCAGCACCTTCACCACAAGCCCGTTCTTGCTACTCCACACCACCTGCGTGCTATCCGGCGCAAACGCCGCAGCCCAGCACTGCCCGCGAGTGTCTTCGGTGACCCAGCTCAGCGCCCCCGTGCGCGCGTCGTGCATCCGCATCGTGCCGTCCCACGACACCGTCGCGATGCGGCGGCCATCGGGGCTGAAGCCCGCCCACATGATCGCGTCGGTGTGGCCGCCGAGGCTGAGCCGCGAGGTGCCGGCGTCGAGGTCCCACACGCCGATCTGCGGCGCGGCGTCGACATCGTGGATCTGAGAAGGCGTGCTCGCGTCGCTCGTAAGATAAAGAAGCTGCGAGCCGTCTGGGCTGAATGGCGCGCCGCGGACGGAGCGCGCGGCGGGGATGAGGGTGGTGTGCGCGAGGTGGTGCGCTGTTTCTGCTTTCTTGAGCGCGGCTTCGATGTCGGTTGCTAAGCTGGAGTTGGCGATGAATGAGGGGGACCATTCATGGTGGGTTGATAGATCGGTAGAGATGCTGGCGAGGGCTTTTGCGGCGAGGGCGGGCGCGTCGAGGGGCTCGTCTTCGTCGAGGAGGCGGCCGTTTTTGTCCAGGTCCCAGATTACGAGCGTGTCGCTCTCGGAGTAGCGGTCGCCTTCTGGGACAGAGCAGACGAGGGTGTACTTGGGCCCGCCGTTCAGGGTTTCGTCGTCTGCGGGGGGTTCGAGCTCGGTCTCGGGGATGTCTGCGCCGCGGCGGTCCAGAGGGCGGAAGAGGACGTTGCCGCACCCATCGAGGCTTTGTCGCAGTTCTTTACTCTCAATGTCGTAGATGTAGATCTTTTTGCCAGCGCTGACGGCGAATAGCGCGTCGTCGCTGCTTACGGCGCTGTAGAGGCTGTGGTAGGAGCCCGCATCGTCGCCTAGGGGGACGGGGATGCCGGAGGGGCAGCGGTCCCAGGTGAAGGGGTGCCCGGAGGCCCAGTCGGCGGGTTCGTTGGCGATGCGGAAGTCGTGGTTGGGGTCGAGGGCGAAGGTGTAGTTGGCGAGGAATTGGCCGCGGGTGGTGCCGGAGGGCATTTTGGGGGAAGAATGGTGTTTCTTTTTTGGGGAAAGAGAAGGGAGTTGAAAAAGATGAGGGGATACTTGGAGGGGAGAAGGATGGTTGAGAATGGTACTTGGTGTTTTATTTATTTGGTTGCCTGGAGGTTGGAGGTACAGGGGATCGGCATGACGTTCGGAGGCGAAAGGCGGGGGGTTCTCGTCGAGATTCAGGCAAAAAGTGGGTGGAAGAAAAAAACAGGCGATCCCGTGTGAAAATAATACCGAGACTCATCAAATCGGTTGATTAATTGATGGGTAGCTCTGCGTGTGCAGCGGAAAGCCAGTACCGTCGCACCCAATACAGCCTCGAGACGCATCTCGTGGTTAGCGCCGCAATTGGGTGCGGCGTTCCAATGGCTTTTGATCCCTAGAAAAGGCTAAATTTGAACCAATGAGCTCAATCTCATGGAACTCTTGTTATTTACTTGGAAAGCCACCTGCACACTAATCACAGGATGCGTCTAGGGGCTGTAGTGATACTTACAGCTCCTAGACGCGTCCGGTGACTAGCGCAGATATCAAGCCACCAAGTCAGCCGTAAAGAAGGGTAATCTATCAAAGTCACACCTCGCGGTACTGTGCTTTTAGCAGATTCAGCTCAGCCTTGGTAAGAATTAGTCCAGAAAAGGCTTTTATCTATTCTAATCTCACCTATTCCATCTGTGGCTTTAAATCTGCGCTAGTTGATCGGGCGCGTCTAGGATCCGTAGTGGTGCTCGGTTGGCTTGTGGTTCGTGACCACTCCCACTCCCATGTCGCCCTCCGGTTGCCTGAGTGGTGCCAGGTCGCGTGCGGTCAGGCAACGATAAGGCAGACTTCAGCGCCGTTTTCAAAGTATGGCTTTAAAGTATGATTGGACAAGTGCAAACCAAACCCAGAGAAAACAGGCAAAAAGGCATACATGCATAGCGGCACACAGGCAATCAAGTATCTTGGCTCTATTATTGGGAGGACCCCGCTTCTGTTTCCTTTACATTCTTCACCAGCCTTTTTCAACTCTGAGCAGACCTCGTCGCAAGAAACCCTCATCTGCCCATTTATGCTTCGTCTATCCTGAGGACGGCTTGTTCTCTCGCCGAGCTGCAGACATCGTGTTCCCGGATTTTGCGCAAGCCGTAAGGATCTAACACACTCACAAAGCAACTCAAGCTGCTTTTTCTAAAGTTGCATGAGGCCTTAAGTAGTCTACCTTGGGGGCGTGTACGTCTTCAATTTCCCGATTCATCAATTGCAATAAGCTAGTCTTGAAGTATGTCATTTCTAAACTCTTCCCCAGGTGGCTCAGCTTCAACCGATATTCTAGTTTGTCACGCTTCGTGGAAGTCCTTATCTGCACCACGAGACTTCCAAGCGGCAAGCGAAGCGCGAACGAGATTGAACCAGCGGGTCCCTCCTGAGCTCTGGTCGCCGGGCGCTGGTCGTCGGACCTCCGTCAACATATCCCTATTCCACCGTATCTCCGCCCATCCTAAATACTCAGGAACTATGGCAAATCAGGGGAGATCAATGTCAAGACCCAAGGAACCATCCAAATTCAACAATTTTTACACGCCACGAAATACTCGCTTTTATTCCAGTTGTCCGTATAAGAAACTAGACAGGTCGCGTCATGAGATTCGCTTGTTGAAGGCAAAAGAACCCCTAAACCCAAGTACCCTGGAGTTTGAGCTCATCCAAAAAGTGGCAGTCCCGCGGTATCATGGCAAATACTCTACCGTGTCATATCATTCGGGCAACCCTCATAATACCGCCAAGCTTCTCATCGACGGCCGCACATTCAATGCTTTTAGGAACCTGCGTGACGCTCTTCAGCGACTTATACGATTTTGGGCGCAGAAATTCCCAGGCAAAGAGTTGCACATCTGGGCTGACCAAGTCTGCATAAATCAGAGTGACAACTTGGAGAAATCACATCAGGTTGAATTGATGCGCGAGATCTATCTTCGGGCCGGTGCTGTATTCATAAGCCTCGAATCCCATACTCTGAATGCCCCCTGGGAAGCCTTGGATCTGGTACGCAAACCGAGGGCAGAATCCCACCACAGCCACCTCCCGCGTCATCCGCACCTGGGATTATGGGCGGAAAAGCCCCCTAATCCACCCAAAGCCGTATATGCTTATCCTTTGTTTTCCCCTGAATGGAACGACATATATGACCTACTAGAGAGCTCTTGGTGGGAGCGAGCCTGGGTGTACCAAGAGTTCATAGTCTCTAGACGGGCCTATTTCATGTCAGGATTAAACTTCTGCGTTCCATGGTCGGAATTGTGCACACCCCTATCCAATTTCATGTCGATGGATATCCAAAAAGCCTGCAAAGAAAATAACAAGGCCTTTACGAGGGATCAGAAATACTACTCAGAATGCGTATCATTTGGGATGGGAATGCAGGGTTCCGCCTGGAAATCATATTGCAAAGGAATGAGCGACGCCCTTGACGCTTCGAAGATTAGGGTTTTGGAGCTAGAAGAATTTACTCGACGAGTCGAGATGTCAAGAAAAGCCAAGGAAACGGCAGAGGCTGTGGTCAATGGTAAGCGCCTTTGGAAGGGATCATGTGATCTTTCAATCCTCATGCGCCATTCGCGCAATTGCCAGAGCTCTGAAATGCGGGACAAGGTCTACGCATTCCTGGGTCTCACTCACCCAGAGTATGGTATTGTCCCCAACTACACATCGTCGACCTCTATTGTCAAATTACTCACCCATACCGCTCGCCGTATCATTGAGGTCGAACGCAATTTGGATATCCTCTCTGATGCAGTTCGTTTACGATCTGCAACATATGGCACCCAACTGCCATCCTGGGTACCAGACTGGACCATACCAGAAGACAACGAGTCACGCCTCTTTCGACAGACTATCAATCTCCCGCCCGATTGTCAAGCAAGCAAAGGTGCACCGCCTAGCTTTCGTTTCCGAGCAGACGATGACGGAAGCGATGGCCAAGTACTCGAAGTCCAAGCTGTTTTCATTGATAGCCTCACCGCCGTCACTCGGGATGACTACCAGTCGTGGTGTGAGTTCCGCACGAGTAAAGGCCGCACCATTCGTACGACTAGTTCCGCGGACATCGGGGATGAAATATGGGTGATTTGTGGCGTTCGGTTTCCGTTTGTTCTCCGCAAGTAGCACGAGGACCACTTACTCCTTGGTGAAGTGATGGTTTGGTCGAGGAACAAACATCAGCAATCTCGTACAACTACGCCCTCGTTTCCGAGACCGGCGAAGCGGTTTTTAGAGCATGTGTCGGCAGCGAGACTACAGAGACATCAACGATCTACGCCCGGTGCAGATCGTCTTACGAATTCAAGGGTATTGTATGGTTCGATGACTGAAGATGGTTCTGCTGTTCCCCTACGCAGCATTCGCATCATCTGATATCCAATCCAATGTGGCTTCAACACTACGGCTCTAATCGCAGCTTTCTATACGTTCTTGCTGAATACGAATTACCGGATCGGTTTCAAGTATATCAGTAATTATAGAGCAGCAGTCCTTCCTCGTCATTGGCATAGCAGATACTCAATAGTTAATTGCACGTGGTTTAAAATACACGTGATGCAATGGAATCCGGTGGCAGGATCCCAGTTCTCTGTAGCTATGTCTACTCCAGCCAGTTACGCTGTTTTTATTGTCTAGCTAGATTCCTAATAAAATCGATATCTGTTGTCCTTCGTCTTGTCTGATCACGTGATGTGACTGACCACAAGGTACTTGACAGAAGGCCGAACGGCCCTAGAGGGCTTCGATGATTCTGCGTGACCTCTTCTCAGCAGAATTAAGAGTTATCATGCTGGAGACTGGCTAATACAACGCATACTTTATTGTTCTACATAGGTGCTCACATTGTCTTAGCAGGGTTTAGTGGGAAACCGAGCCGAAGACGGTCCATCACCCATCACCACAACTGTTATTCGTCTAATATCAATCTACTTTCAAATTCGCGACTGATATATTGCCGGAGATTCTCAATATATCAGCAGTTGGGAGACTCTCGCCATTCCGAGCAGCTAGTCTAACGGACGGCCTCTACTTTCAGCAAAAATGCTGTTCATGTACTTTTGGACTGAGGGATAACTGCGACGCTGCTGAACGCCATTGGCTCTTTACGCCAAGAGAAGGCCTTCCGATCCCATTGGACTAGTAACACGGTCGCCAGATCTCGTGATGAGGATTTGCGGCTGAGAGAGGGGCTAGGGCACTACGACGTCTCCAACCTAGGCGCCCTCTATCATTCAAGCTCGCATCACGTATCCTACGAACGCAAATATCGTCTCCGTTTCATAACAACACATATTGTTGTTGCGTTGACGTTTTCCCCCTCCTCACCGACTTTTCACATTGCCTAGCACTGCCTCAGCCTTGCACAGCCTACTTCGATGGAGCAGCGTGAGACCTGCTTGTCTTGATTCTTCACTTTATCTTCTCTATATCTCTATTTCTTTAACCAGAAAACACTTAGCAATCTTTCGTTTCCACTGACTTCTGTCGACGGATCACGTTGTGGTGGGATCATTTTCACGGACCTCCTCTCCGACGGCTCATGCATCAACATGCGTCTATTGATGTTGGAGCCTGATGGCGGGCTCCGTCTTACTGATGACTTGATACGCGATATCCCTCCCTATGCAATCCTTTCGCATACCTGGGGAGATGATGGCGATGAGGTCACCTTCAAAGATCTAATGAATGATACCGGCAAGAGCAAGGCTGGCTATGCCAAGATCAAGTTCTGCGGAGAACAAGCAAGGCGCCACGGCCTCCAGTACTTTTGGGTCGACACTTGCTGCATCGACAAATCTAATAATACCGAACTCGCAGAATCCATCAACTCCATGTTCCGCTGGTATCGCGATGCGGCCAAATGCTACGTCTTTCTATCCGATGTTTCAAATTTTGCGTTGGACGGCCGCAAGGCACTTAACCAGCTGCCCTGGGAGTCGGCATTTCGGGAAAGCAAATGGTTCACTCGGGGTTGGACGCTTCAGGAGCTTATTGCACCGGCATCTGTGGAGTTCTTCTCCAAGGAAGGTACGCAACTTGGCGATAAGAAGACCCTCGAGCGGCAAATTCATGAGGTCACCGGAATCCCTATCCAGGCTCTTCAAGGAACTCCACTTTCCCATTTTAGCATTGATGAGCGAATGTCATGGCGCGCGCAACGTGAGACGAAGCGCAAAGAAGACGAGGCCTATTCGCTGTTGGGCCTTTTCGATGTCTCGATGCCACTCATCTATGGTGAAGAAGGAAAGGCGTTCATTCGTCTAGCAGAGGAGATCGATAAACCCTTGAAGGCTTTGTCGTTGAACCCAACGCCGGTACCATGCGATACCGGCTTCTCGGTCATTGTGGAGCCGAAAAGACCAAATATAGAGTGAGTCTTTGCAGTACTCTTTGTATGAGCTTGTAATGACTTAAGGCAGCATTATCTTCGTTCATGGATTTACCGGCCATCCTCGACGTACTTGGAACCATGCGCGAGAAACCCTCGACCAACATGTGGAGAGCTATGATCGTGGCGATGAGCTTGGCGAACGACCGTCGAAGTTCCGAAAATTGGACCTACCTCAGTCAGCCCATCATGAAAGCTACGACGCCTGCAACACGACTTATTGGCCACGAGATCTCATCCCAGTGACTATTCCGAACGCACGAGTTCTTACGTATGGATACGATCCACACCAATTCCTTCATTCAACTGGTTCCAGTGCGACCAAGAGCACGATGTATGACATTGCGTGGCACTTTCTCGTCTATTTGGAAGCCACACGTCGTGTCGACCCGTCCAGGCCCCTTCTAATCATCAGTCATAGCTTCGGGGGCATTGTAATCAAAGAAGCGCTTCGACGATCCCAAGAATGCAAAACATATCAACGCCATCTTCACAGCATTTACGAGTCTACTTCTGGCTTGATATTCTTCGGCACCCCGCACGGCGGTGCAGACCCCCCAGAATTAGCTCGAAATATTGTCGAGCAATTGGCTCAGATTGAGAGGGGCCAAATCAATCATCCAAATGATAGTACTTTCTTTCCCTCTGCGAAACAGCTGAAGGATCTGCACCATAGATTTTGTCGATTGGCTCGGGAAAGGGCTTGGAAGATATACTCTCTTCAAGAGCAGTACGGACACATAGCCTTGAATTCCAAGAAGGTAAGAGATTCAACCCCCCCTGGTATATCACGAGTTCTTGCCAGAAGTCTACGCCACCGACTTGTCATTTTTCGGGATGTTCCCACGCACTCTCAAATCTCCAGAGGCAGCCCAACCGACTACCTATTATCTAAGCTAGTTCTTACAGTAGTGTCGGGCAAGCAATAGTGGAGCCTAAACATTGGGATATTTGGGCCTCCAACGTCTGAACTATTGGAGGCTATACAAGGCTAACCTTTGTAGGTTGTCGAAGATACCGCTTCTTGTTTAAACGACCCGACGATCGAAACCACTCAGCATATCGCCAGCAATCACATGAACATGTGTCGATTCCATTCATCGGGCGATGTCGAATACGACAAGGTTGCCTCAGCGATCAATCGGATCCTTGATGCCACAAAATCCCGCCAATTCGACGAGCACGCTAAACCTAACGGGGATCAACAACAACGCCTTTTGGACTATTTAAAGTTTGATCAGATGGAATCCCGTCACATGACAATCAGAACTGCCCACGCCAAGACTTGCAAATGGCTACTCAACAAACATGAGTATGAAGAGTGGCTCGATGATACCAAGCTATCTAGCCACCATGGGTTTCTTTGGATAAAAGGCAAGCCTGCGACGGGAAAATCTACTCTGATGAAATTCGCTCATTCAACCTTCAAGAAGAGGAAAGAGAACAACATCATCATCTCATTCTTCTTCAATGCAAGAGGCCATCACCTAGAGAAATCCGCAATAGGGATGTATCGGTCCTTATTGTTTCAACTTCTAGATCCACGCCAAAACCTCCCACATTTAGTTGATGTGCTGGCGCCGAACGTGCCGGAAAAGCTCAACAAATGGGATGTTGACGCTCTCAAGAATCTGTTCGGTCATGCCGTCAAAAGTCTCGGTCGACGTCGCCTGACTTGCTTCATCGACGCATTGGACGAATGTAACGAGGACCAAGTGCGGGAAATGGTGGCGTTTTTCGAACGTCTCGGACAATTTGCGGTCTCTTCCGAGACTGTATTCCACGTCTGCTTCTCAAGCCGCCACTACCCGCACGTCACGATCGAGAAAGGTGTCCACCTTGTCCTCGAAGGCCAGGAAGGCCATCAGCAAGATATCGCCAGTTATCTGCACAGCGAATTGAAGGCCGGGAAGAGCAAGCTGGTCACCCAGATCAAAGAGGAGATTCTCGAGAGGGCTTCAGGCATCTTCTTATGGGTAGTACTCGTTGTTCAAATGCTTAACAAGGAATTCGATCGAGGGCGTATACATGCGCTTCGTAGGCGACTCGATGAGATCCCAAATGGGCTGGATGAGCTCTTCCAAGACATCTTGACCAGAGACGGCCAGAACTTGGAGGATCTGGTACTTTGCCTCCAGTGGATACTCTTCGCCAAACGGCCGTTGAAGACCCAAGAGCTCTACTTTGCCGTTCTATCCGGAGCTTCACCTGATGATCTGCAGATGACTGCATGGGACCCTGAAGAGATTACCAAGCAGGACATGGAAAGATTCATTCTCAGCTCCTCCAAGGGCCTGGCAGAAACGACGAAATCAAATCACCAAACGGTCCAATTCATACACGAATCTGTACGGGATTTTCTCCTGAAAGGGAACGGGCTAGACAGGCTGCAACCTCGCCTCGGTGATAACTTTGTCGGCCTTAGCAACGAGCGGCTGAAGCATTGCTGTCAGGCCTACATGGAAATCGATTTCTCTGGGTATCTGCCCGTGGACACCGAGTTGCCAATTGCTTCTACAAAGGAGGCTAAGGAACTACGCCAGTTGGCGTCCGAGAAGTTCCCTTTCCTCGAATATGCTGTCCACAACGTACTTTGTCACGCGGACACTGCAAGCCAATATGAAATCTCGCAATCTGGCTTTCTCCAATCGTTCCCTCGTAAAGAGTGGATCCACTTGGACAATGTCTTGGAGAATTTCGAGATACGACGTCATACTAGCGCATGTAGCCTGTTGTATATCCTAGCGGAGCGAAATTTGTTGAGTCTCATTGCTGGTGAACTAGAAAGGACGCCGTACTCCGATGACGCAGCCGAACGTTACTGCTCTCCATTACATGTTGCCTTGGCTCAAAAGAACGAAAACGTGATAAGAGCATTATTAGCACAAAATACCGATACTGCGCGTAACGGCAACACAACTGAAGTGGTGACAGACCGCGTCATCGTGGATTCACGGGACAAAAAAGGCCGGACGCCGCTGTCTTATGCTGCTAAAATGGGATACGATACTGGTGTCAAACTAATCATTGCGACCGGCAAGGCCGATCTCAACCCCAAGGACCTCTTTTTCCAACGGACACCTCTGTTGTGGGCAGCGGAGAAAGGACATGATGCCATAGTTCAGATGCTTCTTGCCACTAATAAGGTCGATATCGATACATTGGACAAGTCCCGCCGAACGCCGCTGTCTTATGCTGCTGAGAAAGGGCACAAAGATGTGGTCAAGCTACTACTTGCAACAGGCAAGGCCGATGTCAACTGCAAGGGCGACCATAATCAACGGACACCTCTCTTGTGGGCAGCTGTGAACGGGCATGACGCTGTAGTTCAGCTGCTGCTTGCGACAGGCAAGGTTAATGTCGATTCAGAGGACAAATATGACCGGACGCCTCTCTCATGGGCAGCCGCAAACGGACATGAAGTTATAGTTCAGCTGCTGCTTGCGATAAGCAGCGTTAATGCCGATTCAAAGGATACAAACAACCAGACGCCGCTGTCTTATGCTGCTGAGAAAGGGCACAAAGATGTGGTCAAGCTACTACTTGCAACAGGCAAGGTCGATGTCGACTGCAAGCGCGACCATAATCAACGGACACCTCTCTTCTGGGCAGCTGCGAACGGGCATGGCGCTGTAGTTCAGCTGCTGCTTGCGACAGGCAAGGCGGATGTGCGCGCAAAAAATGTTTCGGGGTGGACACCGATGACATACGCGACTAAAAAGGGGCACGAGAACGTGGTTATGCTACTAATAACAACCGGGGAGCTCGACTTAAATAAACGGGATCACATTCCAAGTGGAGAAACAGTTCTTGAATGGGCAACTGTCCGCGGATATGATTCGGTGGTCAAGCTGTTGCTAGAAATGGACGACGTTGAAGTTGACTCTAAGAACATCAATGGCCAGACGCCGCTATCACTAGCATCTAAACATGGCCGAGAGGCTACTGTAAAGCTTCTGCTAGGAACTGGGAAAGTTGAGATCAACTCCTACTGCGATAAAGGTAGAACGCCTCTGTCATACGCAGCCGAGGAAGGGTATACGGCCGTCATCAAACTTCTGCTAGGAACTGGGAAAGTTGATATCAACTCCTACAGCGATTACGGTCGGATGACGCCTCTGTCATACGCAGCAGAGGAAGGGCATACGGCCGTCATCAAACTTCTATTAGAGACAGGCAAGGCTGACCTCAACTCTAGAGACTGTGAAGGGCGGACGCCACTACTATTGGCCGTCAAAGGACATCCATGGGACACTGGGGGAACGGAAGAGGCGACAGTCAAGCTATTTCTTAATTCTGGTAAAGTGGACATGGATATTAACACCAAAGATCGCTCGGGCACAACTCCACTGTCACTCGCAAAAGCGTTGGGAAAAACGGCCATTTTTAAGCTACTGTCAGAGAGGAGTTTGTGCTAGAATTGAAGGCCGTGAAGCGTGGTGCGACTGCGTCAAAAAGCCGGTCGTTCAGTAGTGTCGGTCGCACGCTGTGCGGAGCTAAATGTATCATAGAAGACGGTTTAGATCCTATTTATGGTTTAGTGTGGTGCAATTCACGCTACTCAAGAGGCATATTACACATGACCACATTCTGCACAAATATTTCGATCTTACTAAGGTACAATTCCCAATACCTTGCCAAAAGTGTGAGCACTTTCGCTCACCACCGTTAGAGATGCTTCGGCGGATTCTAAAAGCTTTCATAAGATGTAAAGTCCAGGAGAGCTTTGAAACAGAGAAATTCCACACGCTGACAGTCTGCCCACTTGCCGTTGTTTGTGGTGCTTCATCACGTCATCAGAAATCGGGACGAAATAAAAAAGACGGCATGCCCAAACTTTTTTTTCTGGTATTGTACTCAACAGGAACATCATACAAGATCATATTCTGTGCATCCATCTCATTCTTATTTAGCTCCTTAGACGAACCAAAATTTCCAAAAAAAGGAAAGACGCAAGGATCGTTTAGTACTGCTCAGCCATGTCTGAGTTTGAGAAGATTCAAGGCTGTGCCCGTTCGATCACATCTTCGTGTGCATCTCGGAAGCATTAGTCCAGCCGATGTCTGGATTATTCCCATTCGCTTAGAACTTCGACCCCTTCTTAGCGCTACCATTGGTGTGGCCATTGGCGTAGCCATTAGTGCTCCCATTCAGCGCCAACTTAACCGACTTCGGAGACTCCGAGAGGGCGAAAGGGTTGCGCTCCAGGATAATATTGAACATAGCAAAAGTCTGGATCAAAGACACAGCCACCGTAGCGAGGCCGCCCAGCTGTGTGACCAACGGCGAGAAGTCGCCCTGGATGACGAAGATGGTTGGCATAGCGGACAGCGTGAAGCCGCCGATGTAGCAGAAGGGCATGAGAGCGCAAATCAAGATGCTCCTCCAGCCGTTGAGCCACTCACGGAAGCGGTAGGCAATGGAGACGCTGAGGAACAGCGACGACACATTGGAGAAGAGCCACCACCATGGAAACTTCGAGATCAGGACCAGCGGCTGGTGGCCGAAGTACATGTAGATGCCGCCGTAGTTGAGCAGGATCTCCTCGAGGATGATGTCGGCAAGACCGGAGAGGCCCAGGCCGATCCAGAGTGTCTTGTTTGAGATTTCGCGGAGGAGCATGGCGTACAGAATGTATCCTAGAATCGCGCCAAAGGCCCACCACATAACGCCAACATACATGTCGAACTCGCGGCCCATGAGGAAGAACAGGAGCATCTTTGGGTTGTGGGACTGCGACCAGAAGCAGCCGGCGAGATAGTTGTCGATGGCCTCGGGCACGACGCAGAATGCAGAGCCCATGATGATGGCTGTCGGGACCGTGTCGTTGAATTTCTTGCCATCGAAGTAGGCGACGACCATGAAGAAGAGGGCAATGCCGCCCATGACGGCGGTTGAGACGATGACATGGTTCGTGTTCATCGCAAAGGCATCGTTCGGGGGAGCAGGCGTACGGAACGCATCCGCCAGCACGACCTTGACCTGAGCATTCTGTGCCAGCACCGTGGGGGGTGCGAGAGCGCAAAGAGCGAGAGCCGCTGCGCCAATGTGTGCCATGGCCATACCAGCGTAGTGCTCAAGAATATGTTTTGGTGATCAGGCGACAAAAGAAGCCTCAGTGGTGGATGAAATATCTTCGTTCAAAATAGATTGTAGGAAGTGAGGTACGAAACGGCGGCCAGGTTCGAATATAAGTACACTGGCCATGGCCGATCAGTGCTGAATTTTGTTAAATACCGCAACAATTCCGTGATCTTTGTCATACGCGCAGTCTCGTTAAATTCCCCCTCCTGGAACAGACCGAAATCCACCCGCAGGGGTATGACCATGATCACGTTGTTCTCACCATCCGAGTCTGGGTCATCCTTGCGTTTTAGAAAGCTATCAACGAGGTCTTAATGGGGCAAATAATAGTCAGGACGGCCCAAGACTTGGACATTGCCCAGCAAATTGTCCTCGTTCACCTTCGCCATCTGCTCGTTTTAGTTTCCCCCGAGATATAGGAGGTAGTATCCTTCCAGAACCCAGAACGTATCTGGCCCAAATCAAGGCCGTAACCCTTGTAGTACAAGTTAGAGAGCGGCCCTGTCTTGCATACGGCACACAGCTCGGCAAATCTCTCCTCCCACCACAGTTGCATGTAGGACAGATATGTTAGCCCAATGTAGTGTAGCAATATGTTTTATTGCTGATTGTATGGAGACCGATAGTATACCTTATCAATTGCTCCGTTTATGCTTACCATGTAGGCAATGACGTAGCACTTTAGTGGAGCCATGCTAGGGTAGTTGTTCTGGTTGAGACCAGGATGCTCGGCTGCGACGAGAAAGGCGACTTACTTGCTTCGGGCGAGCGAGAGCGATCTTCTTTCTAAACTTTGATGACTAATATTTGAGTAGTAACTAATTAAATATTTAGGGGTGTATTCCAACATCAGACCGAGGACAAAGCGATGCCCCCTGACATTTGTTACCCCAGATTCCCCAGACTTTCTATATGCCGCTCGGACCAATTGCGCGCTCGGACTATTCCAGAAGACCCATAGTTGGTTCCGCTGGGTCCGGTACATGGTATCGGATTCTATATAAGGACAGGAAAAATCCGAACAGGTCCGGCAGCGTCATACGGACTTTGAACTATGATCTCGCTACCCCCCTCATCACATTTCCGGTGGTACCTCTCCTATACTATGAGCTTATCTGCTGTTTGCATGGCTCCTCGCCACGCAGCTAGCCGAGGGTCATTGAAATGTTAGTTTGAGGCCGCTTGTCAAGATGGCACATCCCATCAGCAATTTCGCGCGGCATCCCTAGGAGGTTGCTACACACGAACTACCATACGGGTGGCAACGGCCCCGCAACTGTCTTTTGTACCTGTACTGCGGTAGCTTCGATCGCAAATGAGGCTCGGCTGCTCAGCGAAAGCACTTCGGTAGAGCAAGAATGACGAGAATATTCTACAAAGGGAGAGCCCTCGCAGCATTTTGCTAGCTAGCAGACTGGAACTTTGAGCTTTGGATTGATTCTGATCTATACACTGATGACAGTTTACGCCGATTGGAAAGCTTAAAATAGCAGCCGCTTAGCCTGATATGGTATGGCGTGTGTTGGCAGACGTGGGGGCAGGGGAAAAGTTATGATAACGCGTAAAATATCACAACAACACGTGATCTTGGCCACTCTGTGCTAGACGGGGACATATGTAGAAAGATGTATATTTGGGAATCTGTGAAGAGGATGTGGTTACAAGGTAAACATGGATCTGCTTATCCTGAGACACGCATCGCCAGCGTTCGGGTGATATTCAGGCACGTGGTGTGTAGAACACGTGATGTATAAGTTTATATGCACGTGAAATGTAGATCTATAGTAGGAGGCATTCCTACTATAGATCTAGTTAAATTGGAGGCCGCACGGGCCTCACCTACGTGTATATAGCCTAGCTAGATTCCTACATAGAATCGACATCTATTGTCCTCCGAATTGTTCATCACGTGATCGGAAACATTACACAGCTATAAACTGTAGGACTGCGATGAGGTGCGACAGCCATCTGCTGCTATCGATGCGCTGCTGTAACCACGTGGTCTGTGTGCGCTTGAGAGATCGGAACATGTCGCGCGCAAGGGGGCGTGTTGATACTTTAGTTGGTACACGATATTGCTGCTAAACCCTGACAGGCTATCGCAATGTGGATTTTAGCTCCATACCTTTAAAGTTCTACTTGGAAGAGAACAATCTGCACGTAATCAGTACAGAGGTCTGACCATCATGTCCTTCAAGATCGCTAGATGTATTGCCTTGTAATAATATGGTATTGAAATCTCCCGTAATGGAGGTCTTGTTCTTAAGCAACCTAAATCTCAAACGATAGGCAATTACACGAAGTTACTGTCTCTTTGGCTGAGCGCAACTGATACTATAGGAAGCGTTACCAGGGCGCGTTCATTGACAATCCGCGTAAACAGGCCGGACGCATGTCTCTGATCGAATCAATGTGTTTCACACGATGCGTTCAGCGTGGCAGTAATCCGGCCGACGGAGTTTGAGACGCTTGGATTGATTGGATTGGGCTGGTTAAAATTCAGAATTGATTGGACGGATTAAAAGAGTTTATCAATCTGGATCAATCCACCTAGATCTACCGCCAAGACAGCTGTAATAGATACAGAAAAGGGGAACATAGGAGTGGCAGGGGCCTAATTATGGCTCATTCCATCGGAATTTCAGTTATCAATCCGACTGTGGATTACAAATCCTCCAGATTAATTGGATTGGGTTTGAATGGGTGTGGATTGACCGGTCGGCCGATGGACGGATTGAAGATTGGATGGATTACTGGCCACGCTGGATTCAATATAGTGGTGCGGCTACGTAACAAAACAAATATGGGTGGAGGGTTATCCTAAAACTTGAAGCGGGGACGCTTCCGAGTATCACTCCTCGCGAGACATATGCACTGCATGACGTGGACCTGTTGCTCACAGGCGCTCGAGCTGAGAGGTGCTTGCAGTGTGACAAGGTGCACGCCCGACATCGAGTAGGATTCGTGCCCCAGCTGGCTCAGCTCGATCTGCCAAGGCAGCCTTGAGCACATGCACACCAACAATTATAAAGCGCGTCATCCAGCGCAAGTACCTGTAAGGCTATACCCCAGTTCGAAATGCTCAGCTACTTTTCGCGGGCTATCGGGCGGGCGCTACTGCCCCACGAAGCCCTGCGAAAGAGTGCGAAGGTCTATTTGTCCCGACCCCTCACGTCACGGTCAAGCTAACCATCCATAGCTCTGTATGCCTTCAGTTCAAGAACCGCACTTCAGCGCTTGCTCGTTGACCGAGGAATTTCATTTTTGATTGAAGAAACACCCATTCTGCCTGTTCTGCTTCAACGAACGATATCTCCACTGAGTTTATCTTCAGCCTCTCGGATTAACAGCGGAAATGGCGATGCGTCCCATTCTAGCGCGGCTTCTGAGAAGGTGCTACATGTACCAGCTGTTTTGATTATATGCGAAAGTCTGGCAATAAGTGATTCTGTTCTCCGTCAGACGGTCGCCGCCTTTACACAAGATCCAGAATTTGTAAAGTCATTCTGGAGCCGAGTCGTTTTTGCGATACCCAGCGCAGCCTCTCAAAAACAGTTCGCAGTCTCCAATGCCGCCCACAAACTTCTCGATGAGTTGCATTGCGCCGAAGTCCTCACTATCACCCTTCCGGCGACAGGCGAACCGATTTCAGAAGGACCTTACTTTGTCAAGGGTGTCGCTTCATCGCACTTGGGGCTCTTCCCGGATGAGTACGAGGCGTTCCAACTACCAACTGTCCGCACTCCTTCGTCGAAGTTCGCTGGCATTACGATAATGCTGGACGGGAAGCTGATGGTTCAGTCCCGTCTCGATTGCATTTTCCGAGAACTCCCGACAAGCCGTTGAACGGATTGCGCTTTACAGTGAAGGATATTATTGGCCTTGAAAGCGTGAAGACAACCGGATAGTTTCGAGCCTATGAGAAGTTATACGAGGAGGCAGAAAATACAGCCCCTTCCGTCCGACGACTACTTGAACTGGGTGCCGTACTGGTAGGCAAAACGAAATGCACCCAGTTTGCATCGAGTGATCAGCCTACGGCGGATTGGGTTGATTACCATTGCCCTTGGAACCTACGGGCTGATGGATATCTCTCCCCAAGAGGAAGCAGCACAGGGACCTTCGGTTGCTGTTGCTGGCTATATTTGGGTGGACTTCGGATTGGGCACAGATAGTCGGTACACACCTACTCTTCGTTAATATTCTCTAACTATCAAATTTAGCCGGCGCAAGCATACGTGGCCCTGAATCGGTAATGGGGCTATTTGCTCTACGCCCGAGTATTACTGCGTCAGACATGACCCACATCATTTCCATTTCAAAGTATACATAAGATGAAAGCCTAGCCCAGTTGTTACTAACTACTTATTAGATTTCTCGATACGACTGGAGTGGTCTGCCGTACCGCCAATGTCTTTCACGCAATAAGTAAAGGTCTGTACGGACAGACTGTGTATATCTTTCCTCCTTCTGCTCATTAGCTAGCTTCCTCACCTTCATCAATACAACAGCTTTTGGCTACACACCTTGTCTTGATCCGCTTCCCCCTGACTGTCGCTCAGCGAGGCTGAAGATAGCCTAGCCCTGGTTACACCACGGGCAGGGTTCTCCAAAGTTCTGCACCGCCAAGTATGATAGCTCAGGTACAGCCTCTCTTTACGTCCGGTGAACATAGCGCTAAACTGAGTCGATCCTGGTATACCTCTTTTCTGGGTTAGTACTCAGCCGACTTGAGGATTGATTGGCCAGAAGGTTGCTATTCCCCCCTAAAGGCGCCCAGAGCTACTCCCGTTTACAGTAATTTTGTGGCTTGATATTAGAAAGTGACCAACTTGGCAAGTTGGGGGCTGTGAACTCACCGGCTTCTGATTCGGCCAGTCCACAGCACCACGCCAGCCATTCGCGCATTCTGCAATATGCGACTCGCCTCTCATCTTCCTGGTGGTGGCCTTAATTGAGCGCCTCACTTCCTTGATTCCGCTCTTAGCTGGTGGACAGTCTTCACGTTAATTGCCAGGACAATTGGGTCTCGTATCACATAGGTCCGTCAACCCACCACCTTTTCCTACCCCAGGTCTGTGGGAAAATACCTGAAATAGTACCTTGGCTGACCGGAAGGTATAGGATTCCATCCAACCCAAGTGCTGGACAATGAACTTCACACGGCCTAGAATGAACGAGGTAACCTCACGGCTCAACTACACTGCGCCACTCGACTTGTATCTTCGAGAGAAACCGTTCTACTCGAACGTTCCTGCGCCGAACGGCGTGCAATCGAACCAAAAAGTACAAACATATGAGGACATAGTCTTTCACGACATCCGCAGAAACATAGGCCGATTCAACATTGACGACCAAGGCTTTGAGGTCATTGAATATGCAGGCAAGATTCCTCAAGATGGAGAATTTGACTCTGATATTTGGGTTCGGAGTTCTTATTACCCAGCTGTGGAACGTGTGCTCAAGGAGCGTTTTGGAGACGTAGATGTCTTGATTTTCGACCACACGGTTAACGTTCCAACTACTCAAACAGAATCGAGGGGCTAATTCTGAACGCAGGTGCGAAGACGGCAAACCATTTCGAACGAGGGGGGGCTCATCCAAATTCACACGGCAACCGAGTATATGTGCACACGCCGGTATACTCAGCCCTAGAGTGCTTGTTAAATTCGAGGCTTATTTTGGGCAGACCAAACGGCTCTAAGTGGTGCAAATCGTGTCCGATTGCATACCAGTGAAGAAGCTGCTAGACTGTTGAAGCAGAGATGTCAGATCATCAAGTACGCCTGATCGCCAGGTTGTTGAGGTCATCGTCTGACCCGAGCACAGTGTTTGGCGACCGCTCTTTGGTCCACTCGAAAATTCCCCGTTGACATTCTGCGACTACAAAACTGTCGATATAGACCGAGATTATCTCGCCGCTGATCTCATATTTCCCCACTATATAGGGGAACAGTACCTGGTGAAACATCATCCGAATCATCGCTGGCACTTCTTGAGCAATCAACGACCAGAGGAATTTACGTTGATGAAATGTTGGGATAACAAACCCGACGTAGCAAGATGTGCTGCAACAATCGCTCACTATTTACAATGTGCTGACCAGAAGAGTCATGTAGGCGTTACTCACACATCTTTCAGCAACCCTAACGCGTCACGGAACGCTAGACTTCGCGAGAGTATTGAAGTCCGATGTTTGGTGTTCCATAAATAACTATTTTATAACGAGGTTTGATGCGAAACATACCAGCGGGGATAGGCCGTTGTCATGTTCTGATATCTCACTAGTAGTAGCGGCATCAACTGCGGGGATAATTGAATCTATGATTTACTCTAAACGATTACTTCAAACATTCCAATTGTCTCTGATCATGAACGACCACATAAGAGAGATGTAGATCGTAATCTGTTGAACCATGCCTTCCAATTCGTACTCCTCCTTCTTGCATTCTAACCTCCTTCCGCGTTTGAACTTGCGGGGGCGCCATCGGGACCAAGGGGTTTTTGTGGACCGTCTCCACCGGCGTCAAGGGAGTTAAAAGCGTGATGGTACACATGGAGGTCTCGTGGAGCCCATTTGAGCCAGGGTTTCGCCGTGGGGTCCGCTAGATCAGGTTTCCAACCTATCCATGGCTTTTCCTTCAGCTCTGCTGAACTGACTCCTATATTCTTGGGAGGCCACCATTGTCTCCAAGACTGAGTCTGACCTGGCAAGGCTGTGGGCTCTTCCATTTCCACACAATCATAAAACACTGAGTGATGTTAGCTCTAATGCTAACGTTGAAAGGTGGAAAAAGCACCTAGTGGCTGGTTCTTCGCATACGCTCCAGTTGCTGGGGAAAAGATGCGCGATCGAACTCGAGTGCGGGCCAAGAGTTGCCTGTCATTCTTCTAACGGCGGTCAGCCTGATCCTTTATGCGTGAATGAGCACACTATCAGGGAACTGCTTGTGGCACCCCTGAGAGTAAGAGGGCTGCCAAGTCGCGACGCGTTCAAGGATGCGGAGAGCACCTTGAGCAGTACTTACAATCTGGCAGCCAGTTAGAATGCTCATACGCACATCTGTACACGCGTCTCAGCTGGACAAGGTTCATCTGTTGTTTGCCACTATTGCCACAGTTGCCACCGTTGCTGCCGTCGTAACCGGTGCCACCTGCAATCCCTGTTCTATTCACTATATAGCCACTCGTTAGCACCCCAATACAACTCATGCTTTCCTCACTGATCCTTTGCCCTTCCTACGCCAGCTGCCACAATCTACGCCGGTGGGGGCTAGCTCCTCAGTCAGAGAGTTACTTTGAAGCGACGTTGACATTCAAGTACGACGGAATCGAAGTCGACATCGATTTTGATGGGATAACTGTATTATCATCCCACGATCCAGTTGTTGAGTGAGTTACAACCCTTCCACTCTGATCCCAACTTCTAACACTTTCGCTTTGGGTATGATTTCCATGTCGCGAAGAGGAGGTAGATTTTTCGCACAGGAATCAAACTGAATTTTCCGGGGCTGATACCCATCGCTTTGATGCGCCTGGGCGGCCGAACTTCTTTTGTCATTGTGCCTGCGACGTCCGTGAATGTGGTATTGGTGGGCAGACTGTAATGCACCCTAGAGGATATGGGTGTTGGGAGTAGAATGGTATAAACCCCGCGGAGAGTTTTATGTGGTGTAAGTTTTATTGAAGGGCGGAATTTTGAATGAGAAGGACATGGTATTGGGGAATTCTCGCCTTTAAGTCTGAGTGAACCGAACATGGATTTCTGGATCCAACTTCTGGACCCATGGTTGGTGTCGTTGCTCCACGAATCCCGTTGGATCAGAATCAAGCGAACCACGCGCGTTAACCAGTTGAATATAAGAGAACTATGTATAAGACTGCCTAGCTAAATGACACGTGCCCAATGTCACTTAGTAAGTTCTTCTTTGGCACGAAGTTAGAAAAAAACAGATGCCACTTTGAAGAATACCGACGACGTTTGGGATGATGTGAAGGTATGAGCAACAGAACCTGTTCTATCTGGATAGAACACACCTCTTTACCACGTTTAAGGTGCCCAGCAATTTGTCCATAGGCTTAAGTTCATCTAGTTAGACCTTACTTAGTCTTTCGAAAACGCCTTGGGACACTATAAGCATCAGGGCCTCCGTTCAATCAACTCAATCAACCGGCCTCTCGATATTGGTTGAGTTGAAGGCTTAGTCAGCAGAGGTCCAGATTGATTGAGTTGATTGACTAATATTGATCAATGTTGACAATATTGATAATATTGAAGCGCCCCATATATAAAAATTTCTCGTGTTGAGTTCTCAGCTACTCAGAATTGCTATTGACATCGTCCTCCGAGCTATCTAACTCGCCCGAATTAGCCGAAACCTCATTAATATGCCTCATGCGGACCCAGCCGTGCTGAAGCTTGCCATCTACTATATCAATTAGCGTCTCTCGGTCCTATGAAGCCATCGCTATTGTAGCTCCGAGCACTTCTGTATTTAATGTAGATCGATTAGACGTCTACATTAGGCCCGTTTGATTGAAATCTTGTTCGTTAGAGGTGCTTATTGCCGGAGCAGACAGTAGATCAAGAGCCATGCGAGCGATACGTGGAAACTTATAGAGTTTCGAGATCCTATACGTGCCACCTTTCTATCCTCCCGATGCCGCCCACGTGATAGCCATGCTGCAAATTCGTCCTCGTCGGCCACGTAGTTCTTATCAACATCCTTATTATTATCTTGCCCAGGCCTCTCCTGTACGGTTGTATTATGACGCTGTTGGCAGGTGATAGCTAGCAAGGCGGCTCCAATTGATGCGGCTGTAGGCATCGGCATATGTTGGTTACTGCGCTGCCTCCTGAGCTACGCGCTGTCGGGCTTCCTGTACAACTACGGCCTTATTCTTAGATGGTTCTTGAGGAAGGGGGGTGACGTTGATGGCGGAGGGGGGCCCAGGTCGACGCTGTGCATCTAACCTTTGACGGTTCGTGCCTGTAGTACGTGTGGGCGGCATGGTGTTGATGGAAATGGCGATATATTAGATGGCGTTGTGTGCAGAAAGCGCGTTGTTATGATTCGGGTGAACACCGGACGGCTGTAAATCTGTAAATAATACCTATATATAGTTTAGCGTCAATATTGTCAATATTGCAACGAATCAGAGGGCTCTATATTGATTGATTGACAGTTTTGAAAATCTCATATTGATTGAGTTGATTAACGGCTTCGCACTCAATTCAATCAACCGGTTGAAATGGGTGGAGGCCCTGATAAGCATTGCACAGCGAGGATACAAAGATCGATAAGGATACACTAAAGGAATAGTAATTTCACGTGCTCCTAAACAACGAAAATCAGAAGCAGTTCGAGGTCCTACTCCAGAGGTCCTTGATGCTCGATGAATCTGATGTCGACAGAGCTCACAATCGGTATCTGACAGTCTTGATCGCGCACGTGATCTCAGTCCCCGGGAAGCCGGGTCCTCGCATCCGATTGGCTTCCGCGCCACATCCGGCTGCCACTCAGCAGCACATCTACAATCTCTTCTGCTCGTCCCCGCAAACAACATTCATGATCCTATCTATCTGACTCTTAGAGAACACCACTGGCCACATATTGCCTATTCCGTGACCCCTGTCAGCGCAAAGTACTATCAGCAGCTTTTAATCCGGTCGAATCCAGCGCATCTGAGACGAAACCGAGCCATGCAGTCTCCAGACGGACGCGCATTTAACATATCCCCGGACTCATCCCCGAACAGCCGGACTCCTTCATCTGGTCTAGCTTCGACGAAGTCTGGGCGTGTCAAGGCACTTTCGTGTGACTTTTGTCGACGTCTCAAGGTGTGTATGTCTTCTACCTTCCCAGCCAAAAACCTTCCCGTTAATTGAATATGTTAGATCAAATGTGAGAGATTAGCACCAGATGCGCAATGCTCGCAATGTGCGTCCCGAAACGTGGAGTGCGTTCGTTCCATCGTTCCCCGTAAGCCAAAAATGAGAAGGTGAGAAAATTATTTCTCGACATGTTCGCAGCTAAACCTTGTTAGGAAAGTGCACATAGAGGCTATGGAAAACCGTATTCGACAACTAGAATCAGTCATTACAGCAGCGATATCAAGCTCGGAAAACTCAGACAAGCTCAACACTGTATCAGAAAGGGCATTCGAGGCCCAAGCTGAAAAGCCGGATACCCGGTCATTCGTTCTCAATGGAGAAACCAGCTTTCGGTTTGTCGGTGTGTGCTCTTATCCTTTTCTTATGAAGCGAGCGGGCGCGCTAAATTTCAAGGCTCGTCATCTGGATTCTCCATCTTTTCGCCATCCGGTTTCCGCTGGATTGCTAAGAAAACTGGAAACCGAGACTTGGAACGGGTTGTCTCCCAAGTCGCTCGACTTGACCTCACAAGTTGGCATCCTGGCCACTGGGGCAAACACCTCAACGTAACATGGCACCCGTTACCTCCGGAGCAACGCCACGAGCTGCCTAACAGAGCGACGGCATTCGAATACGTTGAAGGTATGATAACCCAATATGCTGGGAAAAATTAGATTCAATACTAATTATCACAAGCCTTCTTTTATTCTGTAAATTCCACGTTTCCCATCTTTAATATAGACATCTTTTATCAAAGGCTCGAGCGCCAGTATTCTAATCAGCCTCCGGAGGAGCTCTCTTGGTATGTATGCTTGAACGTGGTTCTTGGAGTTGGAAGCGCGATTATCCAAACAGGTTATCCAGCCACGGACCCTCTGCGCTCCCCTGAAACTATTCAAATTCTTTCCGATGAGCTGCCGGCCAGGTATCTAAGAAATGCGACAAGTGCCATTACCGACCTTCAATTCGGAAGCCCGTGCTTGATGTCTGTACAGGCCATTATCACAATGGTAAGTTACATGTGTTTGCACCGTCTCAAGTAACGCGTCTAACTTCTTAGGCTATCATGCTCCTGGGTAGCTCGAATCCTCTCGCAATTGAGACTTTGGTAGCAATTGCAGCACGCATATCACATGCCATCGGTTTGAACCGTTGGTTAGATGATTGCGGTCTTTCGGAACAGCAACTGGATGAGCGACGTAACGTTTTCTGGATGCTTTATATGATAGACAAAGGTGTAGCCCTTTACGCTGGGCGCCCACCCGTCATGCATGACCAGGACATCGGTGTCGCTCTACCGAAATCAACGAACTCCTCGCTCATGATGCCGAGTGGCTTGCCTCACTTTAACACGTTCGTCCATGCTGCCAGACTAGCCATGATCGAGAGCCAGGTATACAGCGAACTCTATTGTCCCAGGGCTCGTTCCAGACCAGCTCTGCAGAAGCTGAAGGCGGTCGGCATTTTGGACGCGGAGCTCCAGAAATGGCGACGAGAAATTCCAATACATGTACGCCCTGAAAGTTCGATAAACTGCGACACGCAACAATTCCTGCCCGTCCTGGCTTTACACTACTCGTACTACAATTGCCTCAATACTATTCATCGCGCTTCTATTCACTACGGGCCTTGGACCGAGCTGGCTGAGGAGCGAGAGCTAGTCAACCACGACCTCGGATTGAACCCGCGCGTATACGACAGCGAATCAATCTGCGTTCTCGCTGCAAGAGATGTCATAAACCTGCTTGACCATTTCAAGCAATATCCTGCGCCGCCGATGTTTTGGTGAGTCTTCAATTTTGTCCCTCTCACTTACAGGTAACCAACAAATTGGTGCAGGATGAGTGTTTCCCAACCTCTGTGCGCTTCCTTGACCCTTTTCGCCAATATACTAGAGCATCCGAACGACCCTCTCGCACAGTCTGACCTGGACTTAATATCATCAGTCACTTCGCTTTTCGGCCAACTGGTGGCTCAAGGGCGCCTCCAGTTCGCCACCGGAACCCTATGGATCTTCCAAGAGCTGTATCAGATTGCGAAGTTGTATCTGTCAGCTCCTGAAGCTCTAGTTGCAGAACCTCAGCCCGATACCACGAACTTGGAGAGCTCGGTCAGTACAATCCGGCAACACATATCTGCCGCACGGCTACGATCAAGCATGGGCTGAAACTCTTACGCAGATAGCATCAGTGGCCGAATGCTTTGATATGGCCGGTGCAGCACTTGATGTCTCCCCGACGGTTCCGGTAACTTCACGCTCCGACTTCAACCCTGACGTTTGGTCCCCGTGGCAGGTGGATACCAATGATTACGTCCTACGTGACGACTCCTCATTCTCACCAATCGATATCCGATAAAAGTGGTTCTTTAATTGCCGCCAGAAGTTTCAATGGTAAGCAGCTGCATGAGGATTCTACTTCGGTGGGAAACACCGAGTTTACTCGGCTTTGCTCGCGCAATTACCATTCCTAAGAGTTGGATTTCTATCAGTCTCCACTTAGGCCTCGCTACGCGGACGATTGTGGGCTTTACTCGAGGGGCCTAGCCGCATTCAGTATTTACGCGGGGTGGGGGCGTGGGGGGGTCCTTGCTCGGGAGCGTGGCGAGGCGTCACGGGCCCGAGCTATTTTTGCTCCGATCTCCGTCCCGCTTATTTAACCTTAACTTGATTGGCCACGACCGTCCGTCTACACTTCCCTGTGGCCTCGCGCGGAACCTGAGTCATTTGCGGTGAACCTCCTTTTCTAGGCTAATATTCAGCCGGCTCGAGGAACTCTCGGCCTGAGGCTGCTAACCACCCTTAATGACGCCCAGAAATGCTACCTCGTGCGGTTATTTTAGGGCTTAATTTCACAATGGACCGCCGCATGTGAAAAGAGCTGCATTATCGTCAAGGCTAGAGGCACGTTAAAACACAGCTGACTCGTGCTGAACATCTAGCTGTGGGCCACCAGGGCGGGTCGCCATGCTCCCGCAACCTCCATGGGGAAATATGCCGAAGGCTGGAGTATACAACGAAGTGGCTCAGCGCCTTACGCATACCTCATGCTAGCTGACGACCGGCGCCGAGATCAAAGGCTAGCCGATTTACTTGTTTTGAGCGCAATATCTGGCAATATATACTACATGATGCACCCCTCGTCATTCTTCGTGCGTTTGTAAGTGATATCCGTACCACTCCGGTTGCGTGGGTCTGTCTTTCTTCTAGGGAGCTGTTCTCTCCTATCTTTTTTCTTGCGCTTTTGCTTCTTTGGCTCAATAGCTAAGTGCATAGTCTTTCCGTCCTCGTTTGCCAATTTATTTTACTTCCCCAACGGGCGAGTCCTCCTTCAAATCTCCATTTTCCGAAAATACCATAACTGCACCACCTTGCCGCGCCAGAATGATGGACGACGCCCAAACACTGAACGAAATGAAGGACGAAGAGGTCGTTGCCGACGGCGAGAAAAGTCCTTCAGCTCAATCCTCGCAATCCAATCTAGGCATAGACCGCGAAGATGAAGACCATCTCCACGAGCTTGCGAGGCACATGACTGGTGTCTCAACGGCAGCCAGATACACTTCCGATCCACTGAATCCCTTCCTGGGAACGGATGATCCCACTCTGGACCCTACGTCGGAGAAGTTCAGTCTTAAGCTATGGCTTCAGACCCTCATGAATCTAGCTATCAAGGAACATGGAGAGGTCCCAAGAAAAAACATCGGCGTCTCGTTCCGGAATCTCAGCGCGTATGGCTTCGGGTTCCCAACCGACTATCAAAAGGACTTCTTCAATGTCCTGCTGGAGAGCCAGAACGTCCTCCAGAAGATAATGGGGAAGGGGCAAAAGAGGAGGATTGATATTCTGAGGAACTTCGATGGGCTAGTGAAGCCAGGGGAAATGTTGGTGGTGTTGGGCCGACCCGGAAGGTAGCTCAAGTGGAAGAGAACTCTTCGGAACTAGAACTGATTCTTCCCAGCGGCTGCACAACCTTGCTCAAGACGCTCTCTGGTGACATTAATGGATATTACGTCGATTCCGAGTCGGTCTTGAACTACCAAGGTATTTGCCCCATCCTTCGCCTGGGAAACTCTCTTCTTACCCGTGCGTGCGACTCGTAGGAATCCCAATGGAGAAAATGCACGGCCAATTTCGCGGCGAAACTATCTACAACGCCGAAACCGAAATCCACTTCCCCAACCTCACTGTGGGACAAACTCTCGCATTCGCCGCAAAAGCAAGAGTACCGCGTAACCGGGTCCACGGAGTAACGCGCGAACAGCATGCACAGCATCTCCGCGATGTCGTCATGGCTCTCTTCGGCCTCAGTCATACCGTCAATACGAAGGTCGGTAATGACTACATAAGAGGAGTGAGCGGCGGTGAAAGGAAAAGGGTTAGTATTGCCGAAGCGTTCTTGAGCGGATGTACTATACAATGCTGGGACAACAGTACGAGAGGCCTCGACAGTGCAACTGCACTCGAATTTGTGAAGACTCTGAGGGTGCAGTCGAATGTAACCGGGACCAGCGCGGTAGTGGCAATATACCAGGCTTCTCAGAGCGCTTATGATGTTAGTTCCTTCCCAAGTCCTTCGTCATCTGCGGGTCTAATGATGGGTTGGGCAGGTATTCGACAAAGTCACACTCCTCTACGAAGGGCGACAGATCTATTTTGGTCACATCAACGATGCGAAGAAGTACTTCACCGACATGGGCTTCCATTGTCCAGAAAGGCAGACGACCGCCGACTTCTTGACATCCATCACGAGTGTATCAGAACGCATCATCGAGCCAGGATTCGAGTCAAAAGTCCCTCGAACGCCCGATGAGCTCGCCGCTGCATGGAAGAAGAGTCCCGAATATAAGCGGCTGTTGGAAGAGATACATGCATTCGAGCAAAAGTACGAGATTGGCGGAGAATCTCTTGAGCTCTTCGAGGAAGCGAGAAGGTCACAGCAGGCGAGGTTCATGTAAGTGATAAGCCCTGAGAAGGCTACCGATTGCTGACGTTTAAGGCGTGTGAAATCTCCCTACACCATCTCGGTGCCTATGCAGATCAAGCTATGCTTCGATCGTGGAATGCAGCGATTACAAGGCGACATATCCCTGTTCCTCGAAACAGTCTTCGGTAATTGGGCATTGGGAATCATTCTCGGCTCGATCTACTACAACATTCCCGGCGATGCGTCCAGCTTCTACAGTCGAGGTGCACTTCTATTCTTCACGATTTTGCTCAATGCTTTGAGTAGCTCCACTGAAGTAAGAACTAGACCGAGCGCTGCTATCTATTTACCAAAAACACTGACTGGTTCTAGATCCTCTCACTCTATGTTCAAAGATCCATCGTTGAAAAGCACTCCCGATACGCATTCTACCACCCCTTTACCGAAGCTTTCGCATCCATGCTCACCGAGCTTCCCTCAAAAGTCCTTGTAGCCATCAGTTTAAACCTCACAGTCTATTTCATGGCCGACCTCCGCCGGGAAGCTGGGGCCTTCTTCACATTCTTCATCTTTTCGTTCATCATGACCCTTACAATGTCAAATATTTTCCGGACTATCGCCTCCTTCACGCGAACTCTTTCACAGGCTATGGTGCCAGCCTCTTTCGCTATTCTGGCATTGACAATATATACGGGGTTCGCAATTCCTATTTCGGGGATGCACCCTTGGTTTCGCTGGATAAACTACATAGAGTAAGTCTCTCACTTTAGCTAAGTTTAGTCTCTTCTGCTAATAACGTCACTAGTCCGATCGGCTATGCCTTCGAGAGCCTGATGATCAACGAATTCCGCAACCGCCGCTTCCCCTGCTTGACATATGTTCCCTCAGGACCAGGATACGAGAATGTCAGCGGTGTACAGAGGACTTGCACCGCCGTTGGGAAGCGAGTAGGATCAGAATTCGTAGAGGGCAACGACTATTTGAAGACGGCATTCAATTACGAAGAAGCGCATCTTTGGAGGTATTTTTCAACTTCAACTGTCAAGTGACGCGCAGATTTCTGACACGGACACCAGAAACTTCGGCATCCTTTTCGCATTCTTCCTATTCTTCCTCGCGACGTACTTATTCGGAACTGAATATGTCTCTGCTAAGCAATCGAAAGGCGAGATTCTGGTCTTCAAACGAGGGCATATGCCGACATCTCTGGCGACACAAGTCGATGAGGAGAGCGGTCCCGCTTCGGGCGCTGGCAATGTTGCGGCAGCCATTACAGAACCGGGCGATACGGATGAGATCGTGATACAAAAACAGACAGCCGTTTTCCATTGGAAAGACTTGTGTTATGATATCAAGATCAAGGGCCAACCCAGACGATTACTGGACCACGTGGATGGCTGGGTGAAGCCGGGTACTTTGACTGCCCTCATGGTAACCCAACATCTACATTTGCGAATCGTTGCCAGGGCTAATGAGATTTCAGGGAGCCTCTGGTGCTGGCAAGACAACGCTTCTTGATACGTTGGCCAGTCGAGTGACTATGGGAGTAGTGGCTGGAGACATACTCGTCGATGGGCATCTTCGCGACGAGTCGTTCCAGCGCAAAACGGGCTACGTTCAGCAGCAAGACCTGCACCTGCAAACCTCGACGGTCAGGGAGGCTTTGACGTTCAGTGCTCTTTTACGACAGCCTAAACACGTTAGCCGGGCGGAGAAACTCGAGTATGTCGATCAGGTGATCAAACTTCTCGACATGCAGGAGTACTCAGACGCTGTTGTCGGCGTTCCCGGTGAAGGTAAACTGCGTTTTTGTACGAAATGGTCTTTACACTCACTAACATGTATGTACAGGACTCAACGTGGAACAGCGTAAACGACTTACAATCGGCGTCGAACTCGCAGCAAAGCCGCAGCTCCTCCTCTTCCTCGATGAACCTACTTCCGGCCTCGATAGCCAAACTGCATGGTCCATCTGCGCCTTGCTCCGCAAACTCGCGGAGAATGGGCAAGCAATTCTTTGCACGATTCACCAGCCTTCGGCGGTCCTCTTTCAAAGCTTCGATCGGATATTGCTTCTGGCGAGTGGAGGAAGAACCGTGTACTTCGGTGACATCGGGGAGAACTCGAAGACGCTAATCGATTACTTTGAACGGAGGAGCGATGTCAAGTGTCCGCCGGACGCTAACCCTGCGGAGTAAGTGAACCTCCTCCCAGCCGTGATTTCGAAACTTCGATCAACTGACCGCCGACGTCAACAGGTACATGTTAGAAGTGATAGGTGCAGCTCCGGGCTCTAAAAGCGACCAAGATTGGCCGCAACTATGGCGCGACAGCGAGGAGCGGCGAGCGGTTCGACAGCAACTAGACGAGATGGTCGTGGAACTACCCAAAGTCTCTCAAGTCGATCTCTCGTCTGCTGACGCGCACCAAACCTTCGCCCAGTATTTCGCGTACCAGACACTTCTGGTGACCCGACGCTGCTTTGAGCAGTACTGGCGAACCCCGACGTATCTCTGGTCGAAAGTCGTACTGTGCACCTTACCTGTAAGTAGCTCTCCGCCTCTCTTTCGTTGAGAACGCTTACCGAGCAACCCCCCAGGCCCTCTTCATCGGCTTCTCCTTCTGGGCCGAAAAGAACTCGCTCCAAGGCCTCCAAAACCAAATGTTCGCCATCTTCATGCTCATGATCGTTTTCGGCAACCTCAACCAGCAAATCATGCCGCAATTCGTCACCCAGCGCGCCCTCTACGAAGTGCGCGAACGCCCCTCCAAGACCTACTCGTGGCAAACCTTCATCCTCTCCAACATCTGCGTCGAGCTGCCGTGGAACGCCTTCATGGCCGCCATCATGTTCTTCTGCTGGTATTACCCGATCGGCATGTACAAGAACGCGGAACCCACCAACGCGGTGCACGAGCGCGGGTTCCTCATGTTCCTGCTGATCCTGACGTTCCTGCTGTTCACGTCGACGTTCACGCACATGATGATTGCGGGCATGGAGATGGTCGAGGCGGCGGGCACGCTGAGCACGCTGCTGTTCTCGCTCACGCTCATGTTCTGCGGCGTGCTCGCGACGCCGGCGCAGCTGCCGGGCTTCTGGATCTTCATGTACCGCGTTTCGCCGTTTACGTACCTGATTTCGGCCATGATGGCGACGGGGCTGGCGAATACGGACGTGCAGTGCTCTTCCATCGAAGTCTCGAGGTTCCAGCCGCCGGCGGGCAAGACGTGTGCGGAGTACATGGCCACGTATATGAGCAGCTACGGTGGCCGTGTCTATAATCCGAATGCGACGGCGGACTGCAGCTTTTGCGCGATTACGAGCACGAATCAGTATCTGGCGCAGGTATCGTCGACGTACAGTACCAGGTGGAGGGATTTTGGGATCATGTGGGTGTTTATTGTCTTCAATGTCTTTGCGGCGATTGGGTTGTATTGGCTAGTGCGTGTGCCTAAGAATACGAGGAAGATTAAGGGGAGTAAAGATATGCCGAGGGTAGAGGGGGCGGAAGGGCGGAAGGCGGAATGAGATTGCTCGTTCGAGTGATGTTTGGGGTATGCTTGGGAGCGGAAGGAGGAGGCGGAATCGAGATGGCGGTGTTCATCCGACTGCTCGATTTGGAGATAGGATGGATTTTGGGTTTGGGTGGTTCTAATCGAGGTCGGTCGCGGTCTGCACACACTGCTATTCTCTACTGTCGCTTTCTTTCAGTATAATCTTACGCTCATTCGGTATTAGGATATAGAAATTCGATATATAGTTCATTTCTTAATAATAGCTTCTTGTACAGGACTAGAGATATGATGTTTGAATATGGCAACCTCGTGATACGTGACCAGAGAAGCAATGTTCTAGACGAGGAATTGGCGTTGTGGCGTATGCAAGAAGAGACGCAGAGGTGGTGTGGTGGAATGATGCGACCTAGCATTAGGGAGCTTACGCGGTATCCCTCGGTCATTGGTGGTAACGATCAAATCCTCAGCCGTTTCACTTGAAGAGCCACAGAGTTACACGACTTGGGGCTCGGGACACCGGCAACAGAAGAGACCTCGTGTATACACAAACCCGACTTGAAGCAATCCAGCTCATCTTTCATTACTAACGCCACCCTGACTCCTCCGCCAAGCCGGCATCTTTCGAAATACCGAGATCGCCCTCCGGCATCCATTAGCACCCTATTCCCCTCATTCCGCCTCAAAAGCATTCCCGAGCCATCCTCCTCTCCGCAATCAGCTGATGCCGTGACCGAGAAAGACCCCGCCCCCGGAGGATCTGGAAGCTTGGGGATGCCGGCCGCCGTACCTCTGGTCTTTAATATCAAGATGCCCTGTCTTTTGACGGACGCGTTCATGTGAAATCCCCCAGGATAAACCCAAGATACGTTAATTAAATCACCCATGGCAGAATCCTACTCCGGAAAGACCGTCCTCGTGACCGGCGCCGCGGGCGGCCTGGGCAAGGCCATCTCGACCGCCTTCCTCGAAGCGGGCGCGAATGTGGTTATTGTGGATGTCAACAAGGCGCGCCTCTCTGCGACGGATGAAGAGCTCTCGGCTGCGCATCCAGGGCGTGTTCTGGCGTTAGAAGCGAACCTTACAGACGAACCGGCACTCGAGGAGATGATGAGTACAGTCCTGGCTAAGTTCGGTCGTTTAGACGTGTTGGTCAACAACGCGGGCATCATGGACCTCTTCGACCCCGTTGGCGATTTGGAGAAATCGCTATGGGATAAGGTCATTGCGGTGAACCTCACCGCGCCGATGATGACGAGCAAGCTTGCGGTGAACCAGTTCCTGAAGCAAGAGCCGCAAGGAGGGGCGATCTTGAATGTGGCGAGTACGGCGAGTGTGAAGGGGTTCCCTGCTGGTAAGTCTCATTTTCGAGAGGAAGTTACCAAAGCTGTAGTTAGAAGCTAATTCGACTCCAGGCGCCGCGTATGTCGCCAGCAAGCACGGCGTCATCGGCCTGACGAAGAACACTGCTGTCTTTTATGCGAAGAAGAATATCCGATGCACCGCCATTCTACCTGGACCTATGCAGACCAACGTCACGGACGCCTTTGCGAGCGGCGGCATGAACAAGGACGGCTTTGCGTTCATGGAAAAGACGGCGGCGTTCGAGCCAGCGGTTTCCCCATTACCCAAGGTCGCAGCGAGCGTGTTGTATCTGTGCTCTGAGGCTGGGAGTGTTGCGAATGGGGCGTGTGTGCCGATTGACAATGGATGGCTTGCGTTTTAGGCTGCGAGAAGTGGAATTTTGGTTCAGCGTTTGGGCGATTTCAGGGTACTGTAGATATCACATAGTGACTAATATGAATGTCGTGTTGAACTAACTTTTAGAAGATAACTGACACTATTTTCATAATACCGAACTATCTGTCAGATACTAGCTTACTTACCCGTGCAATGCTTCACTATGGAGTAACACGTGGCGTGGTGCCAAGGTAGAATAAATAAGCGCAAAACCTAGAGAAGGCTTCGGTAGTATTAGAGACTGTCGTTAACTGCCTCTATAGGTTTTCAAACCTACACTTCCAGTGAAGCGCCACCCCGCCACAGGTCGGCGGTTGCGGGGCAGCTGTAGTCACTCCCCCTGCTATGATTACGAAGCCCACTTATGCAACTGCGCAGCCCTATCGCAGCTCTCCACCCAGTTGTTCTCTTGAAATGTTGAACAGCCTTCCTGTATTCATAACGTCAATCAGCAACGCCAGAGTGGAAAACGAAGTGAGCCTTGCGATGCTCAAGTCTCCCTCCATCTTGTAGCTTTAAGACACTGATTGGTTCACTGCTGCGGAGAAGCTGCAAGTTTGCGTTGAAAGGTTCACCGATTAATTCAGCCTGGTAAAAGCAAGCCAACTGGCAAACGCGGCAGACGGCGAGGCAGATTGAGCACACCCCGAGTTGATGAACTACCATATATCTGTCAGGGAGTTGCGTCACCTCTTGTATATATAGCCTCACCTTCCTCCAGACTTCCCTCTCTTCTCTACATCCTCATTCATTACGTCACGTGCACAGCATACAGCTCCTTCTTCCATGACTATATCCCTCAAGCATCTCCAGTTTGGTGTGTCTCGTTACGCTATCTTTGATTCTCCTGCTAGACACGTGATGATAACGCGTCGTCATGGAAGTTTTCGGAACCGTAGCGAGCGTTATAGCTTTGATGAAGCTAGTCGCCCAGCTTAGAGAAAAAGCTTATGCGGATCCAAATGCTAGAAAAGAAGTCGAAAGTTGTTGTATAGTCTTATCAGGAGTTGCCTATGTACGTTGACGCTCTCTCACCTGAATAACACTGATTGTGACATTCCGTCAGTCATTCGAAATCATTCACACCTTGTCAAGCGGACCCGAGCCAGCCCCAGCTCTTATCGTGGAGATACAGGGCCAATCGCAAAATGTTGTTGAGGTGTGCTCAGAGAGAATCGAATCCATCATAAAGGATGTACAGGAACTCGTTAAAAAGTTTGCAATCGCCCGAAAGAACCCAAACCCCTTCACCAATTGGGCTGCAAGGCTCCGTTCAAGATCAAAGTCCAGCGAGACAAAGGTGAAGCCTCAACGTATCCGCAATTTAGTTGAGGAGGCAAAGGTTCTGGAAAGGTCGTTGCACTTTGCAATGTCAAGCCTTATATATGCGAAGATGGGGGCCAGGTAAGTAGCGTTGTAAAAACCTTGCTATCGCCTACTAAGATGTCGTCATGAAGCCACACGGACTGGCAGCAAACCTTCAAAGACATGATTGAACGGTTCGAGAAGAGTCAGCAGGCCTGGCGAGCTGAAACGTCTTCGATTGGGGTTTATACTACTACAATGAGAGCGGAGCATAGCACGACATCACAACCTCTACAGGATGTCTCCGAGACAGAAGGAGGTTCCGACCACGAGGCTTCTCGAAACTCACCCGGAGCACTCATCCTGGTTAACGAATCTTCCAGCCTGTCAGAGGGTCTCGAAAGCGAGACTGAGATGGTCGCAGAGATTTTCGACGATGGACGAGTCGTCCCGTACAGCTACTACAATGCTGGCGAGGAACACGATACAACTCACGCAGAGACTACCTCTGAATCCGAGACTGGAGACACCGATACGCCAATCGAAATCGAGACCGATGCTCTCACACACGAACCAGAAGCCTCAGACCATGAAATACAATGCACCAGGAGGCTCAGCAATGAGACTACAGAGATCAGTCGCTCCGGATCGGTTTTTCTCGATGCAGCCACCAACATCGCTTCCTGCTGGAGTGACGACACGAATGCATTTCGCTTTTGTGTTCACCACCTCAGTGTGCAAGATGATGGACAGTTCACTGCCATGTTGCGAGAGCCTTGCTGTCCCGCTATTGGGCCTTGCCATCATATCTCGTTGCACTGGCGCGAAGACTCGCTGCGTACTGTAAAACTGCCGGTAATGTTCGATGTCACAGTTCGCCAGGGACAGATCCTCTCCAACGCCGACCTTAGTGAGCAGGCCGAACGAGCAGATGTTCCCATCCTGTGCTTTTTACCAAGCTGTTCGAACAGGGATATGCATACCCTGATTTACATGCTCGAAGGAGCACGCACTGGGTACGCAGCTCCTAACAGCGATTTTACCATCATGCAGTCATGGCCAGCGAACAGCGAGGACGAAGACTCCGCTGAAGAGGAAGAGCTGAATGGTAACAACGACGAGGCAAATTCTGACCTCGGAGAGGACAACGAAGAAAGGCAAGACGAAGGTGATCGAAACACGGCAAAATGCGGTATTGGAAATTATACTGCGGTACCGTGTTTCTTCTGTGGTCGCGACGCTTTGCAACCCACGATGAGCGCAGAGGGGTCTTGGGGAATTTTGATTTACCGCAATGATTCGATTGGCTACAACTGCAGTCGATGCGAGAAGAGGACTTGGGTGTCAGGTGGAGAGTGGACGCTTGCACCGCCAGGTGGCACCTGGAACACTTGGTAAGCCAAAAGGTAGATCCAGGTGCTACTATCACTACTTCACAGATTGTTTTAGACACGGATAAATTTTGAATGTAATGATGCGTAGAATGAATATGCCTGGTTTTTGTACATTAGAATAGACTTCGTACGTTGTAGCGTGAACGTTTTTGAAAAGCCCTGGATGTAGCGACTCATGCAACGCGTCCCCAACGTTTATTGCGCTGATCAGAATAGCGTGTATACTGTAAGGTATATTATGAGATGTGCCAGCGATCATTTTCTGCGCCTATTACTTCTGGGAAGGCTTGGACTAGGGCCCTCGGGCCTCATCTGAGTAGGTGGGGTAACCTTACCCTCTGAAAATGTTCCTGGTGGAAGCCGCTTTTGCAAGCGACTGTACTATTCGAGCCATATTTGCAAGATGGCTCTGAGACAACGAAAGTGAGAGCCTCGCAGTCGGCCAAGGGGCCATCCGAGGATCGCACCGAGCTCTCGGGACTCAATCAGCCGAGTACCCGGGTAGCGGGCACGTGACATGCCCCCATCAGCGTCGGTCCAACGTCAATTTATTCCAAATAGCAGCTTTCATGCACCCTTTCATTCGTCGGATCGGTACTGATTTACTCGTTTATCTCCTGAGGCGTCAAGTGATGTGCTGTGCAAGGAGCAATTCGTCTCACCTAGCTCCTAAGCACACCGCGTACAATCAAAGCTTGTGCATATCAACCCGTGCCAGAATTCTAGTTGAGGATGAATTGAGAATGAACAAAATCCGATATGTGTTAGTTCGCTAAGTATCCGCCTAACATTATTCAAGTTGCAATCATTCTTATTCCTTCTGGAGGAAGGCGTGCATGTGTATGCTGGAGGTAGGACGCGTGAAAGGATTGATACGGCACTGTTTGTCCGCCGAGAAAGTGAGATCTAGACCGCTCGTGGTGACGATCAACTTCTGTAGATGGCGTTTGATACAGCAGTATGCTGTACGCAGTGAACGTGATGCATTGGTCGGATAAGATGCATCGCCATTACACATTACGCTATTGTATCATCAACCTCGCCGTCCGGACCTTCCACCTCCATTTGAAACCTCAAGCCATACAATTTCCCTGGTAATAAGTCTTCCCATCAGTGCTGGTAGTCGGATCCCAATCGTGCACCCCACGGCTACAGCTAGTTGTCGTACAACTCTCCTGCGGACTCGAAGGCGAGGTGAAGTAGACCCAGCACGTGTTGGCCGTAGCATCCGTAGAGTAGTACACGCAATTGCTATTCAGGAAGCAGGCGTTGCAGCAGGCGGACGCGCTGCCTACGCTACCCCACATACCCAGCTGGACAATGGCGCCGTTGTGGAAGCTTGGCGTACCGGGTATTTGCTGCATGTTCTCGGGCGCGCACGAATCGAGCCATGTCGTTGCCGTGGCGGACTCGCTCTCGGTAACCGTAGCGACTTCTGTCGTGGCTGTCGTAGCCGTTTCGGTTAAGGTTTCCGTCGTCTGCACGGTGGTTGCTTGCGGCACTATGGAGATAGCGGTGAGAACAGCAGTATCTTGAACTAGCGTGGTCGCTTGTTCTACGGCAGTGTCTGCAATCAGAGTGGTCAATTGTTGGGCGGTAGTGCCTTTAACCAGGGTGGTCAATTTCTGGACGGTTGGCTGTGTGATGAACGTGCCGATTGTAGCGACGACGGTCACAGACTTTGTGGTAGTAAGAGGAGACTTTGTGACCGTCCGAGTAATCGTGGTTGGAGAGCTTTGGCAAGACTTGGTCGCGGTGAGGTAGCACGAGCAGTCCTTGGGAAGGGGATTCTTGGGTCTTTTGAGGAGGCCCTCGTCGCGCTTGACTGCTTGGCAATAATTTGCCTCATGACGAAGCAACGACGTGGTTGTCGTGCTGGTACTGTGGGCTCCTTTGTCTGTGCCATCATGCATAGAGTGGGTGGAGAGATACTGACGAGGTTGTGGTGGTAGTAGCGGTGTATGTCTCTGGAACCGTGATGGTGGCGTAGTCAGTCTCGGTGCTGTAGTCCGTCTCGGTGCTAAATTGAGTCTCGGTGGTGAACTGAGTCTCGGTGCTAAATTGAGTCTGGGTGGAATATTCAGTCTCGGTGCTGAATTGACTCTCGATGGTGATTTGAGTCTCGGTCCGAAGTCATTGGGCATGTTGAGATGCAAATATTAAGCAACCCCAGAGTAGAAATTTCAAGGAATGATAAACTTGTCGGTGGGAAAGAAGGAGACAAGAGTGCAGGGGCTCGACTCCAGCCTCCTCGACAGCCGCAAAACTAATTCTCATGCACATGCAAGCCTCCGCGCTTTCTGATATTGGGTGCTGCAAGGCTGAGACAACTGAATCAATCACTACGATAGGGGAACCGAGATTTTCCATGTCCCACGCCTTGTGAAACCACGAAAGGCCGAAGAAAGCAAATAAGGAGGCGAACGGGTAGAGAAGGCTGGTGCGTGTAACGGGCGCGTCTGGGTGAAGGAGAGAGAGAAAGGAAATAATCACGTGGCGTTGCTTCTTTATGGCACGTATTTACCATGAGCAGGGGCGGGCTTCGCACAAGTAAGGTAAGATAGAGCAAAGAAGACTTCTTTGGGGCACCTGTGAGAGGAGGCTCGGGTTGCTCAGATGGAGCATTTCAGCCCTCAATCTAACCATGGCAGCTCCGTAGGAGACTCAAAAGGCACACATCTTGCAGGGTCCCGAGTCCGAAGGGAGATCATAAGCGAGATGGCGGTAGTTCGTGATACACAGTCAATTAAGAAGCGTAGGCAACGATCCTCACGGTCCGCCGCTGAGTAACTGTTTGCAGATCCAGCTTGATGAGACGAACATGTGGCCGGCAATCGGTTGGCAACAGTTGATAGCGCACCAATGCCAAATGGTCGTAACTAATGCCGCAAAGATGATGATATTCTCGTCGGCTTGCTGGCTCGGGGAAGCCGGGAAGCGGCAAAGGAGGCGCCAAGGAACTTCAACCTCGCTCCGTTCCCCATCACCACCGCCAGCATTACGACCCAACAACAAATTATTCCCGTCGAGACGCCTCCGAAGGCTGTATCCTGAGATGGCCCGATCTCCTTGAAGTTCAGGATCGTCGAAATTCACTGCCTCCGAGCGCCCCCAACCGTCTGCAGATTCATCAACAACACGACGCACAGAGAGCCTATCTTACCTCCTCAACCGCACAAGCCCCCTCAATGGCCTTCCGTACCCTCAGACGAGCTTCGCCAACGAATAATGGAACGAACAGTGTACTCGGAGCTGTCAATGGAGTTTCATCGAAGCCTACACCGCTGGGAGCCCTTCATCAACTACAGCTATATCCTCATCGAAGACCCGCGCATCCGTCAACGAAAGCTACGAGAGGTGTTCCACTGGACTCGCACTAGGGCTTGGATAGCCTTTGATGGCCCGATACTTGGGATACGAAGATCATGTTCCCTCTCCGGAGTCGACTTCCGGAGTCGACTTCCAACTGCAGCAACGGCAGAACGCGTCAACTTTTTCCCGGGAAGTCGAGCTCGGAGGAAGCAGCAGAGGAACAAGAAAGGAATAGAACAAGGAAAAATGGAATACTGTGGGGTAGGTGTCCCAGGAAGGCACCCAGGTATTGGCCTGGTCACCCTAGGACAGTGCGGCATTGCCGTCCTCGGCGGGCTGCGAGACTCGAGTTTGTCACTACCGGAAAATGGCTTACTGGGACTCAAGGGGGAATAAACTCGACACAAGTAACTCCTTATGCAGCCTGAAGTGCCTAAGATGGAGTTCGCGAGTCAGAAGCCTTCGTGTGCCTCTGCAAAAGGGCGTCGTCAACTCGAACTTGAGCTCTTGCATCTGAGAAACGGTGCAATGAGCAATGCTTCTCGAAGCATGTCCAGAGCCTTCGGTTGAGTTTGAAGACAAATTCGATTGAATTTCGAAGGCGGTGTGCCTATGCGCGGTCTTGTCGACCTCCGCCCGAAGGAGGCAGCAATATGAGAGGAAAGAAACGACCTAATCTCTTACCTATACGACCTATCCCGGGTTTTCTGCCTCCGATCAGACAGAAAAGCAACGCCCACAGACCGCCTCGACGTCTTGATCAATGGCGAACGTTCACAGCTCGTCCATGTTCGGCTCTGTGGAACGTAGTGCGTAACCCGGAACTGACGCCTTGATGGGAGCAGTCAGGTTACCATCATCTTTACATCTCTGACTAAGAGCGTGTTGTGATAGGAGGGCGATCCCCTCTCATGTTACATGGGGGGCAAGAACGAGCCTCATCTTGCTACAAGAAACTTAGGTCGAAATCAAACCAAACACCAAAAAATTCCAATTTGGGACCGATATGCCTTGAAGATGACCAATATTTCGGGAAAGAAGTATTTTTCTGGGGTCTCCTGTCTAAGACATACTGCTTTGTGGTGAGCTGTCGGCGTTGCAGTCGCGCTCTGGAAAGATGGAAGGGATCTGGCTCTCATGTGTAGCACTGCAAATCAGGGGCAGGTTTGAGGACTCTTGCAGTTTTCTTTTCATTACCACGATGGCTCAGATGGTATCTCCAGCGATCAGAATGCTCTCCTGCCCTACTCAAAATCGGCGGCCATGCTGCCTGGTAAGCCTATTCAAGCAATCAGTAAGTCTCTTCTGCTGTCTGAGCATATGCCTCCCGATACAGACCTTCTCCTTCCAAATATTCCATGCTCCTGAGTCTATGGGTCGCCTTCGACTGCTGGTTCTTTGACTCCATCTTTCTCGTCGTCGCTTTCATATCCGTCTTCCATGTTCTTCTTTTCAATTTCTTCATCTTTCTCCATCTCTTCAACTTCGGCCTTCTTTTCCTCATTCTCTTCTTCCTTATTCTCTCCCGTTGCTTCCTCCTTTCTGAGGTTCTCCGCATCCTCCACGTCTTCCCCAACGACGATGGCCTTGCTCTTCCCAAATCGGCGGCTGCGATGGTTTGGCGGCATTGGGAAGGAGTCCAGGGTGTCCGAAAAGCTCATGCTCTCTGCGCCGCTGGATCTACCGTCATTTCCATTGCCCTTGCTGGATTGCTCTGCCTGATTGTTCGCCATCCCGCTGTTTGGACGTCTCCGGGGGTCCGCAAACTCAGTCTAGGTGCTGTCAAGGCGTTAGTTGCTGTCTACGAATTCATGCGCGCTCAGCCCATAGACCAGCCTCACGCTTTTTGGTCTACGACATGAGGCCATAGGGAACGCCCATCTTTCCAGTCCGCGCCCTTTGCTCATTCGCTGGAGGGCTAGCTATAACCTGTCGCGCGCACCCCGCCGGCCGCTGAAACCTGACAGAGCAATCTCCAGCCTACCTCGATCTCGCTGTTCTTACTTGGATTGAAGCTTTTCGCAGTGGAATCGCGGACTAAGTGTGGTGGAGGAGCGTTGTTGCTTGATGGTCTGGTTGCTGCGCGCCAGATCCGCATTTGGTGATGCATCAACGCCAAGCCTCTATATCTCCACCACAAGACCGGCATGCCCACGATTCGCGCTCACATCTCAGTAGGAGCTGATGAGCCTGTATATCACGCCGATCCGCTCGTTCCGCTGATGGCGAAGATAGAAAGTCACAGGCGCCCTCCAAGTGCCGCGCGTCCAGAGCTGTAGCTGTCTCCGGAGCTCTAGAACAGGGCCATGCGAAGCTTACATTGCCTGCCTTGCCATGACGGTATACGCAGGCGAGCCAGGAACAGTTCTAGGGCCTGGCACTGCGCGTGCACAGACTCGTAGATATGGCTATGCGCATCCCTTGTTTGCTGGAATGAACAAAAACCTCGAAAATCTTCGAATCCCCCAAATCAGGGCCTCCGGTCTTCGATAATTGCGATAGCGTACATGTTCTTGATGGACTTCATGGTATACCAAAAGTTCGTACAATTACAGCACATCCTCATTCAAAATCATATGTCCAGGAGGCCGTCCACGGCGTGAGTATATCACTGACTCCTTGCCGCTAATTCACAACACATAGGTCTTTATATCACTTACTCCCTCGAGATGATACAGCTAGGAGGCTCTCTGTTGCTCAAATATAGGGCCAATCTCCCGTCGTTGTGCGCTCGCTGGCGCTCTTCGAGTATCACAAGGTGGTCGACTTGAGCGACTCGAGCTTCAATTAACCCTCTCTTTCGGCGTGAATTGCCCATATAGGGGTGAATCAAGTAGCTGCTGCCGTCCGATTGCGAGAGCTTCTAGAGGGATGAAGGCTGCATACGATCACCTATAGTGAAGGCACTTTTAACCTACACAGGCCCCAATATGCGTGCTCTTGTGGTGTGGGTAGCGAAAAAGGGGTGGCCCAAGCGCCCCACAAATCCCTTTTGTTGACGGCCGCGTCGAAACCTCCGACTCTTCGGCCCACTAATCGACAAACTACGTAAGTCTTGGAATCGCCCTTCAAAACGTCGTATGAAGCTAATAGCAGTGCTCTAGATCATTGTAGGAGTGAAGCTGGTTTCGAGACCAGCGAGTAGCAGCAGCCGCAAAGCCACGGCGCTCTACATTGGCGACAGAGAGCCACCATCACCACCACAACCCTCGAAATCTCGCTCCTCTCCGCGCTTTTCTTCTCCCTCTTCGCCGCCGCCACCGCCGCCATGCCTCCCCGCCGAGCTCCTCGCTGGGACGTCCGGCCGCCGGTCATCGATCTGGTCGCCCTCGGGGCTAGGATCGAGGAGGAGAGTTTGGGCCTCGCTGAGGCCTACCTCGAGGCCCTGGAGGCCGCCGTCGAGCCCCTCGGCGTGCTCCACCGCATGCGGGAGTACCGCCGCGGCCACGCTCTTGGAGCGGTGCGTACGCTGGCGCGGGACCTTCCGGGGCTGATGGAGCCCTTCAGCGTCGCTTTTTGCGAGTATTGGAGGCTGGAGCTGGGGGTGATTGCCCGGCTTCGGCGGGAGTTTGTGAACCGGGGTTTGGCGGTGCCCCACGGGGCGAGGCGGATGACGGATTGGGAGGAGGAGATGGCGGCGATTGGGTCGGAGTTGGGCCTCGCGTGGCTGGAGTTGGTGCAGTGGATGGAGGCGGAAGAGGCGAGGCTGGCGAGGCTGGCGGCGGCGAGGGAGAGGAGGGCGAGGCAGAGGAGGCAGAGGAGGTAGTGGCAGGTGTGGAGTAGATGGAGGTGTGTTGTGCTGTGTGTGGGCCTTCCGGGAATAAAAGTTCTTTTTGACTGTTTGACTACAGAAGTTACCCAATGCGTGATTGAGTGCCTATGATCATAAACTTCGATTCGAGCGTCTCAGCCTACCATTTTGATATCACGTTGCTAGTTGTAAGGGTCTCCTGGGCTTTTGATATCTTGGATGAGCCAATGTAATTGTTCACGCGTTTTGAATTAACTGTACGGAGTTAGTTTCGTACTTGAGCCCTCGAGAGTCTCCTGGCCGTATAACCTTAAGGAAGCGAGTGATGTAAATATCTATGCGTTGTAAATCAGTCACACGGAGATTTTAGCATGCTGGAGCCTTCAAGACGCTCCTGGACGTATGAGAAGTACGTAGTGAGCAATGTCATTGTGCATGCGGTTTAAATATATCCCACGGAATTCGCAATATGTTTACGGCTCCGAGAGCCTCCCGGACGTATGAGAGCTATGGAGCAAGCAATGTAAATATCTATGCGTTTTGGATCTGTCCCATGGAATTCGTAGCATACTTACGCCTCCCAGGCCCTCCTGGACGTATGAGAATTGAGGAACAAGTAATGTAAACACCCATGCTTTGTATACCAGTCGCACAGAGTTCATAGCATACGCACGCCTTCAAGAGTCTCCTGGACGTCAGAAAATTAGGAGCGAGTGATGTAACTGTCTGCGCGGTTTGAATCTGTCCTAAGGCGTTTGTAGTAATTTTACAGCTCCAAGAGCCTCCTGGACGTATGAAAATCAAGGAGTAAACTCGGGTTGTAACAGCTACAACCTAGGATCAACAACTCATACGGTTCA